TACATACATCTCAAAAATTGAAAATTTTGGTTTCTTTCTTTGGGATATTTCTTGGGATACTTCTACCTGTACAATTCTCATTCCTTAGGATTTAGTCAATTTCAGTTACATGCTCTTTTACATATAATAAAATATGCAATAAAATATATCTTATATACACTTTTATATACAAATGTTATTCTTTTTATGAATTATTATTTGTATGAATTATTATTTTACTTTATAATTTCACTTACAACTTTATAATTTATCATTTTTTTAATTTTGACGCAATTTCATTCTATGGTCGAATGTAGTTCTTTTTGTGAATTAGCATCTGTTAAATTTAGTTAGTCTTTCAGTCTGTATCTTTTCAAACATACAGTCGAATGTAGTTCTTTTTGTGAATTAGCATCTGTTAAATTTAGTTAGTATACTTTCAGTCTGTATCTTTTCAAACATATTATTTATGCTAATAAAAACATGTTTTCAAACATGTTATAAAATAAGACTTGAATTTGTGTATGTAATTAATACTTCTACATTAATACTTATACACTTATATAATTATTTATTATCTATAAAAAAATCTAAGCTTATGAAACATGATTTTATATGTAAACACACAAAAAATATAGAATATGCAAAGGTATTTACGCAAAAAAAAAAGACGAGAATAATTTAATGTACATTTTCATAACATAGAAGTAATTATTAATATTTAGTAGTTATTGCATATTAACTTAACGAATAAAGTCGTTAATTTTTAACTGTTATTGAATTATCAAAATATATGATTTTTTTGTTGTAATGCTTTTAGTAAACAATTGCTTAGTTAATTCTCTATAATCCACTTAATATTTTTATTTTAAATTTTTTAGCTTGTTTTGTTATTAAATATTATATAGAGTCAAAGAATAATTAGAATATCAATTTTTGGCCTGATTTTCATATCGCCCACTATATACGTTTTTTCTATATACGTGTCTTAATCAGAATGTAAGGCGTGCAATGTTTAACTTCAGAAATGGAAATACTATGAATAAAATGGGATTTTTTACTAAACCATCATCGAAATATTTTTGTTTTTAAAAACATAATTTTTACTTTTTTACATTTAGATATTAAATTTTCATATTACATTATATACAAGGTATCCCCCCAAAAAATAGCCAAGCGGTCATATGCAGGTAGAGCAAACCGGTAGAGCAATTCGAAAAGTTCTGTGTATTATTTTGTGATTTTCGCAATAGTTAACGAGTTATTAACATACGTAGTACATACGTAGATGAAAGCGTAGCCAATGCCGCTTGTATTCAACAACTCCATTTATTTTATAATATTATATTGCAAGAGAAGAATTTTATAAAGAGAATACACGGACAGGACAAAGTGAAGTATATCATATATAAGGTCTTGAAATAAAAAATAGATTAATCGAAATCAAACATTCGAGAAATTATTACGATGTTTAACAAAATCTTATTCTGCTATATATTCATGACATTAACTTAAGAAACAAATCTACTTTTCATATACAGGCGGTCATTAATTACTAAAGAAAATTCTCAACAAATAATAACGATGATCATAGTTATCGACTGCGAACAATGATCGATAAATATCGTAATTAATAAATTTCTTCTCCCTTATTATATATTTCATAATTATAACAATTAATCGAAATAACGTTTTTATAATCGCATAAAGAAATTTTTAAAAGATAGATATTTCACGCATTTAATAAATTTTGGCTATAAGACATAATGATAATATAGATATATAACTATAAATTATAAATATTCTAGTAATTATAAATATTCTATTGATAATATAATTTCTGTATACATATTTATATATATTTATAAATATGTATAAATATGTATAAATATGTATATATATGTATATAGATTTTTACAAATATTGCTTAATAAGAATTGCTTAATGAGAATAATTTTGGTCAAATTAATTTACTCAGCAATTAACTTATCCAGTATTACCAATAATTCATAGAATTATAGAATTATTAATTATTTGTCTGGCATATAGAAAGAAAAATTTAATTTAATTAAACTAGAAATAATAAATTGTATAATTAGAAATTTTACTATAATTTCACTGACTGAATTACTGATCGATTAAATTAGTTGGAATTTTATTATTTTTATAAAATATACAAGATTTATTACTTAACAAAAACTTTTAAATGACAAAAATGCTTAGAAATATCAACTTGCCTGGAGATAATAAATAATTTGTAACAAACAATTTTATTATAAATAGAAATGTATTTATTATCCATGATTGTTCCATATCAAAAGGTAAATCGAACAGATGGAAGTTCCTTATGAGATTAGTTAACAGAATACATAAATTTATAATATATATTATTGGGATCCTGTAGAGAATAATGCTAAGAATGCACTGGTAGCACCTACGGAAAGTATATAATTTACTGCAGGTGTGAATGTTTTCAGAACGTAGAACGAAGAGACAATGACGAAGGCAAGAAAAAGGGCGTTATTGTAGAAAATTGAAAATGTTGTTGCTTCATAATCTGCTACTTCATTCTTCTTCCACAAAATCCTAGATGTTTAATAAAAATTAATATCTTGTAGAAAATCTAATCTTATAATAGTAATAAACTATCTATTGAAATTAACCAAAGTTCCACTAAAAATATTATGTAATATTCAGTGTATTATTAATCAATATATGTATACATTATTTGTAAGAATTTAAAAATACCAAGATATTACCTTTCATCTTTTTCTTTCTTGCTCATCTTTTTGTCTTCAGCAAGCTTGCGGTTTATTTCCTTAGTAACAGCATCTTCTCTTTTTACAGCAATCTGTGTAACATAATACACATATAAAATATTATATATTATTATATATTTTTATTACTTCTTAGATTTATATTATATTTTTATATTTTTGGATAATTTATAAAAAATTTCATGAAAAACATACCTTATGTTTGAGAATGAATTTTGTATTTTTATATGCCAAGGCAAGAGCATATGTACTTGCTAATGTAACCAGTACAAAAGAGATTAAGTTGGAATAGAGATCGATTAAATGTATTCTCCAAAACAACCCTATAAAAAAACATAATAAAATATAGTCAAAGGTATAAATATTTATTATTTGTTTTGTAATAAATATTTAAATAAACAAAAGTATATCAATTATATTAAATTATTTGCTATTCATAGAGATAGATGAATCAATGAATGAAAACAAATTTTCAATTAAAACTTTCTGTTAAGTATATTTCTATATTAAATAATTTATTTAAACATATATAAATACATAATCAATTATCAAATTACAAGCTTTGCCATCAAAATTATATAAGAACCAATTGTAGAATTTGTTTATTAAAATAATGATCATTAGTCTGTAAACTATTCAATTTCTCGATTCCTTAGCTGTATTTTAAACAATATAAATCAGACAATTGTGAAGTTTTATACAAAAGGAATCTGTTTGTACAATGTAACACAGAAAAACAATGAAAGAAGCAATCTGGTGCTTTTGGCAGGTTTTTGCACTCACAAATGGGTATCGCCGAAACAATAAAGGCATTGCCGTAGAATAATGCCGAGGATTTCGTCGAGACATTCCTGGAGAAGTCCTGTAGCAGCAGCTCCTCCTCTTTGGTAAATGCCTTAGACTTCCCCGACATTTTCAATATCAGCGACAAAACCAGACGACCGTTCGACCACTGTTTGGCCACGAGGGTTGCAATTTGACGGTAAGAGACGGTCAGAAACGTCAGAAACAAACAACACGCATGCGTAGAAAGCTACGCTGTGGACTGCCATATGGTGACGTGTCCGTCGTCATCGTTGCTCGTCGATATCGATCGATCTGAGGTGCAGATACGTCCTGCCCTCTGCAGGAGTCACTGTAAACTTCTTCGACGGTAGATTAGAAAATCAACTTTTCAATCATCAATATTAACGTCTGCACAATGGAACAGATTTTTAATACATGTATCGTTTTTTTCGTTTTGCAAATTATTTAATATAAAATGTTCTAATATGTCAACATAATTTACATTATTACATACAAATTACAATCTATCGTATTCTAGTATGTCTATCGGAAATGATCTAAAAAAATTGTCTAGAGGGTGATATATTATGCAATATCGGCCTACTCATTTGAACGATATCTATTTCTGAGATCAAAGAACCCTCTAAATTTTGGTGGCCTTCATGTCTAAACATAGATAGATCTTAAAACTATGAAAACGTAGATATTTGTAGAGTTTTACAAAATAATTTTATACTGACTATATATTTGCGTTATAAAAATAAAAAGATAATGTTATGAAATTATTTTTGAAAATTATTTTTAATTTATTTGTAATTTATTATTCTTAATTTATTTCTCTGTATTTATTTAATACATGCACTTTGTTCTTTGTGTTTTGCAAATTTCTTTTCCGCGAAATATTTAATTCATTAGATACTTCTATTATTTATATTAAGGTAATTTATTCAAAATGTTTTCCTAAAATTCAAATTTTTATAAATAGTTATTTTAAAATTAAACATTTTTAACATCTTTGATATATTTTTTATGTCTCGTAAATTTGTCAAATACAATATGCAATTCAATTTTTATTAATTTATTTGTTTATTAATGTAATTCATTACTCATTTGAGATGATAAATTTCACGAAAAAGAGAAATAAAATATCTTGATATTTCAGAATCAATCAAGAAAAATTTTTATATTTATTGTTAATTTTTGAAACAACTGAGAAATGTCTCAAGTTAGAGTTTGGAATTTTTAATATAAACACGACAAATTATACTTTTTGTAACAAATTGCATTTAAAAATTTCGCGTTTCCACTTCTGGTTCTTTCTTGGTTTCTACAGAAGATCTCTAAAAATATCTCTATGAAAGATCATCTCTAAAAATGTTTCTATGGATAGAATCTTATTAGTTTGAAGTTAACCGACAACTGACAATTTTTTAAACTAACAATTTCCTTTTAGAATTGTGCTTATTTAGAAACCTTTGAAATGTGTTTAAAAAAATTTGATAACCATTTAAGTAATTAATAATTTTAATTAATTTATTATTTTTATATCGTGCAATTAGCTAGCATAAATGAATTAGAGAAAGTTTTTGTACATATTTCATCTAAAGAGTTTTAAAAGTATAATCTAAAAGATTTAACAATCATTTGAACAATTTAATTTAAATTATTTTTAAATTTGAACAATTTAATTTAAATATTCTTAAACTATTTGTAACTAGTTAACATAAAAAATTTGATTAGACATGAAAATTTCCTTTATAGTATCATGACATTTTACAGATGTGGATCGTCTTAATTACAATTAAAACTCATGACATTGTCGATGTTTAATTTTCTCTTGCGTAATTTTCAGAGCGTAGCCATAACGGAACGACGTTGACGCTAAATGCCGTCGATCTTCGTCTTGAAACGAGCCGATCAGACGACGAATGGCGCCCGGCGTCAGCATGGGCCGCGTTTTCTTCCCTGATTTTTCTGATATCCGAGTTGCGTTCTATTGCAATAACGAGAAGACGCTGTCCGAGGTAAATCGACGTCATTCCTGGAAAACTCGCCACATCCAACTTAACAAGCCTATCGGTCGACCGAGCTTCGAGTGCGGTTCCGATCGTGACTTTCATCGCGATTGCGCTCTTATTTCGTAACATTACTATCGCAAAAACTCCTCGAGATAGCTCGAATAATATATCTTCTTTAGGAGTATTAAATTTAAATATAGTCACAATGGAAATACTCATGATCGCAATGAAAATTACACATAGATAAAAAAAATGAAAAATTACGTCGATACAAGAACTCGATAAGAGAAGCTAAAAGAATCGACGCTAAAACATAGTTGTCGGTGCGTGAACATACATCTATGACGTTAATGATCGTCTCGACAACGATCGAAGATACAACAAATTATTTACGCCAGTTGATGTTTCTATAATCGTTACTTCGCAATCGATAACCACCTAGGCAGCAGTCCTATTATCAATCGTTATCGAACACAGGCGTTAGTGACATAAAATACTTATGCAGTGATCGTTTTGACTAAAAAATGAGCGGTCCTTTTCCTTCCAAATAATTTTAAATCTCGCTTCGCTTGCAATGATCTCACCTGTAATTAGCAAAATAGATTAAACTAACGCAAATTTATATGATATTTATATGTTAATCGTATTTTGAATTATATAGTTTATAATTGAATCATATTTTTGGCATACGATATTCTTATAAGAAAAAAACCATATGACATTGATTTTGTTTATGTGTAAGTTGCAGTCACGAGTACGTGGCGCGTGCGATGGAGAATTCCACGAAAGATTCTTCGCCGCCAAACAGGATTGGTCACAATAACCAAACAGATAAAGACGACTTGCGCCATAATGAAGTTCCTGTTATGCCGCAACAGACGCAATTCTCGTGTTCTTTATACATTTCGCGTGCCGGTGGCCTTCAAGATCAGGGCCACAGTATCCAAGGTGATATGCGATTTTTTTCGTATTCTCAAGATGAAACTTGTGTTTTGCAATAATAATTAGAAATGTTAATTTGATCAATGATGACATGAAATAACGATGTAATATCTAATATTTATAATTTTATATTAATTGTAATAATTATAATATTTTCAATGTAATGCCAGTTGAATGGCATAACATATTAAAAGAAATAAAAATTAACGAATCCATTGCTCTAAATCGATATTTTGTTATTTATTTCTTGATTAGATTCCAAATTGTTGCGATCTCATCTCGAGGAAGCTATCGTCGCTTCCGAACCGTTGTCAACGTGGCAAGTCTCTGAAACTCCATGTGGTCTGATTGCCGCTTTCGTGCGAGAAAACGATGCCGAGAAACTGTTGCAACGCGGCGACTTGGCTCAAGTGTTTGGAGGACCTGTACAAGTATATGATTTATCTTCAACTATATCATCTCTACTCTTTTACAGGAAAAATATAATTTAAGATATATTATAAAAATTTTATTATTATAACTTTATTTTTATTATAAAAACTTTTCTCGCACTTTGTTATTTATTTTGCTATTATCAAATACTTTATTACATTTCTTAATTGTGATGTCGAATCAATTAATTTTATAAAAATATTTAAAAATAAAATCGATAAACTAAAATATCTTTTGAATTTATATTTTATTTTCATCAGGTAGCGCGATTCTCAGCGAGAGATTCTCGATATCGCCAGGCGGTACTTCTGAGAGATGTACCATGGGCCATACCACTGCAAGATATAAATTCAGCTTTAGTGAAGCAAGGGATCGTCGCTGGAAATGTCGAACGTTCACGACAATTTATTCGCGTAGAAGTACACACATAATGTTTTACTTTTTATTCTGCCTAGATAATATCTTATCATCTCTATTACATATGCTATAGCTATAGAAAACAATAAAATGATCGATTTTCTAACGCTAAAACACAAAATTAACATGTACAGTACGTATTAGTGATAACATGCAGACTGGTATCCTTGTTTACATCCATAAAAAATGCATAATGCATACATAATTGTAAACCAGTTCTCATAATGGAGTTCTAAGTAGCTAAAGATACGCCCTAACCGGTTTTGAAAGTCGACTTTCAAATTGCTTCGTAAGCAATCAGTAGCTTTGCAATGAAAAAATGAAAATGAATGTGTCAAGATAAAGGTCGGAACAAGTCTATTGCATATAAGTCATGTAAATACGATGCATAATGTATGTAATATAAATGTAAAAAACCATGCACAACGTAATATAATAATTAATGGTTTGGCAAAAAAAAAAAACGGAAAAATATATGTCAAATATATGTCAACTTTCGCCAATTAACGCAGGTTCTCGACGCGGGTCATTACGAAGCTTTGCTACGTCAAGGTCTGGATTTTTTTGAAGTGGCTCGTTTCAATGCCACCCCGGAACGCTGGTGGTGTAATGGCAGCTGCGGAGGAACTGCATACTCCACCGATTCTTCGCGATATGCGTCAGGAAATGACGGAGGCAATATTCCGGAGGTGTACCAAGAGAATGTATCGCAAATGACGGACAACGTGTTGCAGTGCTACCGGTGTCAGGGTTTCTGGCACGTGGCCGCCAATTGCCGGCACTTGCCGCGTTGCGTCCGTTGCGGCGAGCCGCACAGTGTCGTGTTCTGTCCAAGGCCGCGCAACAACCCTGTATGCTGCCACTGTTCTGGGCCTCATCACGCCGGTAGATCCTTTCCTTAGGAGATTGACGTGTCTTTCACACATTAATCTTCACCATCTATTACGCATACCTATACCTATACCAATAAAAATTAACGAACAAAGTAATATTATTTATGTGTGATTTGTTATGTATGTATGATAGTATCAAAAAATGTTTTTTAATTATGTGCAAATGTATTTCTTATACTTGGTACCGTGTGTATTTTTAATTCATGAATAATCGCTTTGTTCGTTGCTCTTATCGATAAATATATGTTAATTAAACAATATGTAAGGTGCTCAACAGCTGGAAAACGGAAGACATCAACAGATCGGAAAAGCTGATTTCTCGTCATTTAAAAAACATCATCACGTGAAAGTTGACTATGATTCAACAGAAATTATGCCATCTGTTTATAAAAGAAATTATGATTCTTGCAAATCACCTCGCACGTTATAACAAATGTTCATTATTGTTCATTAATCATAAACATGTTGAGCAATTTAAAACGAAAAAGACACTAAAGAAAAAAAGAAAAAGTTAGTTTCTCATTGCGAAATGTAGAACTTGATTAAAATTCTTTTCAAGAACCAAGTTGAAACCTTTACCTACTCCTAATAGAATGTTCTTGCAAACCGTCTTAAATCGTGATAACAAATAGTTTCTATTTCCCCCCCATTTGTCTATTGCCAAAGTCGTATGTCTATTGCCGCGTGTGTAAATTATTGAAATTACCGTTACGTTATCCCGCATTATACCCACGCGCAGTATGGCTATAATGTTTTTTCATTTTTTATTACAGGATATAGACAGTGTCCAGTCAGATTGCAGCTGGCTAATGCGACTCCCGTGAGTATCACGTTGAGTACGACACGCACGGGGGGTCAATATCCAGCGAATGTTATGAACAAATCAAATCCCTCGTGTCACTCTCTGAGGCAGAACCACTGTTAAACACCATTGTTTACCGAACAAAATTGTGTAAAGAAGTAACAGCCTCATTAGCATCGTTTTCGAAATCTTAATGGATCTGCATAACATCTCTCTACATTGCATAATAATAATTTACCGCCGCGAGCGAAATTTCACGATGCCATTACGCAAAAAAAAGAAATGTAGGAATATATTGGCAATCTGGTTTCGCTACATATAAAAAGAAACTGTCGCTTTTTTGACTACGGAAATATTTGCAAATGGCATACAACTTACATTTTATATTATAAAAATAAATTTATATTTTATATTATAACAAATTTTTAGGATTTTCACTTTTAAGACAGTATAGTAATCTTCTTGAATGCCATTACATTTTGTGTATACGTTTCTTCTTCAAATTTTATGTATGAAATATATAGTTTTCATAAATATCAATTGTCGTGATATTCTGTGATGGGTCCCGGCCGCTATCAAAACGATTCTCATGCGATCGTGAGAAAATTCGACAAGATGTCACTTCCTTCTTTTCTTATCAAGTTTACAAGATTCTGTAAAATTATAGTTACTATCCGCAGAATCGTATTCCACCGTTTTGTTCCACTTTCTTCGTCCTAGTCCCTGCAAATGTAGGTCTCCCCACTAGTATGTCGCTGCTACCACCTCAAGATCATAAGAGAGGGAAGTTATACGCGGGTGTCATACCATCGCTTACACATTTAGTCATTCGATCGGCTACTAGTCCGGCCTATCCATGTACGACTGATGGATAGGCGCGTTATAATTATAGACACATCATTTGTACGTGGAAAATTCGATCAATCGATTGGTTCTCGTAGATACAAACGATATCATTTAACTTAAAAGTGTTAATTTTATTTTTTAATCATTTTTGTGTAAAATTAAGAATATCATCACGAAATTTTCCGTCACTTTTCTTCCCTAAAAATATGTATCATGTGCCAAATAATGTTTCAAGTAGCACAATGGGGTAAGTTTTTGGTTTTGTTCGACGTAAATATTAAGAACTATTATATATAAATATAAATATCAAGAACTATTCATCCTGTAAGTGCTTTTTTCTTATTTTAGAATCTTTGAAATGTTGCGATCTGTAAATAACTGGTTCTTTTATGTCACGTGCGGTGAATTTATGTGAAAAATTTTGTGTATCAAGATGATTTTGAAATATACGATATGAAGAATTTAAGGAAATATAAAACCGTGTAACGTGCAACGAAGAAAGAGAAAAGAATTACAAACGAAAAGAAGATCGGTAGTTTGAAAGAAAAGATGGATTCGGTGTACTCGACGTTTTTCCTCATCGTGTCGATATGCAGTTTGACCGCTCAGCAACCAACGTTTTTCAGAAGTACATTCAAAGGATTGGCCGGTCTCACACCAAGCGCTGTCGCACTTGCGAACGACGAGATACGAGCGGTTTATTATCATGAACAGACGGTAGCAGTTGTCGATCTTGGTCCGAGAAATGAACTACATGATTGTAATATAATCGAAGTATAGTAAGTATGATTATTACAATTATATAAGAATTGCTTTATATCGTTAGATTAAACCGGTTTTCATGGTTTAATCATTAATCCTTTTTCTATATAATTCTGCGCAATCTTTAACACGCATCATTAACTCTTTCAGCGAGCCGTCCGAGGCTACAGAAGTTTTGCGAAACTTATCTGTGACTTTACAACCACAAGCGGTGTCCTTCTCGGAGATAACAAGACTCATGCAACAGTGTGAATTGCTGGAGAGGCTACGAGTGGAGGCTACATCTACTTTGCCTACAAACGCACTGAGCAGAGGGACCCGCATAGCCGCGAGTTCCATCACTCTGTTTTCTGGTATTCTGCCAGGTTAATCATTTCTATCATTTTCAAACCAGTACACAGTTTCATAGAATTACAAAATTTGTTAACATAAATGATTGAATATATACTTCAGGCACAAAATGGTGCGGCACGGGCGACATAGCCGAGAATTATCACGACTTAGGTGATCTGCCTTATATCGACAGGTTACTTTTAAAATGTCTTAATTTACCAATTTTTCGAAAATATCAGGAAGACATTTCTTTATGCTTTTCAGATGCTGTCGCAATCACGATCTCTGTCCAATAAAAGTCCGAGCACAACAGACCCGATACAATCTTACTAATTATTCGCTGTATACTAAGTAAGACTTTATTAACAGATATTAGTAAAAAAATCAAATTTATTTTTTGATGAAGAATTTTAGTGCATTTTTAAATTAATGTATTTTTAATGTTATATTGATTATTGATTATTGAATTTCCTTACCATATCTAACAAATTAGAAAATTTCTCTATCTTAAAATTTATCTTAAAATTTATCTTAAAATTATCTTTACGTAAAATAATCAGTTTCAAGGATTTTATTATTTACAGATCACATTGTACTTGCGATAAAGCCCTTTATCAGTGTTTAAAAGCTGCCAATCATCCAACGGCGAATTTGATGGGACAAATATACTTCAACATTGTTAAGGTGCCATGTATAGAAGATATAGGAAAAAATCGATATCCTTCCTCAGATCCTTTGAGAAAATTTGTACCTGTAAAAAGAGTATATTAACCACATGAGATTAATTAACAGTGTGTTTATTATCAGACAGTGTGTTATATTAGCAGTGTGTTTATTATCAGTGTGTTTATTACCAGAGAAACGTAATTTAAACAAATTGTTCGAGTAATAAATAAATTAACCTTTAGAATTAATGTATATACAATTAAATTGTAAATATATTTTTTGCATTATGCATATTACATTATTATAACTGCGAATACCTTTTTTTAAAAATGGCGTTGTTTCAACATACATTTGAATTCATATAGAATTTTCGATTGAGGAAAAAGCCTGATTCAATGCTGGTAAAGAAGTTATGAGATCTCTTATATTTTTACCAACACTAGACGATCTATGATTATATAAGTTTCCTGCAATAATTTATTAGTTTATTCCAAATCAATTTTTTTTTAAATTGACGTGTAATTACCTAGTAGCCACAAAGTCTCTTTTCTAACATGAATATGAATATATGATAATAATTTATTCAATAAAAGATGCAGATCCTTATCCGAATATTTCGGATTTTTCAGAAAAACATCAATTTGATCTTCGCTGGAATTATGCAACATGTTGGCCAGTATACGTATAGATGCTGTTATCTAAAATAAAAAGAATCTGAAAATATGATTCGTAAACATAGGTTGTTATATAAAAGAGAAAGAACAAACCTCACTGACACGAGTCATTCCATCTGAATTAGAAAACGTTATGTAAAGATAATCAACAACTTGTGGCAGAATATACCGCAAATGTACAGTGCATATTGGTGAAGAAGACAACAAAGCCAGCAACCAAATAGAATTTGAATTCTCGTACAAAATATTCCGTTTTATAATGATTTGAATAAGTTCTGACATTTCACTTTCTCTATAATAAATATATATTAAACTATTTCTTGCAAATTTTATCTTTGTATCATGAAGCGTGAAAGTGGATAATACTTACGATATCTCATGAATTCCCACATGTACGTAGTGTAAAAGTGCATATATTACAGAAGGAAGAATTGAGTCGTCACAATTATGTAACAGTAAAATCAAATATTTCAGACAGTGCTGTGCATGTAAGATAGAAAAAGCCTTATTGCTTCCTGTAATTAAATTACCAATTGTCCAAATGCAAACATCCTAATAAAATATAAATATATATATTTTAAATTAATTTCATCATATCTATTTATCCTTGAATTCTAGAGAAATTTACCAGCAGCGCATAATTTAAGCTTTCCAGTTTGATGAGCAGGTATGGAATAATTGCCTTTCCCAACGCAGTACACGCTTTTGTATTTCCCAGAGCAATGTTACAGCAGCAATTGGCTGCATACAATTGGAAAGTCGGATCGCTGCCAGACAGATCACGCACTAGACCTGATAAGCTTTGGTCTACTTTTAAAAAGGCACTTATATTTTCCTCTGACTGAAACAAATATAAGAGATTAGTTATTATTATTACTCAAGTCCTGGTTTTTAAATATAAATTGTTTTGTAAGATATTAGATTGTTCGTTTAGAGATTCCAGATCAATCACATACCTGAATAAGAGCATTAGGCAAGTATCTGTAATCCACGAAAGATATTCTTTTCTTCTTGAGAAGCCTCGCTCTCTTGCCAACATATTCAATAGAAAAGGATTCAACCCCTGGATATTCTCCCAAGTTAAGGCGATTTCTGTTCCAGGCGGATGTGCGATCCTCTTTTCTCTTCATCGAAACAGTTTCCCTGAGTTCTGTTCGTATGATTTCGACCATGTTGTCGTTCATACAAAGTTTCGCGGCTTCGCCTACCTCTTCATCGGTAGTCTGCATCTTAAACTGAATTTCATAAATTTCTCGTCACAAAACGGACGCACGAATGCTCGTCGCATCGTTTGAATCTTCGAATAAACAATCCAAATAACCTCACTTTCTTCTCATGTTTAATAACAGAAGAACTGCTTCTTAATCAACGGCATGCTTTCGCGGAGTGATATTACAACGCCCTGCATTATCAACGGAAAAGCGAAAATTCGTCATGAGATTTCGCCAAAAGTCAAAGATGGCGGAAGATTCGGCGCATGCGTGATGTCTCTCACTTGCTCATATTCTTATTTCTAGCGTGTGATGCAGCTGATATAACATTGCATTTGTACAAAACATTGATCTCGAGGATTTTAACAATAATATCGGTAAGGCCGTCGCATTTTATTAAAAATTGTTATTAATTTCTTAGTCGGTTAAAGATCCAGATCTAAATAGCATAAATCAGCAGGCGTATTTGGAGAGCGTCGCATAAGATGGAGGAGGTTACGAGGTTAGAGCATCTGTCTCTGGTGTCGAAAATCTGTACCGAATTGGAGAATCACTTGGGATTAAACGATAAAGACTTAGCCGAGTTCATAATACATCTGGCCGAGAAGAACAGCACATTTCCAGCGTTCAAGAAGGTACTGATTGAGAATGGAGCCGAGTTCTCGGATTCCTTCATGGCTAATCTCCTTAGGATAATACAACACATGAAGCCCGCAAATACGTCCACCGAGAAATCATCCAAGTCTATAAGCAGGCAGGATGAACTGGCGCAAAAGTTCCCAGTGTTGGCATTACCGAACGAAGATCTACAGCGTTCTGATACGAATGACGCCAAGGACGAGGACATTGTCAACGACGTTATGGCCTCCTTAGAGGCGTTCGCGCCGTCCAACAAAAAGCAGTCTACAAATACCGAAAAAAGTAACGATCGGACTGACAGTATCGAGAAAAAGAATAAGCGAGGAAGGAGAAGCAGAAGCAGATCGAGGGACAGGAGACGACACAGATCTAGATCATCAGATCGGAAGGAAAGGCGACATAGATCCAGGACGCGTTCCAGATCGCGAACACGTCACAGATCGCGTGACAGAACGCGCAGAAGACGTTCTGGGTCACGGGAACGCAGGAGGTCGTTGTCTCGCAATCGCAGGGACGCGAGATACTCGAGGAAACGTGACGCCGATAGATCCAGATCCAAATCTGTCGAGGAGACACTTTCTGCGGAACCGGAGGTAAATAAAATTTACGCGGGTAAAGTTGCGAACATCGTGCCGTTCGGTTGTTTTGTTCAGTTGGAGGGTTTGAAACGCCGCTGGGAAGGCTTGGTTCATATCTCTCAGTTGAGGAGAGAGGGTCGAGTGGCGAATGCAAGTGACGTGGTTTCTAGAGGACAGAAGGTTCTGGTAAAAGTTCTCAGCGTTGGCGGGCAAAAAGTATCCTTGAGTATGAAGGACGTCGATCAAGAAACTGGAAGGGATTTAAATCCCGTGGTGCCGATTGTAAAAGCAGATGAAGACGAGAAGCATCTGCGTAATCCAGATAGGCCTACTTCTTTGTTGGAACTTCAGGGTAATTATGACGAGGATGAAACGTACTCGAGAAAGCGTGTGCAACGTCTATCGTCACCAGAGAAGTGGGAGATCAAGCAGATGCTGGCAGCATCGTGCATCGACAGGAACGAGTTACCGGAGTTTGATACAGAGACCGGGATTCTACCGCGAGAGGATGACGAGGAGGAGGATGTGGAGATCGAGCTTGTTGAAGAGGAACCACCATTCCTGCATGGTCATGGCAGAGCACTAGGCGATCTCAGTCCAGTGCGAATAGTAAAAAACCCGGACGGTTCGCTGGCGCAGGCGGCAATGATGCAGAGCGCCTTGGCGAAGGAGCGAAGGGAACAAAAGATGTTGCAGCGCGAACAGGAGATGGACTCTGTGCCTACCGGATGAACAAGATTGGATAGACCCGTTGCCAGAAGCGGAAAGCCGCACGTTGGCGGCGAACATGCGCGGCATTGGTCTGCAAACGCAAGATCTGCCCGAATGGAAGAAGCACGTAATAGGCGGTAAGAAGTCTTCTTTCGGCAAGAAGACCAACCTGACGTTGTTGGAGCAGCGTCAGAGTCTGCCGATTTACAAACTGCGCGATGATTTGGTTAAAGCAGTTACGGATAATCAGATCCTGATTGTGATCGGAGAGACCGGTTCGGGTAAGACGACACAGATCACGCAGTATCTGGCGGAGGCCGGTTTCACCGCGCGTGGCAAGATCGGCTGTACGCAACCGCGACGTGTCGCGGCCATGAGCGTGGCCAAGAGAGTAGCGGAGGAATTTGGCTGCTGCCTGGGCCAGGAAGTGGGCTACACCATTCGTTTTGAAGATTGCACCGGACCAGAAACCAGCATCAAGTACATGACAGACGGTATGTTGCTGCGCGAATGCTTGATGGATCTCGACCTGAAAACATATTCGGTAATCATGTTGGACGAGGCGCACGAGCGAACGATACACACAGACGTGCTGTTCGGCCTATTGAAGCAAGCGGTAGGTCGTAGACCTGATCTTAAGTTAATCGTTACCAGCGCTACTCTAGACGCAGTCAAGTTCTCGCAATACTTTTTCGAGGCGCCGATCTTCACCATACCTGGACGCACATTCGAAGTCGAGGTAATGTACACGAAGGAACCGGAAACGGATTATTTGGACGCCGCGCTGATCACCGTTATGCAAATTCACCTGCGTGAGCCGCCGGGTGACATCTTGCTCTTCCTCACTGGTCAAGAGGAAATTGATACTGCCTGTGAAATTCTTTATGAACGTATGAAGTCATTAGGACCGGACGTGCCGGAACTGATCATTCTTCCGGTCTATTCGGCTTTGCCCTCGGAAATGCAGACCAGGATATTCGAACCGGCACCGCCCGGCTCACGCAAGGTCGTTATTGCCACGAACATCGCCGAGACCAGTTTAACGATCGACGGTATATATTACGTCGTCGATCCTGGTTTCGTCAAGCAGAAAGTCTACAACTCTAAAACCGGCATGGATAGTCTCATAGTGACGCCGATTAGCCAGGCGGCGGCGAAGCAGAGAAGCGGAAGAGCCGGCAGAACGGGGCCTGGAAAGTGTTACCGGCTTTACACCGAGCGGGCCTATAGAGACGAGATGTTGCCTACTCCGGTTCCGGAAATACAACGTACAAATTTAGCTACTACTGTGTTACAGCTGAAGACTATGGGCATCAACGATCTTCTGCACTTTGATTTCATGGACGCGCCACCGGTGGAGTCGTTAATCATGGCGTTAGAGTCGTTACACAGTTTGAGTGCCCTCGACAACGAGGGTCTACTAACACGGTTGGGTCGGCGAATGGCGGAATTCCCGCTAGAGCCAAATCTATCTAAGATGCTGATCATGAGCGTACATCTTCAGTGCTCAGATGAGATTTTAACTATCGTCAGTATGCTGTCCGTGCAGAACGTCTTCTATCGACCGAAAGATAAGCAAGCTTTAGCTGATCAAAAGAAGGCCAAATTCAACCAAGCCGAGGGTGATCATTTGACTTTATTGGCAGTTTATAATTCCTGGAAAAATAACAAACTAAGTAACGCGTGGTGCTATGAGAATTTTGTACAAATCAGGACATTGAAGCGCGCTCAGGATGTGCGCAAACAATTACTAGGCATAATGGACAGACACAAACTGGACGTAGTGTCAGCCGGTAAGAACACAGTACGTATACAGAAGGCAGTGTGCTCGGGATTTTTCAGAAATGCCGCAAAAAAAGATCCGCAAGAGGGATACAGGACATTGGTCGATAGCCAAGTAGTATACATTCATCCGAGTAGCGCGTTGTTCAATCGCCAGCCGGAATGGGTAATCTATCACGAATTGGTGCAGACTACTAAGGAGTACATGAGAGAAGTGACGACCATCGATCCGAAGTGGTTGGTGGAATTTGCACCCGCATTCTTTAAGTTCAGCGATCCAACCAAGCTCAGTAAATTCAAGAAGAATCAAAGACTGGAGCCGCTCTATAATAAGTATGAAGAGCCGAATGCATGGAGAATATCTCGTGTTCGCAGGCGACGTAACTAAAAAATACGCTTAATAGTTTATATAAATATCGTTTTGTTATAATAATTTGATGTATTTATACTTTTGTGTATAATTTTCTCTTTATGAAAATGATGAGAATGACCGAAATTAGTATTGACTCAAAGTAGTGTAGCTTTTATCATTTTTATGTAGCAAAACTTCTTGCATCTATAATAACAAGACTATGAAACAAAGAACATTTTTATTTTATATGTGTAATGTAATAGCTTTCTTGATATGTGTGTAACGAAATGCTTTCATTATTAGGAAGCGAGAAATGAATACAATTTACGACGTGGCGAAGATGTTGAATCGATTTTTATTAGAATGCCACGATAAGACTGGAGAAATGTAATGCGATTATTGAATTATGTACAAGAATGTAGTTACAAAAAAGAATTATTTACAGGGCTCTGTGCGATGTACATACTTGTAAACATTGTAATATATTATATTCATTTATGTCACATTAAATTTACGATATTCTTTCTGTTTTTCAAATATCTGCTTCGGTAAAATATGATACAACGAATCGAATAATCAGTCTTTTCATTAGAGAAGAGGGCATTATTTGAAGATTATATATTTTTCAGTCTTTCCCCTCTTAATTAATTATTAAATTTATTAAATAAATACATTCTCGATAACATTTAATAATATGACAGGAAAGATTTTCTTATTTATTCTTTCCGTTCTTTTTCTTAAATTCACTTCTGATTTATAATAACCCAACTTGTTCATGGACGCATATACATTTTATATGTAACACGTCGATACACGTATAAAAGAATTTGTAGGAAATTTGTAATTTTCCAAAAAGACAAATTGATATTTTGTGTAATCAGGAAATATCACTTTTCTTTACTTCCGCACTTATGATATTATTCAGTAATACTATTTCTTGGCTCGATGATACAAAGTATATCTTCGGGAAAACAATTCTATACAAATTGAATTATTGAGATTGTTGCTTCTTTTTCACTAATTCCACCAATTGTTTGTAACGTGCCTGGCATTCTTCCTGTAAAAAAAATGATATAGTTTAGGAATTAAATAAAAATTTAAAAATTTATATATAGAATCTAAGAAGAAATACATAGTATATATACTTTGAGTAATCGTACCTTTGTCTTTCCTTCAATACAATTTGCAATTTTTTCCCACCTATCTACAGATGTACCTTTGGGATATTTCGTCAGAGCCGCCTCTAATGCTCTTTGCTGTTCTTGACTCCACTCAGAAGTGCTGACTGTATTTTCACTACGGGTCTTGATTTTTTTCGGTTTCTCTTCCACAGAAACTTCCTCCACTGATTCACTAGGCTTCAGTCCTTCTTCTTTTATCTAACGAGAACAAAATACATGTTTTCAAAATACTCCATTTTTTTTAATCGATTCGTTAAGAAGCAAAAATTGAAGTACCAATAATAACCTTCTTAGCCATGTGCGTAACTTCCGCAACGGTACGATTCATAACGTTCGCGATTTTCTCCCATCGTTCTGGGGTTCCACCAGGATATTTCTTCACATATTTTATCAATTCTAATATATCATTATCAGTCCACAAACCACCAGATACCATTGGTTTCTCATTGACGTGATTTGAATAATCACAATCTTTTTTCTTGCTAGTCTCCTTAAAATTATTACTTCTTTCTTGCGGAGTAAAACCGGGCCTACGTTTTCTGACGCTGCGCATAGTTATTTCAGGTTCAGGCTGTTCGTTTTCTTGTGCTCTGAAATATAGATATTTAAATCAGACGAGAAGTATGAATAGCAGAACACAGTTTTATATACTTACAATGCCTCTTCTTCTTTTTGCCTTTGCCTTTCTTTTCTCTCTTTCAAGAGTTGGACGATAAGGCAAACAGTAGAAGGTATAGCTATCACGGAATTTATTATCCATTTTGTTAATTGGAATGGAAGAATGTTCCATGCGCTTGGAGTAGGAATTTTTTCCAAAATATCATCTAGATCTGGAATTTCTGTTTTGCTCTTTCTATTTTTCTTTTGCATTTTTTGAAGTTTACTACCAAAAACTTGCTCCTGTAATCATAATATAGCAAGCATTAACTTTTATATGATATTGTCTAATAAAAAAAGGGCACCTCTACTGATTGTAAAAAAATATTACTTACATAAGTATACCGCTTTTCATAATATGCCGCCCAAGCTACAAGATATTGCCCTATTGAGATAACTACAACCAAGATAGTACTCATCTCCAATAATCCCATTTTCCGGACATGACGGTAATAATATACCGCCGATCGCCAATTTGGCAGTCCATTGATGAGCACATTATCATATTTTTGTCGCTTTCCAGAATCTTTCAGAATATCATAAACAGCGACTAACTGTAAAGAATGCATGAAATAAACTTCAACATTAATTCAAGAAATTTAGCATCCTTTGCTTTTCCGCTACTAAAAATACCTTTCTAAACTGCAACTCCGCATCCTCTGCCGAATTTTTATCCGGGTGTAGTTGCAGCGACAGGCGTCTGAAAGCCTTCTTGATCTCCGAGGCGTTCGCGGACTAGAAAAAACAATTTGCGTCAATGGATCTTAATTAAAGCTCGTTGCTTTGCATGCATTCTTGCGCAATTATATCAACACTGTAAATATCGTTCAAATATATCTGAAGGAAATACCTGTGTGACGCCCAGCACATCGTAAAAATTTTGATTGACCTCCTCGACTACATCAAACACCTCCAGCTCGTCGTTGTCCCACGCATACGAAGATCTAATGAACACGTCCAGGAAGCAGAGAACCCCGAGAATGATCGACGGTAGATTCATCTTCGCCCACATGTAGACATAGTTAGTACCAATACACGCGCGTTTCTTTTCGTTGCACCGTGCGATATTTGTACATTACTAAGACATAATGCCAATTCGTTGATGACCACCCTGATCGGTCAGCGCGGCCCGGGAATCAGGTTAGAAGTCCTCTTTTTGCCGCAGCAGTGTTGCTATTAGGGCCGCTTTCTCGCGCATGCGTATTATGACCAATAGTCATATCTAGGGCTGTAACATGACATACGTATGTAATAGGTGTTAAAATTTTGGCGGGCTCCACGCTAGGATGAGATAGGTTAAGTAAAATAAGTATTTAAATTATTATATAAAATATTATTGTTATTAAAAATAAATATTATTTATTATTTGTTATTTGTTATTAAACATAAATATAATATGGATATACCTAAAAGAGATATAACCAAAAGGGAACCATTAAAAGCATGCTCGTAATTTTAAAATATTTTATTTTAAACACAAATGTATTTTATTATATACTTTTTTTCCTTACATTTACAAAAATATAACTTTGTTAAAAAATTAATGTTATTGTAGATTACTAATATTAATTATATTTAAAATTCTATATAATTAAATAATTTTTATATAATTTTTACAATTTTTACAATTATTTATTTCAGATAGCCGTCTTTTAAATTTATTTATTTTCTCACAATTCAATTTTCAATCTTTTATTTATTTAGTCCTTTATTTTACGAGCGATCCTTTTCTAATTAGAATTTCAATATTTAATCGTGCCAAATAAATAAATTTTAAAATAAAATATATAAAATATATAAAATATAAATATATATATAAATATAATTTGTCTTGTGTTAAGTATATTTAATACAATTGTATATAATTATAAACAATTTTATATAATATAAAAAATTTCAGTAAAAGATCAAGTGATACCTTTTTTCTTCTAAACGTGATACTTCAATGAATCTGCATCTAAATACGCATGCGCGAAAAAGCGTCCCTGAACCGCAAGTGCCACATTGTCACTCGTGTCTCGCATCCGTGATCACTCGCGATTACGTCGGCACATCACGACATAGTCGATGGTCGATATCCGTGGAATCGCGAGAATCGACTTGGCGTGATAAGCTTTTCAGATCATTCGAAATTAGAATCCATTATTCCACCGTGATTATTTTTCTCTTCGAGGACAAATCTGTGAAAATTTTAAAACTTTGTTCCAAGTTTTGTGACCGTCAGAAATCTACGCATTACGAAGTTTTTTTACATGATAATAAAAATATAACCAAAATGGGATACTGCAGTTTTAAACTAGTTCGATTATGTTTTAGAACAAATACTTGATTTAAATTTAGAATAAGTTCGAAATAACAAAAAATGAAAACGGATCTAATCTGAATAATTTTAATTAAAAGTTAATTATTAAATATACTTAACACAAGACAAATTATATTTATATTTTATATATTTTATTTTAAAATTTATTTATTGGCACGATTAAACATTGAAATTCTAATTAGAAAAGGATCGCTCGTAAAATAAAGGACTAAATAAATAAAAGACAAAATTGAATTGTGAGAAAATAAGTTTAAAAGACGACTATCTAAAATAAAAGATTGTTCTTTACTTAATAAAGCACATATAGTTTCCGCAACTGCATCCATTTCTAATATAGATTACTTGATTAATATAGATTACTTGATTTAACTTTATCTTTTTTTTAATTTTAAGAATTAGAAAAAGATGAAATATAATGGTAAAATGTATATTACTCAAGTGCCAGTATTACATTTTTCGATTGATTGCATTGAAGATTATTCCGTTTCGCTTCGTAGTGATTTTAAATAAATATTAAGATTAATTTAAATTAAACGAATATTAAACGAATATTAAAATTAATTATAATTAAATGAAAATGCTGCGTTTTATTTCTTCCATAAATGAATCAACGAACGGAAAGAAGCAAGAAGAGAGACTTGCGAGTATAAAAGACGAATTTTTATTATTTCCAGAATTTCACAAAATATTCTCTAACAATTCTCTAACAATTCGCTGCCGCATCTCTGGATGTTCACATAAAAAAGTTCTAAGAATATACAAAATAAAAAGTATAAATCAAGAGGAATTCTAATCAGTAGATAATTATAAAGCATGACATCATGATCGAGTAATCCATTTTTAATGTGATAACGATGAATGACGAAGGGAGTTGTGAAATATTTAATTTAATAGCGATAGGAATAAAAATTAGAAATATTTAGAAAATTTAAAAAATCTGAGAATAGAGGGTGCATTCTCCAATCGCAAAATGATCCGCATATGACGCACGAACGTCGTATTGTGATTGCCGCAGGCAGTGGTTGTCACGGTTGTTGGTGGTTGACGGTGGTTATCAACCGGTTGGGAAAGAAACCGTTATTTGAAATGGATCTTGCATTCGATGGTGAAATACGAATTTTTCACGAGGGATGCAACGATAGTTGAGACATAAAAGGTACCGATCGCGTGAGCGTCAGACACAAACCGTTTGAATGCGTCAACTTTATGTGTTGTTACTTCATAGATTTCAAGAATTCGCACGAGATATAAAAGAGACATAACCTATGAGGTCACTGCGTAGTCAAGCAAATATCTCCGACTGGACAGTGGCACAGATATTCCTCGAGCAAAATGTTGGAGGGACTTGTCGCTTGGGTGTTGAACAATTATCTCGGCAAATATGTGGAGAATCTAAACACGGATCAGCTGAGCATAGCTTTGTTATCGGGTGAGGTTATGTCTTCTTACGCATTTTACACTATGCTGAAAAAAGCATTATGATGCTTTCTCAGGTGACATAATATACATTAAAAGGACTAACTTGTTAATTATAGGTTAATTATAGGTATTTTTTACTTGTTACACTATATTAATTTATTATGAACGAATTTATATATTTACCTTTTGCGAGCCTGAAAAATATTATCTTCAAGAGTCGATTAAACTTTGTTACTGCATTTATAGATTGTTCTTCTAATAGATATCTGTTTTGTATTAGGTGAAGTTGAGCTGGAAAACTTACCTCTAAAACGTGAGGCTCTGCGTCACATTGGACTACCAATAGAAGTCAAGGCTGGATTTATTGGTAAAGTCAAATTGCAAGTACCAGTTAGGCAGATAAGGACCGCATCATGGGTGATAGGTATAGAGCAGCTTTATTTAGTAGCCGGACCAATTAATTTGGATGAGGTAAAGTATTTTTAGAATTTTGATTATATCTTAAAAATAAATAATAATCTTAAATTAATAATCTTAATAGATTACACAAAGGATAAATATATATGTTACACATAAATTAAAAATTTTTTAGTATGACAATGAAGCGGAGGAACAAGCAATATTGGATTATAAACTCAGTCGATTAGATGCTTTGGAAGCCAGATGGAGAGCTGATATAGAGCATGATCCAAGTTATTACGCCTCGAGTTATAGTTCATGGCTAAATTATGGCACATCTTTGGTAACGAATATCATTGAAAATTTACAATTGAATATCAAAGATGTTCATATTAGATATGAAGATGGTATTACATTATCAGATGGTAAGCATAAAAATATTTCATATTTGAATATAAATAAAAATTTATATTTTACATATTCATTTGATATTTTTATGATAAAACTTGTTTTTTTCTGTATATACAGATAATGGTATTGCATTTGGGATTACGATTGGAGCATTAACTGCGCAAAGCTGTGATGCTAGCTGGATACCCAGTTCGACATCCTGGAATCTTACAGATGCATCATTTAAGTTAATGGAACTCGATGGTCTTTCAATTTATTGGAACCATTTGAAGAAAGATCAACTCTTTGGTGATTTTAATTTAGGCGATCTGGCTGTAAGATATAGAGCTCAGTGTGCGCGATGTAGCATAATTAAGCTCTTGTTCACTTATTAAAGATATTTTATTTATATAATTTTGATTTTTAGTAATTTGATTTTTTAATTAATTTGATTTTTAGATCGCTATGAGCAAAAATAAAATTCAGCGGCATATTTTATCACCTGTAAATGCAAGAGCGCATATTAAAAGAGACCGAACTGAACGTCCATTAAGGTCTATTAACAAGCCGCGTATTGTAGTAGATTTGCTCTTGGACGAAGTACCACTATCTATAACAGATGTAAGTATTATGAATAATAATAATATAATTGAATATACTTGATGAATAAAAATTATTCTTTTAGCTTCAATATGATGAAATGGTTAAATGTATTAAAGAGCTTGATCGTATAGATCGCCGTAAACAGCAGTGGCGTTGTAGGCCAGTAATCCCTGTTAAAGAAGCCTGTAAAGAATGGTGGAGGTATGCCGCCAGATGCCATCTCGGCAGAGATGCGCTCAAACCGAAACTATCTTGGAAAAACATGCTTCTCAGAGCCAGAGAGAATGTTTGTTATGTTCAAGCATACACTAAATTGTTAGGTACAAATAAATATCGTTCCTTTTACAAATTGAGTTTTTTATTAAAAATTTTATAAAATTTTCCTTTCTTTTTAGGCTCACCTACATCGATTTTACCTTCAGAAGTTAAAATATTAAAAGACAAGGTCGAAAATGAGCGAAATTTTGATGAACTTCGGGTGTTGAGAGAACTAGCTATGGACAATATAAAACCTGCGAAATCACAACAAGGAAACAATATAAACGTGCCACAAGGACGTGGTATGCTCGAACAATGGTTTCCACAATGGTGGGGCTGGTATTCGAAAACACCTCACAGCAACAATGGAACACAGCAAAACGGAAGTAATTCGACTACTTTTGATGGAGAGCTATTAGATGTTTTGGCGGATACCATGAATGATGACACTCTTCTACGTCGAGACACAGTGTTCGGACAGTTTAATTTCGCTTTAGTACAGGGCGCGGTATCATTATGCACTTTTAAAGATGGTAACAATGGCAAAAAAACCGTGATAGAACTAAAATTTGAAAAAGTGAACCTGAGCTACGAATCACGACCCAGATCGGGATCGCACAAATTTTCAATCAGTTTAGGCGCATTGTATCTGCATGATTTTCTTACGGAGAATTCTACATTTCCCATTTTAGTACAACCTCAAGTTGCATTCAGTGGCATGTCCTCGCGTATCCGTAATTCATCAGAAAAATTGACAAAGATGCCACATCATCTATTCGAACTAATTTACGAGAAAAGACCCCTGCATATCAATGTCGATCATTTGTTACACGTGTACTCGCAATCCTTGGACATCGTATACAATCCAACTGTGATATATTGGCTGATAGACTTTATGTGCAAACCGCATCGATCAGCGTCGTCCAATCAACGATTTCAAGCGATGAAGCGCCGCACGAGGAGGCAGCTGATTAAAAATTGGGAACAGATTTTAGACGGCGATTTCGTATACCGTTCGTCTTGGGATTTACAGTTTAAGATCTCTGCGCCACAAATCTTATTAGTGGAGAGTTTTGTCGATTCTAGTGCAGCTGTGGTAATGGTTGATTTTGGCAAATTACATTTATCGAACAATGCGGATGTAAATCAGATGACATTGAAAACAGAATCGCCCAATAATGATGACGATGAAGATGATGAGAGATACGAGACACCGTGTTCCACTCCGCCTGGTAGTCAAGAAAACGGTTCTCTACACGATTTCCAGGGCTTATCTGAAACAGAGTTACATAAAAAATTGTACGACCAATATTCCATCGATCTAGTGGACTTACAGATTTTAGTAGGTAAAACAAAAGACAATTGGAAACACGTTCGTACGAGAGGCATGTCGAGCTTGCATTTTCTCGAACGTTTCAATATATCGTTACAAATTGAACGACGTGTCTTCACCACTGCAGATCCCAACTTTCCATCCGTTACAGTATCCGGCAACCTACCAAGACTAGTAGTACATGTGAACGAACAGAAAGTTGGTGCAATACGCTTAATTTATAACTTATTATCGAGTTTCTCCAACTCCGCTGGTATTCCGCAGACAGAATTAATCAATGTGGAACCAAAGAGTCCACGAAAAGAGGAAAATTTGGATCGTTCTTTAAGCCATGCGGTTATGGTACAATTTATTATTGATCAGATGGCCTTTGAATTACAGTCGAGAGGTCGCAGTGTAGCAGAGCTGCAAGTATCTGGTGTTCGAGTGGCCCTCAGTAAAAGAATGGCAGATCTAAGCGTCTCCCTTTCCGTTCACGGTTTGCTTCTAGTCGACGCTCTTCAGGAATTTGGACCTGATTTCGAATTGTTAGTAGCCAGTCATAAACATGTTGGCATGGATAGCGTTTCCGGCAGTTTAAAGGATTCAGAACCAACATCACCCGTCTCGCCAGAGTCACCAGAATCACCAGATTCGACAAGAGCACCACGATTAACTTCGCCCGTTGCTCTGACCAATGCCTTGTCTAGTCTAGTGAGTAAAAGTAAGACCTCGCATTCACCCAGGAACAATTCCTTGGTTGGCCTAGAAAAATTAGACTCAGAAGCACTGATCGTCATAGAGTTGACATTGGTGGAGGATTTCACGGAAAGTCTAAGAATGGCAAATATACAATTTAATAATCTAGATATCATAGCTAATCAGGAAACGATAGTGGAGTTGTTAGGTTTCTTCCGAAGAATCTTGCCGCTACAGAAATCTCGATCGACATACGTCATAAGTCGAGACGACTCCTTATCGAGTCAGAATACGGAAATAAAGTCGATGTCAACAAGAACTGAGATCACTTTCGATTTTCACCGCTTAAACGTGCTACTCTTGCGCGCGGTTGTACAGGACAATCACTTGGTGGGACAGAAAATTGCTACTGCAACTATGTCGGACGCACGAATACAGGCAACGTTGGCCGCGAATACGTCAATCTCGGGTTCCCTCGGAGGGGTGCAAGTTCTCGATCAGACGCCAACCGGGAAGACTCATCAACGAATAATCAGCGTGGGCAGGGATCCCCTAGCGGATCCGCAGCATCATCCGCTCGAGCATTTTAATGATTTATCGGATCAGCCGGAAGCGTTTAGATTCGTGGCCAACCGCAACACCAGACAAACCAGCGAAGAGGACTGCGCGGAAATCGATCTCGATCTTACGATACGTGTAGCCAGTGTTTGGTACACTCACGCGCCGCATCTGATATCGGAACTGCGTTCATGTGCCGATGAATTCAAACAATATCTAAGCAACTTTGCGCGTCAAATTAGCGCAGCCGCTACTGACATGGCTATCGGTTTAGTGAATGCTGACGACTGGATCATTCCGCCGCGTAAGCGATTGCCAAGTGTCTCAGTCGATTTAGACAATGCTAACGCATTGTCGCTGAGATTAGACGTGCTTCTAGAAAGTCCAGTACTTGTTATACCACGCTCTTCACATAGCAGACAGGTATTTGTTGCTCATCTGGGCACTATGTCATTGCGACATGAACCCCATCTGGGATCTATGGCTAAGCACAAGGTCACATTAGAGGTACGCGATATGAATCTATATTCCCTCGAGGTATCCACCAACATCGGACAGTCGCAAAACAATCTACCGAGAGCCGAGGAAATGTACTCGTGCAAGGAATCGGGTAAGCCGATATTGCATGACACAACATTGAAGATCCTGGTAGAAAAACAGAACACTTTAACTCAAAGTATGACTTTTCTGCTGGATGGTGATTATACGAACAACAGTCCAATCGTGCAGGTACATGGTGCCGTGATAACGCCGTTGAAAGTATCACTATCGCGCGGCCAATATGAGCAATTGCTCGATACTACTCATCGATTGTTTTCCATGCCTACCGTGACTGCCACAGCTGCGGTCTCAGAATATGACGATATCGATGGAATGTCTGACTATTCGGAGAAGCTTGACCTTTGCGTGAGGTCTCGTTCGAGCTGCCGATCCTCAGTGTGGAATTGAAGCAGGCGCATTCGGAGCAGCCAGTGGTAGAGCTGTCGATGCGCGACTTCATCGTCAAATATGATAAATTACATCGAAACGAATCCAGCGTGCAGGTTGCTCTGCGTTCTCTCTTGATAGAGGATCTTCTGTGTCCTGTCGGTTCGCGGCACCGTTACATGATGCAATCGTCAGCACCCGCTCGTGCAAAACTGTCCACAGGCGCCTCCAAGTCGTGTCCAGATCTCGCGTTCCTGCGACAATACAAGAACGCCTTTGGTCGCGGTAGTCTACCGGATCGATTGGAGACTTGCACCTTGTACGACGCGATTCCGGCGCACTGGCGCAGGAAGCCGCCGATCTCGGCGGCCGACACACCAAACACCCCACCGCCATCGCCCGGCGGTATCACCAGCGAGGAGAACTTGGTGTTAATAAGTGTCACCATGACGCGTCCTGAAGAGAATGGTTGTGTCGCCCCGGAAGATCGGTTCCATCGCAAAATGGTAACCGTGGACTTCAATTGCCTGGACTTAGTGATAAGCGTGGAATCATGGATGGTGGTGTTTGACTTTTTTGGAATTGCAGGCTTGTCCGGAGCGGCGAATGACGAGATCGCCGCGCATCGAGCCACGCTGGATAGCGACGGTGCCGGCGCGAGTAAGGCAGATGACAATTTACCGGTGAGATCGGAAACGGAGATAGAAGTGAGATCGTTGACATTAGTGTTGACGCAGCTGGAGCGCGAGATAGCCAAGGCGAACGTGTCCAACGCCAACATGCACATTCTCAAGACGGTGGATGGCAAGATCAAAGTGTCGGGATCGTTGGGCTCGATGTCGTTGTTAGACTTGACACCGCACGGCCGATTTTATCGTGAAAGATTCTTGTCGTCCGGAAGGAAAGCATTGAACTTTCAATATTCGAGCTACGCCGATTGCGAGGATCGACCTCACGATGCGCGACTCAAGCTGGAGATGTCCGCCGTGCATTACGTTCATACGCAGAGATTTGTGACGGAGCTGCAGACTTTCTTCGGCCACTTCTCACAACTCTGGAGCATCATGCGGAATCTGCGGGCCGGCGTTGGTGCCGTTATAGATATGAACAAACGTGGCATGCGACTGTCGTTGCAACTGCACGCTGGCGCGCCTGTGATATTGCTGCCGGTGAGTTCCAGGTCCGATGAACTGATCCTACTGGATCTGGGAGAACTTACGGCACACAACAGATTTGATACTTCCCTGACTGTTCCGGACTGCTTGTTGGACGTGATGTTGCTTGAGCTGGTCAACATGGATGTGTACGCGGTGCAGCGGCTCAAATGCGATGAGAGTCTGAACGAAGACGCGGACGCTCTGATGGTAGGCGGCTTTTTCATCAAGAAGATGGGTTCCTCGTTGCTCACGAAGAAGTGCCATCTGAGACTGCGCATCGAGCGAAATCTCGACACTTACATTAGTCGCGATATACCCGATCTAAGTGTGCACGGTATATTGTCGACAATGGACTGCGCTCTGGATCCAGCACAGTATATGCTGATTCGTGGCCTTTTGTCTTACAACATCGGCGAAAATCTGGATGACTTGCGCCTCTTCGTGCAGGATTTAAATCATACGGTGGAATACGCAATCCCGACTGTGAACAATCGCACAAAGACGTGGACCCGATCCTGCATAATTCTCGAGCTGGTAAACGTGACAGTGAAATTACATCCTAGTCACAACATCGCAGCGCTCGCCTGTGTCAATTTTATCAAGTCCCGGCTAACGTTGGACTCGCTGAGCGATGGCTCGCAGGATATCGATCTGGTTTCGCGGGAGATTCTGATCACGGACACGCGTTTTCAAAATGAACCAGTGGACCGACAATGCAACGTGTTCACTCGAATCTTACAGCCGTTGAGGGACTCGACCGACACCGAGACCGCGCAGGATCGCGTCCAGGCGGAGGTGCATCATCGAAAGCGTAAGGCCTATGCAGCGACTACCATTTTGCTGCATAGCATGCGATTGACTGCCATTCTGGACTGGTGGCAGGCCGTTCGAGACTTTTTATTACTAAACTCACCGGAACCGGAACCTATACCTGATGCCGTGCACGTGTCAATTGTTAATCAAGAGGCCGAAGTTGTCGACACCTCCGCGGTCACCGGTGTACCGTTCGAACTGAAGATCAATATTACGGATTCCGAGCTAGTCATTGTCGAGGACACCGCGATTCTTGATACTAATGCCGTAATCCTCAAGACCACTGCTGTTCTGTCGTATCGCTCGATGCCGCAAGAAGGCGAAAAGTCGCTCTCCTGCAATCTCTCACATTGCGAATTATTTTCGTGCATCCTAGGCCTGGAAAATGAAACCGCCCTGTCGATTATTGATCCGGTCGGGGCAAGTCTGGATCTAACTCAGGATAGATGTCTGGAAATTCAATTGCAGCCATTATGCGTGAGACTGAGCTACCATGATGTTACCATGTTCTCTAGGATGTTAAGTTCGCTTCCCAAACAGACCTTATGGGCAAAGCAGAGATTTAACGAAGCAGTAGCGGAAGATAGCCAGATAATAGATAGCCAGGTGCGAAAGCTGGTCAGTTTAGGTTTTGCTGAGGCCGATTGCAGAATTGCATTAGATCATTGTGATGGCCAGTTGGATGATGCCGCTCTGTGGTTGACACAGAATGCGGTGCCATCAAGTGCCGAGACGGTCATAATGAACGATGAGTCAATTTTTCGAGCCGTAGAACTGCAGGTATCCTGCATGCGGATTTGTATTATCGATGATTGTCGCGACGCGGATGTGCCGCTTTTGGAGATCACGCTGGCAGATTTCAATATGCGGAAATTGAGTCAACAACCTGGCCTGCTGTCAGCTACTATCGGCGTGGACTACTACAATCGAGTGCTGAGCGGTTGGGAACCGTTTATCGAACCCTGGCGGGCGAACATCGAGTGGGAACAGATGTTTACTAATTCGTTTGATCCAAAGAGATTACGCGTGTCTATCAACTCCTATGATTCTGTAAATGTTAACGTCACGCTGACGTTGGTAGAGCTTGTACAATTGGTCAAACATAATTGGACGCAGGATTACTATCTATCCAACGGAAGCACAATCATTGGCAAATCGGCAACCAAAGGGCAGATATATCGACGTCGATCACCCTTCATTCCTTTTGCCTTGAAAAACGACACTGGTTGTCGGCTCTGGTTCAAAACATTTATTGCCACTGCAGACGAGACGATAGACGTTGGCAAAGCAGCATCGAAGAACATTCTAGATAAAGATGATACATGGCTCGAGGTGACTCCGGGAGATACAACGCCATTTACGTTCGAAGAGAGAGGTAAGCTGAGGCATCATGCGACACATATTGTTAGAAGACACCAGATTGCGGTTCTGGTTGAAGGGTGGAAACCAGTGGATCCTGTGACTGTCGATCGCGTGGGTATTTATTTCCGACATGCAAACGCTGACATTATCGGATCTCAGGTAAGATGATGTTACTTTGCATTTATATTTCTTGTATTTGAAACATACAACATTCATATTGTCTTGCATATAATGTATTTTATGATGTTACATATTCTTTTATAAAATTTTATAATTACAATTTTATAAATTTCCAATTATATTAATTTTTTTTTCACTTTTATAATATATATATATTTTTTTTTATATTGTACACATTGTTGATTGTTCAAAGTTTATTTTGAAATGTTATAAATATATTATTATAGTAACAAAATAATGTTCAGTTTCAGTCAATCATACCGAAAGCCAGAGTCGTGTTTGCTGTAGAACTGGAAGGTTCTGCTAGGAAATTAGTCATTATTAGATCAGCTCTTCAAATTTCTAACAAGCTAGTTCATCCGATTGAGATCAGGATGGAAAAATCATTAAATCAACTTGGATGTTAGTTTTTTATCTTTCATAAATCGCACGATATTTAGTAAATTTGACCAAAAATTATATACTTTCAGACTTGCCACTGATTTCGACCAACACTGGGAGAATTTTGCAAATACCAGCGCAGTCGGTGACGTCTGTACCTTTGACGCACACTGGAGTGCAAATGTGCTTCAAACCTCTGATTTCAAACTACCAATTCCAATATTGTATGGAATCGGTAGATTGGACGGTGGTTAAGAAACCATCAGAGGTGACAGAGAACTACGTCACTTGTCGGACTAATCAGAATAATATATTCAGGTATATGAAACAAACCTTTTTTTTTCGACGCAACTCGAAATTTAACAAACTAATATATTCAGGTATATAAAAAAAAAACTTTTGTATTTTCTATAGAATGTGCATCGGTGTAAGACGAAATAATTATCCACCTGATGGTATACAAGTGTTACCAGCGCATACAATTACAGTAATGGCTCCCATAACACTGACAAATTTACTGCCGTACGAATTAATGTATGAGGCTGGTATGGAAAGTGGCAGAATCGCGCCTGGTTGCAATGCAGATTTGCACTGTGCTAATTTGAATGAGCAACTAGAAATCACGATTCAATTGGATGGATATCCAGGATACGGGGTGGTACGACGGATATGATTTTTTTAATACATTTTTATATTATATATTTTTATTTAAAGCTGAATTGACAGAGCACTGCGACAGATTCATTTGATAATTGATCTTAGATTGAATAAACTCACAAATGGAACAAACACTATTTTATAATACTAAAATATATATGAGAAATAAGGGTTAAACCCGAACTCGTTTATTTTGAATTAATTGTTTTTCTATAAAGCTATATATCTTCAATCACATTAAATATTATTCTTTATCTATTTATCACATTTTAATAATAATTTAAGATACAAACAATACTATAAAAGATGTTCTTGATCTTGAAATTAAATGTTTTGAATGATGTTTTGAATACATAAATTTGAAATAAAACTAAATTTATTTTAATATCTAAAAATCTATTTAAAACATCTAATTTCGATCAAATTTGTTTTGTATAGACCAATCAAATGTGTATATGCATTTCAGATAATATTGCCACCGAACAGCAGTTCTTTTTCTGCTCGTCTCAAATTATTGGATTCCGCCAGCAGAATACTGTATCTGCAGGCAGCCGTGATTGTGGAGAAAGGTGCAGCCATGCAAATCAACATCACTGTACCTTACTGGATTATAAACAAGACTGGATTGCCATTAGTGTTCAGACAAGAGGGAGTAGGTATCGAGGCAGCGGGACAATATGAAGAACACGAAAGAGCAAGAATGGTGGCGCCCTTACTATTCTCATTCAGTGACGAGGAGGCCAGTAGAACTTTATCAGTGAGGATTGGAACAGAAGTTCATCCTTATGGAATACCACAGTGGTCTCAACATTTTCATCTGCAGTCTGGAATTCACGTAAGTGTATCTTATATAAGAAATCTCTTTATTTCGATTTTTATCATAACTTTATTGTTTTTACATGCGTACGTATGTACTTTTGTATATTTATTTTTTAATTATTATTTTAAGAATTTAGAAACAAAATTTGTAGAAGTTGTTTAATATAATTACTCTGATATCGATTATACAATTATTTTATATAGGTTCATCGTCTAAGAATCAGTCTACGCGACGGCAGACCCGATATAGTTTATTTGATCAGTGTGGCCACTCGCGCAGCAAGAGGAAGATACAGAGCCACTACAGTAGTTACGCTATCACCACGATACCAGTTGCATAACAAATCGTCTTACACGTTGGAACTGGCTCAAAAATGTTTTACGACAACTGTCGTAAGTTATAATCAGTTATGATAATATAAAAAAAAACTTTTATTATTCAACGTAAATATTGGTTTCAGTCTCATCCAGATGCCCAAGCAACATATATAACGACTATGCCCGATTGTCACATGCCTTTCCACTGGCCACGACTGGATAAAGATTTATTGCTTTGCGTCAGAATAACTGACATTTCGAATTGTATGTGGTCAGGCGGAATCAGATTGGATGACAATTATTCATTGACTATTAATGTTAGGGATGTAACAGGCAAGATGCATTTTCTACGGGTAGATGTAGTACTCCAAGAAACTACCTATTTTGTCGTATTTACCGATGCCGATACTATGCCACCACCTATAAGAGTAGACAATTTTTCGGAAGTTCCTTTGCTTGTTAATCAGGTATATTTATATGTTATTTAAGCATGACGTTTAAAAATTATATGGTATTCTATAATTATTATATATTATATATATCTGCAATATTATATTATTTTTATTAATTTTATGGCTAATCTATATTTGCAGATTGGAGTACCAGATAATTTACAGTGGACGGTGAGACCTCATTCGTCAGTACCATATGCCCTAGACGAACCAATAAAAACTGCTGGTTTAGTATTGACGGCACCCGGAGGTGTAACAGCTTCTTATGATTTGAACATACTCGGAGAAGGTAGAGGGTTGACTTACGAAAACTTTATTTACATCGCGTTTACAGGTACTATATTCTAAATGGATAAAGTAAAATATAGATTTTATATATGTATGTACATAATAAATAATGATTATGTGATTTTATTTTGACAGGCACTTTCAAGACTGATTCTGATCTAGGGACAGGCGAAAATAATCTAGATCCGCTAGATGTAGAAACTCAGAGATTAGTCTTGGAAGCTGGTTCTGGTGGTTGGGTTGCTCTTCGAAGGAAACAATATGGTGATAGGTTACAACTTTGGAGAATGACTGGCGATGGACAGTTACAACACGAAGGTAATACAGGAACATCAACTAGAATAAATACTTTTAACTTGTGTTTATTAAAAAAGAAGAAAAAAAATGTTTTCATGATTTTTAAGGTTCCAGTCCACCGAGAGACAAACATTCTAAAACTCCGGATACAATATTTGTTTTGGACATAGCAGGCACTGCACCACAGCCATTTACTTATTGCGCTCTTGCCCTGAGAAAGCCGGATCCCAGGCGACGATCGACGCAGACTTGGCGATTCACTGACGATGGACGTTTATGCTGTGCGCATAAAAATATGTGCGTTCAGTCGAAAGATGGCTTTATGGGATTATACGAAGGTTGGGACATTACTTCTATTTGCATGTATTTGCTGATTTGCTTAATAATTAAATCAATGAGAATTGTTTGCAAAGATTGTGAATTTTTTTTGTCACGCGCTTCATTGTCAGACATAATTTCTATTTTGCGTTGCTTTGTATTGATTCAACATACATTTTATTTGCAAGCTAATTGTCAGTTTTAAATGAGTGTATTATGTAAATTTAATGCTTCTGCCTATAAATGCGAAGCATAAAATATAAAAGGTAATGAATTGAGCGTACGGTATCGTTGGAATTGGCAAAATAACTTGAACAAAGAGATATTGATGACAGGCGATATTTATTATTATTTATCATTTATTATATACTTTGTGTTTTTTATAATTTTGTCTGCCGATTATTTAATTTCCATCGTTGTTAGGAGCCCTCTATTTTTGTCATTATTCCTTTCCCGCTACTTTCGACTGAAGAGATCTAAATCGATCATGAATGTTGCAGGCGGCAGTGTCGCCCGTTGGCAAATGTGTACGTATAGTTTCAGAGTACACATTAAAATCGGTGATTTCCTAAGAGTTCACCCATAAGTATTGTGTACTATAATATATCTCTGCTTGTTTTGCTCCTTTTTTTCTCTTTTTTTTTCTTCATGAGCATTATGCATCCTCCCATGAACGTCAAAGCGCGATATAGAGAAAAAAAATTGTCTGTAAATCTCAAAATTCTTTGTGAAAAAAATCTATTTTCTCAGTATAATTCTCGAGATAAAGTTGCCAAATAACTTATGGTATGAAATGAGTCAATCACAGCGTTATCGTACTCTGGCGTACAATGCTTTTGCATTCGCAAATTCTTTGAATCGTATAATAGTATCATCCATATTTCCACGCGCAGTAAAAGAAACACTGTCCTATAGGGAGCGAAGCTGTATTGGGCCCTCAGACACACAGCAATCCACCGCCAGTCGAGCAACGAGTGGGAAGACAAAAATTACGGCCAGGTTCTGGATTTTTATCGGTCAGAGTAACTACTGACGGCCCGACTCGTGTTCTACAAGTTCTAGATATTAAAGAGAGGGTATATATCAGCTTAATTTACTATTATTTGCTTTCGTTCTTCCATTGTTCTAAAAATGTTACTTCACACGTTACTACTCAAATCCGAATAAAAATATAGAAAGCAAATTATTGATGAAAGTAAAAAGCTATATAAATATCTGAATTAATTATCGCATACTTTTTTCAATATTTCAGAAGAAAACATTTGCCTTACTTGAAGAACGTGATTGGTCACATATCGCTGTAAGTCATCGACCCACTCAGATCGATGCCGACGTCAAGAAACTGGATTCTAGTGAATTAAATCTGGAGCTGAATTTACCAGCCGGTCTTGGATTGTCCATTGTGTCGCAAAGACCAGTAGAAGAGCTGTTATTCGCACGATTTGCTTCAATTTCTTTAGATTTAATGCGGACGCCGTTGAACACTACATTGGATTTGAGCGTTGGCGACGTGCAAATTGATAATCAATTGTTCGAGGCGCAATGTACGTCGGTTTTATTCGTGACACGGTTATCTCGCATGGAGGATGAATACCGACCCGCTCTTCATTTAGCAGTGGAAAAGCTACAATCGAAAAATCAAAATGCTGAGATATATAAACATGTTATAGTGAGTGTTAAGCCCTTATGCGTACATTTAGAAGAGAAATTTATCTTGAAATTGGCAGCGTTTCTCGGAATTGGCAAGTCGGAGCTAGAGGTGCCGCTTGACGAGAACGATTTCAAAGCACAAAGATTTATTTCGGAAGTATCTGCCGCGCACGCTAAGAGATATTATTTTGGCGCCCTGAAACTCGTTCCTAATCAGGTATAAATGTAGTATAATTTAGATTTATATTTATTGTTTTATAAGTTATATTGATTACGTATCGTTTCTTCACACAATACACATATATGAATTTTTTTTCTTTAGGTAAAACTTAGCGTACTCACTACGACAAAATTGCCACATCATCTGCAGGCTGTGAAGAGGAAATTAGGCTTGACTCTAATTAATTTCGAAAATGCCACTATCGAATTGGAACCGTTCGTTAAGAAACATCCTTTTGAGAGCAGTCAATTCTTAATACATTCCATCGTAAAACATTACAAAGATGTATGAATATGCGAATAATTCTTATTTATTTCCTGTTTATTCCTGTTTATTCATTTAGTAAATAAGTTATGGTATTTTACAGGAATTAAAGTGGCAAGCTGCAGTTATTTTAGGTTCTGTAGATTTCTTAGGAAATCCTCTTGGATTCATGAGTGATGTCACGGAAGGTGTCTCTGGTCTTATCTATGAAGGCAGTGTGAAGATTCTAGTCAAGAATGTTACTCATGGAATTTCGAACTCGGCAGCGAAAGTGACAGAGTCTCTATCAGATGGTTTAGGAAGAGTGATTATGGACGAAAGGCATGAAGAAGCCAGACAGAGGATCCGAGCTAACACTACGGGTAGCAGTGATCACTTGGTAGCAGGTTTAAAGGGTTTTGGTTTTGGCTTATTGGGTGGTGTCACTAGTATATTCAAACAGACCTATGACGGAGCAACTAATGAGGGTTTTCCGGTAAATAATTTAGATGTAAATATGGCTTCTTCACATAAATATAATTTATGGAACTTAAAAGCAATGCAAAATTCTAGGGTTTCTTTGCGGGTTTCGGAAGAGGAGTAGTAGGTACGATAACGAAACCTGTCGTCGGTGTTCTAGATCTGGCAACGGAAACAGCTAGTGCTGTACGAGAGACAAGTAGAAGGTAATATAATCTCATAATTATCTTTTTATATTATTTATCTAATTATATTTTTTCTAACGACTATTATAAACATTTTTTAATCATTTAATTAAACATTTTTATTAATTTTTTTTCGTAGTGCTCATCGCACAATACCAAAGCGCGACCGACCGCCGCGTGTCGTCAGTGGTTCTACCGGGCTGCTACCGCCATACAATCGTCAGCAAGCTGAGGGTCAAGAGTTCTTATACAGCATTAACAATCGCGACTATTCCGAACTTTTCGTCGCTTACGAGTGTCTGTGCAGCGGCTCGGAAAATCTTAAAGTACTGGTATCCAATGAGAGAGTACGCGTTATCTCTGGTGGCACAAAAGCAGTGGTGACTCAAGTCAGTTTGGCGGATCTTCTGCGTTGCCAGCCAATGCAAAAAATTCAAAGCAATAACGTGACTCTGCATTACATAGAGCTAATATCCAGATTCGATTCGTCGGCTGCGGTCAATTTGGACGGATTGGCTGAATTGTTAAGACGACCGAAGGTACGCTGTGACAACGAAGAAGTAGCAAAGCGGGTAAGTATATAAAAGACGAGATATAATTCAAAATTGATATGAAATTTTTCTTTTTTCTTATTATAATTCTTTTAACTCATTGCCACCATTTTTCTCTCATAGGTATCACAACAAATCAATTATGCCAAGGGAATGCACGAAGAACGAAGTTTGACATTGTCATCATCAGATAATATGCTGGATGATGTGCAACATTATAAGTAATCGACTAGAGTTCAATCTTATCTCTAACACGTTTCCTGAACGTATTTTCTCTAGTCAAGTTATTAACTTTATCTCGTAGAGTGCACGAGAGTTTATAATGCCTTAGTTACGACGCTTAATGTTAAGTTTACAAGAAGACTGATACGAATTATCTGTAAAAATAATTGCTCGCCAATGCATGAGGCGTAAGTTATTTGAGCGTGATCAAATTCTAATTTTTGCGTCTTGTAATTGTGGCATAGAAACTTTTGATACGGATCGATCGTGTATAAAAAAACAAAGTAGATGCATATGTATATATATTTATATATAGAGCTGAGAATTTTCTAATGTTGTACATAAATGTACATATGTCAGTTCAGCGCGTGCAGGATATTTAGGATCATTATTTTGAAAGGCTCTCTTCACAACCACAGTGGAAATCAATATAGATAGAAAATTTTTTTATCTCTAGAATAAAGTTACGTATTTTATTACGCTTCGATTTTAACTGCTTTACTGCTTGTAACTTAAGATCAGCGCTTCGATCTTAAAAATAGATTTCTCCTTTACAACTTTGATTTGGTATCTGTAAGTAACATACGATGTTTTTTGAATATTCTATGTAAATACATGTATCAAAGTTAATGGATTATAGATTACTTATTCACAAAGGGAATGATCTATACTTAATGCAATATTTAGAAATAGTCCAACCAAAGCTTTTAGCGTATATATAAACTTAGTAAGTACAAATATTATAAGACGTGTTCATTTTTCTCTTTTTTTTTTTACGAATGTTTTCAATAGCACAAATCTTTTCTGCTCTAATTATTCGCACTTTTCGTTTTGCAATGCCTTATTATTTTATACAGAATGATTTATATGTATGTATGAACATGATATGCAATAAGAATATATATAAACTGTACAAATAGATAGTCAGCTAATTTAAATACTTTTATAAAGCTGGCGTACAATGCAAAGATAATATATGTTTGTAATATATATATATATATATATATATATATACACATATATATGTTATGTTGATATTTGTTAAGCAGATTAATAAATGTTACAACTATAACATATGACTTGAGATATAAAAGATCTTTTATATTATTCTAAGATATTATGATTAGCTTTTGAAAACATAAAAAATATGTGACATAAAAGTTCTGAAATTATTTTTGAATTATAAAAAAATTCATGGAAACATTGAATGCATTAAATTCATTTGAATTCATAACTCATTTTTCAATGCTGCTCCAATTTTGAAACTTCGATTTCTCGCCGCGCGAGGTCACTCGAATCAAATGTCCTGCATGATTCGATCGAATGCGTTGTGTGATCGAACTTTGAAAAGTCGTGCCTCGGACGCTCGCATTATCGCATGCTTATGCTGTCGTGATTCCTCATCCTCCGATTTATGTAACGAGAACCTTCCGTTGACGATCAGCCCAAAGATATGGAAGAGACATGTCTGGAGGAAGGTCCTGCGGTAAATTTCGAAAGAGCCACCTTAGAAATCGCTAATACCGACCGTGAGTTCCGCTATCATCCGCTCAATTTCTTTGAGATGTCAATCTTTTAAATAATTTCTAATTCTACAAGAGACTCATAGTAAAGTTATGGCTGTTCATTCTGTTCATTCTGTTACAAATGTTTTTCTGATTTCAGCTGTCAGATCGTCGATAGAGAATGCGGATGACGCGACGAAACAGCATACCGCCCCGAGAAACGTGTGCAATGCGCCGTTCAAGCACATAGATGTTAACACATTCTTCACTGATAGGAACGAGGTCGTCGAGAGAGCGATAAATGATTGCACTGAAAAATTGATAAAGCAGAACGATGATGAATTGGTTGGAAGCTGGCTTCTAACGGAGTACGCGCTATGTAAATCAATGAATCTTATGCATTGTTTATTATAATTTACAAAAGAATTTATTTGTTTTAAGGATAAGTCTATGGGACACAGAGAAAGAAAGACTTGTATTACTGGCAACAAAAGCTCTCTACTCTGTAAAGTACGATTTTATTTCTTTGAAGATACTTGACTTTAATCGAGTACCCATATTGCTGTTTGATACCATAGTCATGGGAGAATTGATCTATCCGAACTCGTCTCTTGCACCGTAAGCATTTATAATATTACAAATGACTTACAAGATATTTGTGTGGTAAATGTAAGTTCACAACCTCATAGCTTGAGTGATATATTTTTAATATTCTATTCCTTTCTCATTGAAGGCCTATTGACATCTGTGACAAGATATACTTATAACAGAATTATGTGTTTAAAATGTAGAAATTATATCTATGTTCTTGTCTGATGCATTTTATTTATGCCAATTTGATTCTAGACGATTAAGTGGATTAGCAGAGGGTGTGTCGTCTATAATTCATTGTGCAGTACGTCAGGAGTGGTCGTCTATTGCAGGTTGCTCTAATCTTACTCAATTTGAACCTAGGTACATAGCTTTGTTGTCTATTAGTCTAATCTCGTTTTATCTAATTTGGCTTTTATATATCCGCTTTTATTGCTTCTTTATTGTATTATACAATGTATCTATTAATAAACGTTTGTTTTATATTATATGCTTTTTGTATATTTATATTATGTGTAATTTTCATCGATGTTATACATAATGTTGCAAAAGCTAAATATCACGAGAAGAGCACATGCATAAAACATTGGCTTATTTTGTATATTTGTATTTTTGTATATTTGTCTGCAGAAATAGGATTTTAAAATTTTCAGGAAACGGCATATGTCGGGAATAAGACTTATGTGGAACAGGGGGCAGCCGTTGCCTCTTATAAAAAAGTGGAATCCATTTGCGAGAGATATACCATGGCTCACATATGCTAGTCATCCATTGTTCTGGTACAAAGGTAGTATCGTGTTGAAATCAATCACGATAAAAAATTATAAACAACATTGCCATATAAAAGATTTGCCGTGTGTCTCTTACTAATAACAATTGCGAATAATAAATAATACTTTTTTAGCTGGAACCGAGATTGTGAAAACGAGATTTGATATAGAAGCTTTTCATATCACGCTTAAAAGTTTACTACCTCATGAATGCAACGTTGTTAATTTACCGATCGTTATAGAGAATTATTGCGGTCTCGGTGCTTTAGTGCACAATAGGAACGGCTTAGGTTTCTTTAAAGTACGTGGCAAAGTCAGTTTCTAATTTCTTGTTGCAAATGCTGCAAGGTATTCTGAATTTTACTACTATTAATATTTTTCTTCTTAAAATTCTTTTCTACTATACCACACTTGTAATTTCATCCTCTCTTGTACAGTATTATAATGGTAATTAATATTGCAAAACACAATCATTTCTATGATAAATAAACAAGCACATATATATTAATAATCAATAATTTATCAATATATATGTGCATTAATATATAATAAATTACACATTAAAATTATTAAATTTATCAAAATATTTTTAAAATTATTTAATAATTTTAATTAATATTAAAATTATTTTCATAAGAAATGGCAGATCATAGTCCATTAAATAATAATTTTTATTAATTGCTATATATTTTCTGAAATATATGAATTTTTATATATATATATATATGTGTGTGTGTGTGTATGTATATAAATTTTAAGCTATATACATATTTTTCATTTATACATTCATTATTTATACTACGCTAAATTATTTTCTATAAAAAAGTCTATGAAAAAATTTGTTCTCGATCCATAATAAAATTTTAAAATATTTTATATATTAAGAACTTACACTTATTCTCTCTTGGTACTTGAATTGCCGTGCGGAAAGATTTATAGATAGAAACAGTATTCATTGCGATTTCTTATTGTAAGACTATACAATGTACTTATATGTATACAATGTCATATGTCTATTTCTGAGTTAATAATAAATGAGAAATCTTGAATATACTTACAATTTTAAATGGCATTTGGCGGCATTTTTTTTTTAACTAAAGCAAGAATTTTATTCATTCTTATTAATCTTTTCATTTTTCATAATATCTAATTATATCTTTTAAAACATTTTATATTAAAAGATCGTTTTAGTGTACAAAGTTCATTCATGAGTTCGTCCTGCATGCATTTTATGAATCACAAACACCTATCACAGATTAACAGCTGATCCGTGTCAGATTAGGATAGGTCACGCATTAAGTTAGGGTTAGGATGGTGGACCAACAGATGCTTTGTTTATATCACCTGTTGATTCAACACGACTGTGAATGGCATGCTTATAAGCTACCATATGCTACACCATACTTGATAAATTTTTCAATACTTTTCATTGAATGAAACAACAATAAAACTTACATCATCATAGATTGATCGGCGCGGTTGCGGATTTATAATAATTATTATATAAGTTTTTGAATATGTTTTGACGTTAGAATGCCAATCTACAAAATAATATTGTCGATGATTCTGTGACGACTTCATTCTATTTTTATAGTCGACATGTGTGCGCAGAATGCATACTGCAGGTAACACATTAATGTTCTTTATTCTTTATATTGATAATAATTAATTAGAGTGATAAATGAGAAATGATAAGTTAAATGTAATGTATAAATTAATTTTGTTGTATATTTGCAGCCTTGGAATAAACAAACTTTGCAAACAATATGGAAAGTAAAAAAGTAAGACTCAAAGCAGTTTAAGGTATATACATCTGCAAAAAAGATCTTAATGAGATAAGTGAGTTCAATGAAGGTCAAATGTAATGACTAGAGGCACGAGTAGATTCTACTGTAGGCGTGTATGTAGAAGACAGAAAAATTACTGGAACCGACCAACCTTCTCAGAAGCCTTCATTTATTACACAATAATGAGTCACATAGCTTACATTTCGTTCACATAGAATGATTAAGACTTTTACACCTTCCACTTCGGGACGTATTAGGTAAATCCCCACACTATCAAGCACGTCACCATTCTGTATTTGGCTAAATCCCCTCCAATGAAATAACGGGCTGAATCCCACTTCTAAAACTGTAAGCGTATAGGTAGGAGACAGAAAAATTAATGACACCAACCGGACTCGAACTCAGGATCATTCGTTTGCTACTCGCGGCAGTTATGTTTGTATGACCGCGACGCTTCCTCTTAGATAGCTATTTATATTCCCAATCTCCTAGTATCTAATTAACTCCCTACTCCTTATCTCTTTTTATTAGCTATATTACTTAATAATTGACAGTCTAGCTTAATCTCAGAACTGAAAGATTATGTATTTATCGAATTTTTTATTGTGACGACAAAATGCGTTTCCGATTCTTAAAACAGAGATCTGTGTTTTTGATCGGCACGGGAATCGGCTTTATTCTTCCTTTATTGTTTGCTTTATTAAGGAATATATTAGTGACTGAATTGATTATCGACCGTGATCTATCACTGTGGCAACCTGAATATTACCTGAATAAAAAACTTCATCACGAAGAGATCGTTTTACAGCTTTGGAAGAAAGTGAATAAGACTTTGGACCACGTTAATAATATCACATACCATGCTTGGTTGGCGGCACAGAACTTGAAATTACACAAAATTGATTTAGACGAATATTTGTACGGTCCACAAAAAGGAGATAACGCGAAAGAAATTGAAAGCATAGAATGGAATTGGTTAAGGAAAAAAGCGTCTGTTACATGCATAGTTTTCGTGGAAAAGCTTAAACTAGGAAAATCAATCAAAGCTACTTGGGGCAGACGCTGTGATAATATATATTTCTTTGGACACCGTTTGAAAGATGCAAATTTGCCTATTATAAATATAAATATAAAAATCGTGTCTTCTTGGCAATTGTTGTGCGAAGCTATGAATTATATATGGAATGATAAAACAGCAGATAAATTACAATGGATTTTATTCGTGAAAGATGATACTATGGTCATCCCAGAGAATCTACGCTATATGGTCGCTCCATTGGATCATAGACATGATTTTTATTTGGGTCATCCTGTAGTTTTATGGGGTCAGACTTACAATGTTGCTCAATCCGGGTATGTTCTTAGTAAAGGGGCACTAGGTAAAATAGTGCAAATGTTTAATACCACAGAAAAATGTATTAAGGGCGGAAAATATTGGAAAAAAGAAGATTATTATCTCGGTAAATATTTCTCGAAAAATAACCTTGTATAGAGCATATAAGTTTGATGACTTACTTCTGCGATATTGATTTTTTTATTTTACTTTACAGGAAAGCATCTATCATTCTTAGGCATACGACCGTCTGATACCAGAGATCAATACTTAAGAGGTACTTTTCACGGTTATTCTTTACAAAATCTTCTATGGGGTATCGCAAAACCGGATAGTTATTTTACACGCGCCGTGTATCCGATAAAAGGAGAATGCTGTTCGCCAATATCTGTGACTTTTAGCGCTAGTGAGTCGGACAAAATGCATACGCTGAATTATCTGTTATATCAACTACATGTATTAAACAGCGAGAGTCGATTTGGGAATATTCGTGCTAAAGTTTCAGTACGCGACGAGGATGTGAGTTTTAATATACTTAACTAGCCTATAACTTTTATTTAAAACATTTTTCTTAAAAATACATTATATATTTTTGAAATATTTGACCTTATTCCAAGGTTTTTGGGACACAGTGTATAATAGAAATTAAAATATTAAATATGACATAATGAAATAGTGATATTATAAAATATATATTTATATTATATATGTTTATATTATTATACAGGTTTGGAAGATTGCACTGCAAGAAGAATTTAACATCACACATTTGAGTGATATATCTAGCGATGTTTATTACGAAATATGGCACTCGAGGTACTCCGAACCAGAACAATTGAAAGTTACTAAGAATTATCGAATGACGCCAGATGCCCTAAATTGTTTACTGGCAAATTACAAAGCGGGAAATAGCTCTACGCTCAATTGTAAGACTAAAAATATCATTGATGATACGAAAAACTGAATGAGTTAGTTTAAGATTTATTAAGTTTATTTATTAGAATGTTAATTTTAACAGTTTGCTATAAGTATTAAGATGGAGAATTTTTTATTGTACAAAAATAAAAAAATAGTGTATATATATTTTTTTGTGTATATAATTATTCAAATATTAAAGTGATATTGTATAACTTTGACAGATAAGTATTAATAAAAATACAAATGGTAATTCAATTTACTACAATTAATCCACTTATGCATTTTGTGTAAATCATGTTATTAATCGGAAATGGTTGATAAAACTATTTCCCTTGTTACATTTAATATATTTTATCGGACTAATTAGAGGCTCATTAGGTCTAGACCAAAAGCGATAAGTTAATCTCGTTCTTGAAACGTTTTTGCAGGAGTGTGTGTAACAGAACTCTTAAATAATTAATTATTGAAAAGCAATTATATATTTTGTATATTTTATGAGAATAACTACATATTTTTTTTAACTTTTTGTTACATTTATCATAATTTCATATAAACTTAAAGTCTATGTAGAAAACTATGTAGAAAATTTGAATATATAAAGAAAGTAGAAGAAAGAAATTTTATTCTGAAGATTATCAAAATTTTGATAACTGTATAGTTATTATTTTTATAATATATTTTTTAATATACATATTATGTATTTATTACAAATACATGTAATATAATTAATTTTATATATAAATATTTTATATATATAGGCTACACGTATTGTGAGAGGAGGTCTGTTTGCGACCAGTTGACCCATATTTTTCATCTTTCTCGTTTATCAAATGCAATTTGTGCTTATCACTTATCCGTTTCCTTTTAGAGGTATATAAAAGGATTGTACTCCGATTTGCGCTTTTTAAAAGTGTTATTTAGTCCATGCGTTTCATTAAAGATACAAATATAAAATTTGTTCTGACGCGCAAATACGAAGTTACATCGTTCTGGTACCATGGTGCCATTACAAATCCTCGGGCGTTTATTCGTATTGATCGTCATAGCGAGCAGTATAAGACAAGGATATGGATATACAGAGGATATAGATGCACTACAAGTAAATGAGTTAGTAAATCGTATATCTTTCTATTGTAAAAACTGAAATTCTTTATAGCATTATATTAAAATAACTGTATTTTAATTTTCTTAAGAAACAAGTTATGTGAATTAAAAATATCGTATCTCCAATTATATGTTTTTTTTCTGTATACATATTAGGGAGGAATATATGCTGAACGATGCACTAGATGTACCGATTCGAAATGCTCATAATGTTAAAAATACCAAAGGAGGAAGACGCGTATTCCGAGGGGGTTGTACTCGTAAACCAGACGCGCCTACAAACGTCAAATTAGAATGTTCTCAGAGGTATTTGAAAATACTGAAAACTAAAAAATAATGGATATTACAAATTTTATTCTACATTTAAATTATTTAAAGTAACTGATAAATTAATTATTAATTTTTGCGACGATAAATATTTGCAATATTAAAGAAAAACAATATACTAAATATAATAATTCTTTGTGAATAGTGGCTGTATTGCAAGTTGCGCACCGGATTATAAGTTTCCGAATGGTGCGTTACAGTTGAACATTATCTGTGTCGATAAGAAATGGGTCTTCGGAGGAATCGATACCTCGATACCTCATTGTGAACGTATGTAGCGAGAGAGAAAGAGACAGAAAAGAATATTTTTATTAATTCAGAAAACCGAAAGAACAAGATAATTTTGCGTTTTAAATCGCATATTAAATTTTTTACAGCGATCTGCATGCCGGAATGTCAAAATAATGGAATATGCATTGCGCCTCATCATTGCGACTGTCCCGAACATTTCACCGGTCCACAATGTCAATTTGAAAACAAACCATGTCTGAATTATCCACCGCTCGTGCGCAATTCTAAAAGAACATGTAATTCAAAGTGAGTATAATATGTGGATTACACTTTACATTTTTACAAGTTTTCATTTCTTTCTGACTTTTTTTTTTTTTAAGAACGTGCACTATATCTTGTATGAAACAGTTTACTTTCCCTGATGGTTCATCCGTCGCTAATTTAATCTGCAAGGACGGAAGTTGGAAGCCAACTAGAAATGATTGGGTTTCAATTCCGGATTGCGAACGTTTGTCTACACAATCATTAAATTTTCAATGTATTAAAAATTAGATGCTTATAATAAACTATATTTATATTTTTACAGCTGTATGTGATCCACCTTGTCAAAACGGTGGTAATTGTCTGCCAACAAATTTGTGCCAGTGTCCACAGGATTATCGAGGACCTCAATGTCAATACTGTAAGTAAAAAGAATATTTATGATATTTTATGACATACATTTTATAATTCTATTTTTATTAACGGTAAATATACGCAAAGATAAACTTTATTAAATATTTTTTATATTTTTATTTTTTTCTATTAACATATATTTGATATGGATGATAGCTGCCAATGCTTGCGATGCCGAGAAATTACATTTCAATGGCGGATATCACTGCACCAGTTACGGTGATTCGTATTCCTGCACGCTGAATTGCCCGAAAGGAGTGGAATTCGAGTTTCCACCTGCTGCAGTCTACATTTGCACTTATGACAAAGGAATCTTCGAACCACAACCCATACCACAGTGCAAAGTCGATAATAACATCAAGATTATCTCTCTCGGGACTTCCTATAACACATACATACGGGAATCGAATCACTCTTGGTCGATGGAAAATACTTACGGCACCGAAACAAATTATTCTCAGGAAATTTATGGCGAACATTACAGGGTTCACGGCAGTAATGTCTCCTCGCATCCGGTAAATAATACATTACGTTTACAAGAACATGATTTATTTAACATAAACAAAATTTATAATATCCGATCTAAATTATATGTGTGAAAAAAACTATGATTATCAAATTAAGAAAATAAAAATGAATTAATTAATTTATATCGCATATAACATTACAGAGCCAATATAATGCACACAATGATCGCATACAGATATTTGAAATGAGTCGGCCCAGACCGAAGACATGTTTTACTTGGGGAGGTACGCACTACAAGACATTCGACGACAAAATCTACAGCTTTGATAGCGACTGCCCGCATACGCTTCTTCGGGATACACGAGACGGTATCTGCACGATCGTGGCGTTAAATAGCCCGAACTGTAAAAATGGATTGGGACATCATTGTTCCAAGATTATAAAACTATTCGTGCACAATAAGGAGTTTGTACTTACTAATGACGAGACGGGTACGCCGATATTCTTTAACGGCAAACGATCGTTGCCGATACCGATATATTTGCCCGGATTGCGCGTGGACAAATCCGCGCATTTTATCCTTGTCTCCCTCGATTCGTTGGGCGTGAAGTTGAAGTGGGATGGTGTCTTGCTACTACAAATTGAAGCTCCCGAGAACATGTGGAACAAAACAGCAGGTCTATGCGGTACTATGAACGACGATCCGAACGACGAATTCTTAGCGAAAAGCGGAAGTTATGCGAAAAATATACCGGCGTTTGCAAGTTCTTGGCGCGTCAAAGATTTCGGAGGTAATGACAATTATCATTATGTTTTTATTTAAATTGTTTTAAAGATCTGCAGTAATAGCAGTTTATATTTCGCAGAATCATGTGATGATTATTCGAATGTACAACATGCATGCAACTCAAGAGAAGAGCTCAGCCGCGAAGCCTTTCAATTCTGCTTCAAATTGCTTTCCAATCGTAAATTTGAGGCTTGCACCGATACGATCAATCTTTCTGAATTAATAAACGAGGCATGCTCATGGGATTATTGCGCCTGCAAGCATAACGATAGAAGAAAGTGCGCCTGCGATACCATGGATGTTTACATTCGCCAGTGCGCTCACAAGGGAATCGCGCGATTAGCCGCATGGAGAAGCGACGATACTTGTCGTGAGTCTCAGTTTAGAAATATTTTATGAACAGTATTTTTACTACTCTACTACTCTCTACTACTATTTTCATACTCGTGTAAAAACTCGAATTTGCCTTAATTAATTCTTAAATAAATGGACAAATGAAAAAATTAATTTTAGCGATTACCTGCGACGGTGGACGAGTGTACATGTCGTGCGGTCCAAAAGTGGAAGCGTCCTGTTCTTCCGGTATCGAGGCGACGAGCAAGAGTTCTGAATGCGAGGAAGGTTGTTTCTGTCCAGCGGGCACTTTGGAGCATCAAGGCAAATGCGTTCTTCCAGAAGAATGCCCGTGCAGACTGAGAGGTAAACTGTTCCAGCCAGGTACGAGTGTACCAAAGGGTTGCAACACTTGTACGTGCACTTCCGGCAAATGGATATGCACGCAAGTATTATGCAGCGCTAGATGTGCCGTTTTGGGTGATCCGCATTACACCACGTTCGATGGCAAACATTACGATTTTATGGGAAAATGCAAATATTACTTGATAAAGGGAGAAGATTATGCAATCGAGAGCGAAAACGTTGCATGTTCCGGGGCGATATCCGAGGTTAGAGAAATTTCTTTTATTGAATGGAAATTTGATATATTAAATTTGATTTTATTTACTATTTTTCTTATATTTTTCTATCTTCTTATATGTTTATATCTTATTGATTATTTTAGAGCATGGGTTTTGCTTCTTCCGGCTCGCCGTCGTGCGTCAAAGCTATTAAGATTATGTTCAAGAATACTTCTATAAAATTGAAGCAAAATCTTCAGATTACGATTAATGGTAACGAGGTAACGAAATTCCCGATACTGATTGACGGTGTCCGAATACGGATTGCAAGTAGCATATTCGTGGTGATTCACTTGCCAAATACTTTGGAAGTGTGGTGGGATGGTGTATCACGTGTTTACATCAATGCTCCAGCTGAATTCCACGGTAAATTTTTTTTATTATGAATGTTTTCATATCTTCAAAGAACACTTTTAATTGAATTGCAATTCGAACAGGTCGAACAAAAGGACTTTGTGGAACGTTTACCGAAAATCAAAAGGATGATTTTATAACACCCGATGGTGATATTGAGTCCGCGGCAATCACTTTTGCCAATAAATGGAAAACAAGTGAATACTGTGTCGATGAGCCCGACAGTGAATCAAAACATCCGTGCGATTTAAATCCTCAAAGGCGAGCGATCGCAGAAGAGCATTGTTCTAAGATACATAGTGATATTTTTTCAGGTATTTACATACATTTTTCTATCTAAATTCAAATAATTTCATTATTTTTCTATTATTCCAGATTGCCATTGGTATGTCGATCCAACAGAATTTTATCAGGATTGCATATATGATATGTGCGCGTGCGATACTGATATAAAATCGTGCCTCTGTCCCATGTTAGCTGCATATGCGAAAGATTGCGCGGCGTTGGGTGTGAAACTTTTGTGGCGTACCGAGATCGACGAGTGTAAAATTCACTGCAATGGCGGACAAAGTTATCAGATTTGCGGAAACAGCTGCACGAGGCATGTTGTAACGCATTTATTTATTTATGGAGTTTTTATCGTCTTTTATATTACATTTAATTTACTGATGTAGATCGTGTGCAGATATATCTTTTTATCGAGACTGCAAGCAGGAGTGCGTGGAAGGTTGTAACTGTCCAGAAGGCCAGACGTTAGATGCAAACGGCGAATGCATTTCGATCGCACAATGTCCCTGCATACACGCGGGCCGCGAATATAAGCCTAATCATCGAGAAGTCCGTCCGGGCAACAAGGGACAAGAGCTCTGCTCTTGCGTAGGTAAGGTCTTGAAACGCGAGTTTGTTCTCAATCTTTGTAATGCAAAATTGTATTTTTCATTTATCTTATAGGCGGCGTATGGAAATGTCGATTAGCAACAACAGACGAAATTCGGGAATATCCACCTGTTACGGAATTACTATCCGTTTGTCAGGCTAGCAAGCATCTGGAAGTGACAGATTGCAAACCGGTAGAGCAAAAAATTTGCAGCAATATGCATATATGGAAGGAACAAACATCGTCGGTGTGCACATCTGGTTGCGTCTGCAAATCCGGATATGTTCTAGACGCGCCGAATGGTGTATGCATCAAACAAGAAGATTGTCCCTGTCATCATGGCGGAAAGAGTTATAAACAAGATTCAGTTATACAAGCTGAGTGTAATACTTGTACATGCGAAAATACCAAGTGGAAGTGCACTGATAGAATTTGTGCAGGTAAGTTCTTATGTCAATCATTAATTATTTTTTTTATTACTTGTTCTTCAATTTTTCGATAAATTTATCATATCGCTTAACAAATATTAATTTTTTATATACTTTATATATTATTATATCATTCCAATGAAATAATATTCTTTTTACAGGAATCTGTTCTGTATGGGGCGATTCGCATTACAAAACGTTTGATGGTAAAATGTACGATTTCCAAGGTATATGCGATTATGTTTTGGTGAAGAGCGCAATGAGCAAAGAAGATTGTTTCGATATCTCAATTCAGAATGTACCTTGCGGTACAAATGGAGTTGCGTGCTCAAAGTCAATCAAGCTCACGATTGGCAGTGGTAAGCAGCAGGAAGAACTCATTTTGACAAAAGGAAAGGAGCTACCAAAAGGACCTTTCAAGAGATTATCGATAAGGACTGCTGATCTCTTCGTATTTGTTGATGTACCGGATTTAAAATTAGTATTGCAATGGGACAGAGGTAAATATTATGTACAGATTGTATAACTAAAAATCTATTTGGATTCTATTCTTGAGGCTTTCAACAATTTTTGATTAGGTACCAGAATCTATATAAGATTAGATCCGGAATGGAAGGGTCGTACAATGGGCCTATGCGGTGATTACAACGACAACGCAGAAGATGATTTTAAGACACCGTCCGGCGGAATATCCGAGGTTTCTGTCAATCTATTTGGGGACTCATGGAAGAAAGATACGTTCTGTCCCGAACCGAAGGATGTACAATACGTCTGTGAGCAGCATCCAGAACGTAAGCTGTGGTCGCTGCAACAGTGCAACGTACTGAAATCACCATTGTTCTCGCCCTGTCATTCGGAAGTTGAAGTTGAACCATATTTGCGCAATTGCATTTTTGACACATGCAGTTGTGATGCTGGCGGTGATTGCGAATGTCTGTGCACGGCATTGGCCGCGTACGCGCATGAATGCAATGTACGAGGCGTCCCTATAAAATGGCGAACGCAAAAACTATGCCCATTACAGTGCGATGAAAAATGCAGCATGTATTCATCCTGCGTCACGACTTGTCCGCGCGAAACATGTGACAACTCTATGACTATAAAATACGGCTCACACCTGTGTGCAGAGGATACATGCGTGGAGGGTTGTAAGTTTCAATCTTGTCCTGAGGGCCAAGTGTACCGAAATGCCAGTTACACAGAATGTATACCCAAATCGACATGTACGAAACCGTTTTGCGCCGAAGTCAATGGAGTAACGTTTTATGAGGGTGATCGAGTCAGCGGTGATGATTGCCACAGCTGCTTCTGCAGTCGCGGCAAGGTGATCTGCAAAGGAGAAGCCTGCACCAGCGTCATTACCGCTAGTACTACTATACCTTCGGATGAATTACAGAAGTGTGTGGACGGTTGGACCACATGGATCAACAATAATCCAGCAGTAAAAGGAAAGGAAAGTTTGTGGACGTGGAGCCATTGCCTAGTTCGATCGATCGTGCCAATGCACATGGACTTGCAGTTTGCGATAAGAAGCACATAATTGACATAAAATGTAGATCCGTTGAGGGACACTTAAGTCCGAAAGAGACCGGCTTAGACGTGGAATGCAGTTTGGAACGCGGCTTATATTGCCAATCGCATCCGGATCTTCCTTGCGTGGACTTCGAAATCAGTGTATTGTGTCGTTGCCCCAAGCCGGTTACACATGAGAAGACGACGACAGAGAGCGGGAAGGAAAACGAATGCGATGTCGCACAACCTAATTCACCGCATCCGACTAACTGTCAACTGTTTTATCAATGCAGGCCCACATTAACTGGATACAAATTGGTAGAAAAATTGTGTGGCCCTGGCACTCTTTACAATCCAGAGACCTATGTATGTGATTGGCCGACGGAGGTTTTACGCATACGACCAGAATGTTCGGTTACATCTGGACAAACTACGCAGACTAGTGGCAGAACCGAGTGGATCAGTAATACTGGTAGCAACTACGAGAACACGATGTCGACCTCGGTGAAAAAGATCGTGTCAACCACGAATGTGTGCAAAGACGGCGAGACATGGAGCGAGTGTGCTATCCAGTGTACTAGGACATGCCAATATTATCGTCACATCCTGACGACACAGGGACTCTGTGGCGAAGGTACTGACTGCGTCCCCGGATGCGTCTCGATTGATCGACCGATATGTCCTTCGCATAAATTCTGGAGAGACGGTATTACCTGTGTGGAAGCAAATCATTGCTCCTGCAAGTCCCATGACGGAGGTTCGGTTGCACCTGGCGCTGTCAGGAAAGAATCTGACTGCGAAACTTGTCAATGTCTCAATAATTATTATACATGTGATGAAACTTTATGCGGTAACATCTCAGGCCACGAAGTGACAGTAGGTACAGGAAGAGGACCGGAAACAATTGTTACGCAACCACCACTCAGTACAGCCGCAAATACTTGGGGAACATCGCCAGTCATTTGGTCCTCCGAACAAACGATTCTTCTACATAGTACAGTCACTCCACCCGGCGAATGCGAGGATGCTAACTACGTATCATTGATACAGAATCTGCGGAAGAATGTAACGATTCGTACTAGTAGCAGGACAAAATCTGTTTTACTGCCAGAGGATTTGTTAATATACACGGAAGGGGCAATGCTGTTTCCAAAGAAATTCTGGGAATCCGCAGTAAGAGACGCGAATCAATGGCTCAACATCGAGTTCGCTAAATCTGAACCTATTTACGGGGTGATCTTGCAAGGCGCCGTTTCCGAAGATAAATTCGTAACCAGTTACAGAGTGCTTTTCTCAGAGGACGGCCAGACTTTCTCGTATGTGCTCGATCAAGAACAACAACCGCGTGTATTCAGGGGACCCGTTGACAAAATCCAATCCATAAAACAAACGTTTTATCGACCGATCGAGGCGAAGGTCATTCGTATCAATCCACTAACGTGGCACAACGGAATCGCAATCAAAGTAGAACTGCTAGGTTGTCAAACTCATGTGCAAACATCAATGGCGACAACGAAAACGACTTCCGAGAAGGTCATAGGACCAGTGTGCGAAGATTCGATGGGACTAGACAATGGACTGATGGCCATTGAGCAAGTTTCGGTGTCGAGCTCGCCACAGTTGGCCCAATATCTTCCGTTATCTAGGGAAAGTGCGTGGCGTGCTGCCTTAGATAATCCTCATCAGTACGTTCAATTCGACTTTCTGGAAATTCGAAATTTGACCGGAGTCACGACTAAGGGCGGTGATGGCGCTTGGACAACCGCTTACAAAGTATTCTATAACAACGACGGACGTCATTGGAATCCAGTCGTCGACGAAAATGGCGACGAGAAAGAGTTTCTTGGTAATTTCGACACGGAGAGCCGCCGGACGAACTTCTTTGAAAGACCTCTGCACGCGAGATATCTGAAGATACAGCCTGTCAAGTGGCACGATCATGTCGCGATGAAGGTCGAAGTTCTGGGCTGCTATCTAGCGTATCCTGTGATATCAACAACTGAATCGACAACGACATCGTTTGAGCAAAAATGTAATATTTGTGACGGAATCGATCAGACGCCGAATGACGAAAGCTGTAGATGTGAAGATCCTTATTGGTGGGATGGAGAGTCGTGCATACCGAAGCAAGAGTGTCCTTGCGTGGTCGGGCACGTTTCTTACGCGGTAATAAGAGATCATTCATTGAGATCTTGAAAATTGTTTAAAGATAAATAATAACAGATATTTATTACAGATTGGCAGCATGTACGAGACGGAGGATTGTCAACAATGTGTATGTGCCCTGGGTGGAACGGCTACATGCTTGCCAAAGAAATGCGAGCCTTGTCAAAAATTAGGTTTACGATCCGTCGTCGGCGAGTTGTGCGCTTGCCTCTGCAAACCTTGTCCGATTGGCACCAGACACTGCCCCACGAGCGACGTGTGCGTAAACGAGACCGCGTGGTGCGATGGTGTTCAGGATTGTCCAGATGATGAGAAGGAGTGTCCAAAGATAAGCTCCACGACACCTATAGCGACCGAGCCTTCGGAAACGGTCAAACAAGAAATCACAACGAGCAGTTCCGTCCAAATTCCATTACCGTGTGAAAAACCAATTTGTCCGTCCGGTTACAGAGTAGTATACAAACAGCACCCAGTGTCCAAGTTGCGTGAAAAGCCGTATCCTAATATTAAGACGAATGTAAAATCCAAAGGTCATAAATATTTCACAAAGACGAAGGGACACAAAAAGCATCCGTTCTATGAGCATCCGATGAAGGATCAACAAGCAACGGAGAATATCCAGTGCTCCGAGTTCATTTGCATGCCCCCTCCTGTCATCTCGAGTGAGTCCCCGGAGAACTGTCAAGATGCAGTCTGCCCACCGCAGTACGAGGTGGTATTCAAGAAGATAAGCATGTACAAGATTCGCAAGTGTCCCAAGTATGCATGTCGACCAATAACGCCGCAGGAAGCGGTCTGCAACGTCACGGGCAGAACATTCAATACGTTCGACAATATGGAGTATAAATATGATATTTGCAATCACCTTCTAGCCCGGGACATGTACGGTAACGAATGGTACATCACGCTGGAAAAGCTATGCGTTGACTCGCGCGAGCAGCGGGTTTGCACGCGGGTATTGGCAGTGATGCTACATGAGCATGCAATTGTGCTCTATCCGGATCTGCACGTTGATTTTGATGAGTATACCTTTACGTCCGAGCAGATCGCGCGTTTTGGAAAAAAATTTTACGGTTTCGAACTCTCGCGCATAGGCGACAGGATCATCTTCGTCTCGCATCATTACGGTTTCTGGGTGATTTGGGACTCAAGTACCAATGTCAAGATCGGCATCCCCGTTAAACTGGCAGGTCGTGTGGACGGTCTGTGCGGATATTTCGACGGTGATATTACGAACGATCGCCAGACACCCGAAGGTACCCAAGCGAGAAGTACCGTTCAATTCGGCGATAGTTGGGCAATGGAAGACGCGGAATGCGATCGACACGTGTGTCCGCGTGACGTTCAAGATCAGGCCTTGAAGATCTGTAATTTCGTGAAAAGCTCGATGTTGCTGGATGTGTGCTCCACGATTGTCAATGTTGACAGGTAGCGTTTGATAGATATTCAGCGATCTGAAGTTAGAAATTGGCTAATTTAAACGATCAAAGCATTCGAATATCTAATTTATTAACAAAAATTTTGAATTTATAAACAAATTAAATAAATTTTTATATGAATATATATATTTTTTTCTTTAACAAAAATAATAAATTATTTATTACTTTTATTATTATAGATTTGTATCCTGCTGCATTGAGAGCATGTGCTCTTGTTTGCATACTTCTAATAGTTCTTACGAGGACTGCCGGTGTCGTCTGTTGACGAGCTTTGTTGGTGAATGCGAGGCCGCCGCCGGTCCCGGCACGGATCTGTTATCAGACTGGAGAACCGTTTATGATTGTCCCGTGAACTGTCCGCCACCGTTCGTTCATCGGGATTGCTTCCACAGCAAATGCGAAATTACCTGCGATAATTTACATGAAGTGGAACCATGTCCACCAATGCAAGGCGTGTGCTTCCCCGGTTGCTTCTGCCCAGATGGTCTGGTGCGTCGAAACAACGAGTGTGTGCCACCGACGCATTGTCGGGATTGCGTGTGCGACGGTCTTGGCGATGCCAAATTCATTGGCTTCAATCGCAAGGATTTCAGGTTTGCTGGCAACTGCACTTATCTACTTTCGGGGAACGTCGCAGAGACAGCGAAGAGTCAAAACGGAGCTTCAACGTATCAAATCTTGATCACCAACGGGTATTGCGCTACCGGCACATGCACGGAGGCTATCACATTGCTTTATGAAAAGCATGTTGTACAAATAAAGCGCGCAGAACATTCAAAAGATCTACGGATGTCGATTGATAATTCCCAAGTGGAAAAGTTCCCGCATAACCGCACTTGGATCATTTTGGATCGAACATATGCAGGAGATGTGATTCTGCTCGTACCGTCTATTCAATTGGAACTCATCGCTTTTGAACCAAATTTTGCGTTTACCTTGAAACTACCTTCACATATTTTCAGTGATAATACGGAAGGTTTGTGTGGTAACTGCAATACTGATGTCGAAAGCGGTTTCGAAAAGCGGGATGGGAAAATCACCGACGACGCTGAGGAATTCGGTAAATCTTGGTTAATCGAAGATTTTGGTTTGTCGACGCAGTTGGGTTTGAACGATCAGACATGTTCCAGTAATTATCAACCTGAGTGTATTCCTCCACCAGCAGAAAAAGATCTCTGCCTGAAGCTTTTGAATTTAGCAGAGTTTATGCAATGCCATAGCATTGTCGACCCAAAACCATATTTAGATTGTTGTCATGATGCATTGTGCACTGACGGAAACTACTGCGACAGTTTAGAAATGTATGCGAGAAAGTGTTCGGAAGCTGGCCTGTGTCTAGCTTGGAGAAATAACGAAATATGTCCTTATGAATGTCCTAAAGGTAAGTCTTGTCTGATAGTTTAATTATTAAATTAATACAAGTTGTATAAAAGTTGTATGTATTTATTAACTAAAAATGAAAAAAGAGAATATTTCACATTAAAATAATTTATATTAATTAAAATAGTTATCATATTCAATTCAAATTATGAAAAGGTATTTTAATTCAGCAAATTTGTCACTTAGATCTTGTCTACCAGGCATGCAAATCCAGCTGTAAAGAAACATGCGATACTATCGACGAAATAGAAAATCCTAAGTGTGCATCTAATCTTATCGAAGGATGCTTTTGCCCAGAGAATTATGTATTTCACAATAATTCCTGCATACCAAAGAAAGATTGTTTTATTTGTGACAAGGATGGTCACATGCAGGGAGATATCTGGCATCCAGACAAATGCACCGAATGCAGTTGTAATGACGGTGTTGTAAATTGTCAAACGATAGAGTGTCCCGTATTGGATACGATTTGTGAAGAAAATATGATACCTGTACTTATCAATGGAACTGAAGAGAGATGTTGCGCCAAATATTTATGCGGTAAGCTAACATATAGAAAAATACATTTCTGAGATTTCATATATAAGAACTGCAAGTTTCAATAACAAGAAATTTCTCTTATGAATTAGTGATAATAGGAAAAAAATTAGAGATTATTTTTAGTATTATAATTTTAATGATTAGAAACGTACTGGATCAATTTTCGATAATCTTTTCGATTCTCTCACAGCTCCAAAGCCGACAGCGCCTACAATATGTATTGAGCCACAAGAGCCGGAATGTGGCTTTGGTCAGATGATGAAAGCAATTACCGATGCTGATGGCTGTCACAAATTTATATGTCGTACGTATGTTTATGCGTGTTTTTTTATAATATTTATTAGTTTTTATCTAATTGCGAAAGCTATATAATGTCGCGTGAAATTTCAGAATGCCTGCCTGCAAATGAATGTCCCAGTTTTGAAAATTTTACAAACGAAGTTGAACAATTGCAGCCTGGTTTCGTACAAGTGATGAATACATCCGGATGTTGTCCGCGACTGACTAAAATGTGCGATCCAAGAACTTGTCCCTTAGCACCAGATTGTCCAGATTACTACAACGTTATTACAACAACACTTATAGACAATTGCTGCCCAACTTATGAATGCGGTATATATTTTTTATTGTACAGTTTGTTAATTCATATGTATGTATGCATTGAAGAATATTTATAATACTTTTATTAACAAATAAAATATAAATATTTTTATAAGAAATAAATATTTTTTTAATAATATAATTAAGAAAATGCTGATGTTTAAAAACTTTATCATTAATTTTATTGTTAATTAATATTATTTCAAATTTGTATTAGTGCTTCCAAAAGATCTTTGTCTCTACACAAATAACGAAGGCCAAGGCAAACAACATGTGATAGCGAAACAAATTGGAGAAGAATGGAAGGATGGTAAATGTAAAACGTGTGTATGCGAGAATTCGGATGACGGTCCTAAAACAAATTGTTTATTCACCGAATGTCCAAGTGTGAACACACATCCTGATGTAGACGATTATGTATTGGAGGAAAAAATATTAGATGACAAATGCTGTCCAATCTTTGAACGTACTGCTTGTAAATGGAAGGATAAGATATATAACGTAAGAAGTATATTAATATTACAATCATAAGTTTCTTATATATTATTATTAAAATATATTTTATAATATTATTCATTACAGGTTGGCGAAAGCTGGAAATCTAATGATGAAGATGCTTGTCTCACGATGCAATGTGATAAAGATTCAAATGGTATTCAGATATTAAACAAAATCCAAAAATGTGATATCACCTGTGATTATGGATACAAATATCAAGCATCTAATGACACTAGTATTAATTGCTGTGGTACATGTATCCAAGTCGCATGCATTGTAGAAGGCACACTTAAAAATATAGGGGAACAATGGTATTCGGACGACCATTGTGTGACATACTTTTGTAACTCCGCCGATGGAAACGTAATTTATAGATATTGATTTAATGATTCTGAATATCAACAAATTGATAAAATTGTAAATTAGTTGTAATACAGCTTGAATTCATCTCTAGGTGTATTTACAAGCAAATACCGAAATTTGTTCAGAAATCGACCCACAAGTGGAATTTGAATATGAAATAGAACAGCGCAAAATTCCAGGAAGATGTTGTCCGGAAATTATCAAAACAGCTTGTCGTAGCGATGGAAAATTATATAAACCTGGAGAATCATGGACATCTTTCGCGGATAACTGTGTTGTCGAGACATGCGTGGATGGTCCGAATATAACAAAGCATAGAAAGGTTGAAACGTGTTCAAAGCAGTGTGCTCAAGTATGAACATTTTATCGCGTGTACTTACAGTTAAGTGCTCTTGTAGATTTAAGATATATTATTAATATTGGCACCTTTCAAGGGATGGTCATATCAAGAACCGGCAGATGGTAAATGTTGCGGAGAATGTAAGCAAGCGTTTTGCGTATTTGAAGATATTCTATACGCACCTGACATGACATGGTCGTCTGACGATAATTGTACCACTTACACATGCATGAAAACTAATGAACAGGCAAGTCATCTCGCAGGATGAATAAATCTATCTGATTCAAATATAATTAACAAATTTTTCGGAAATTCAAATTTTATACAACCAATTATGTATCGACAATAAATATATTTATAGTCGATTTTGTTATTATTTTATGTTACATAATAATGCAATAATTTTAGTTGTCTCTTGTGATGAGTCCAGTTGCTTGTCCAGATTTAACAGATTGCCCTGACAAATTGATTTATCATGATCAATGCTGTAAAAGATGTAATATAAGTGTTAATACAAAAGATCAGATTAAGGGTAAGTGTAAAAATAAAAATAAATAATTTTTAATTAATTTATATCGTTCAATCATATTGTTACTGTACTTGAGAAATACTGTATTGTCTATATTCTTATTAATATTCTAATACTGTACTATATTCTTATTAATATTCTTGATAAAAATTAATCAATATTTATTAATAACTATGTTTAGAAACATGTAAACCCATTTCTGTGGATGCAAATGTTACGTTAGGTATGATAGTTTTAAATGATCCAGTACATGGGATATGTAAAAACATAGATGCTATTGAGGGTATGAAACGATGCAGTGGAACATGCCAGTCATCAACATTTTTTGATAGTGGTAACATATAAAACATACAAACATACAAAATCAAATTAAATTTTTCTGTTGTATTTTGTTACTATAATAATCAGCTAAATTCTATCTTTTCTTTTTTTACATAGAAACCTGGAATCAAGTGAATGATTGTCAATGCTGTCAAGTGAAAGAATATACAGGCATTGTTACTATTTTGATGTGCGAAGATGGTAAAAACTTAAAGAGACAATTGGCAGTACCGCGTTCCTGTTCTTGTAAAAATTGTGCTTCTTCGAACGAAAATAAGAAGACAAAGATCAAGGGTTAATTTATGAAAAATACGCCCTGCTCCTTATTTACTCTTTGTTCATGTATTTTTAAATAATAAAATAATAAAAATAATAAAATTTAAATAATAAAAATTCTTGTATTTTAATATGCAAAAAAATATTTTTCATACAAATTTGCGATTTTTTTTTATTTACACATGATTTACACTGATTAATCTGAACGAATATCTTTAGTGTAAATTTGTATTATTTAAAGAAAAAAAGATACTTTTTATTCATTAAATTTTTTGATTTGTTATTTTCGAAATATCGACAAGTTTTCTGTAATATCGAACAGAACTTTACCGACAGAGTCGAACTATGCATCTTGTTACGAGGTTCCTCAAAAACTATGAATGAAGTCAAATGGAGTTAGTATAAGTGTTTTTCTTCAATTTCCTTACATGATAATCGAGACGCGCGTGAATGTAATAGTTTACAAAACGATGCGTATTGAAAATTATATATGGAAAGACTATTTTTTGAAATGAAATTACAAAAAGGGGGCCTCAAATAGGAAGCTCAAATAGTGAACATTCGGAAAGAAAAGTGGGAGGAAGTTTTCCGGTTGGTTTCTATATCGTAGTGCATAATGGTTATCTGTAAATACTACCGACAAGGCAATTGCCGTTATGGGCAATACTGCCAGTACGAGCATATAAATCATTTCGGTAAGACGCACATTTTCATATTCTTACGATTCGACTATTGAATAATATCGTGTTATTTATTTTTCCAACAGGCAACACCAAAACCGATGATGACATTGTGTAAGTGATATAAAGCATATTTATTTATGCTATGAGTTCCTTTATACATATATTTATTATCAAGATTGATTTTCTCTTTTGTTAACTTCCTTTATAATACAAATAGTATCATGGTGGCCAAAGAGGTACTTATTGCTGAGAGAGGAGGACAGTGGTTGCTATCATGTTTTGGACCACTCAAAGAGCGACCCTGTATCCCAGGCATGGAAGATTTATCTCCAGAAGAAGTCCGATGGGAGATGTATCATGCGCAGAAGAATGGCATGGTTGAACAAGCAGTTAGTGGGATTATAAATATGTTTTATTTGAACACAAAACATTTGTAAAAAATATCTGAAAGATCCTCATGAAAGAGATCTTTTCATTCTTTGTTATATCAAAGTAATTTGTGAGGATGCATTTATAAGCGAATCAGATGTTAGATTAGAAATTGCTTTTAGAAACTACATTTTCAACAATTGTGCCAAGATATGAAAGCAAAAAGGGAGGCACTGAAAAATCCTACACAAGAGACAATGACATTATTGGTACGTTAAACAATATGATTTATTCAATGTAATTACTTTTCTATAACTAATGCTCGAATATATATAATCATGTGATTATGTTTCAGAAAAAGATTTTAGGAAGCAACCAGAAAAGTAAGTTAAATACAATATAATGATAATATAATCGAGAAATCATCTACTATATTTTTTATAGCTTCTCAGATGGGCTTGGTTAACAACACGTCGACTAATACTGTGTTCGGAAACACAACTTTCGGCGTGCAAAATAATCCATTTGGTGGAGGTGGATTCACTTCGAATAATATATCGAATAATAACACATCGATATTTGGAAAACTCAGTGGTACTACAACATCCGTATTTGGTGGAGCAGCGACCTTTGGAAATAACTTCGGTGGATTTGGTACTACGACAAGTAATGCTAATTCTATTTTCGGCAGCACAACGAGCACATCGACATCTTTCAACAGCGTACAAAACAATACATCGACATTTGGGACGCCTCAGAATAATTCAATTTTCGGCGGATCATCTCAAAATGTTTTCGCACAAAGTGGCACCGTGTTTGGCGCAACAAATCAACTCGGCAACGCATCTACCACTTCGTTATTCAATAATCCAATAACTTCGCAAGCGAGCACTTCGTTGTTTGGTGGAGCAACCACTCCAGCAACTACCTCCAGCCTGTTCGGCAGCGGTGGCTCGTCTACCGGATTACAGAACTCTGTTTTCGGCACGTCGACTACGTCATCATCTGGCACCTTCAACGGTGGGATGTTCAGTCAGCCGAAAACACAAATGCCTGCGTTCGGCGGAGCGCCAGTTTTCGCGGGGGTAGGTTCGAACTACTCCAGTAATTCTACTGGCAGCTCGATATTCGGTAGCAATCAAACGTTCGGCGCTCCTGCGATATCCACGAGCGGTATCTTCGGTGGATCCACAGCCACCGCGACGCCGGCATTCGGTACATCCGTTGTTGCCGCCACGACTCCATCTTTCGGTGCATCCACTGCTGCTACGGCGCCGGCTTTTGATTTAAATCAACAGCCTAGTAATAGTACCGCCTTCGGAACGACAGTATCCGCCCCGAATGTCTTTGGTACGCAAAGCACTGACAACACTATGGGAATAGGTAACAGTACACCATTCGGCGTGCCATCTGCTGCAATTAGCAGTCCATTCATCACTACTAGCTCGCAATTTGATTCTACAAGCACGAGTTCGGCACCATTCGCCGGCACGGGATTCGGCATGGTGGTCGCAAGCACAAATAATACCTTCGGCACCACGGAAACGTCTTCAAATTCGATATTCGCGAACGCGGGAACTACTTTCGCACCCTCCAATGGGGCCGTCCCAAATTCCTCGCCATTTCCCGCATCGACAGCAACATTCGGCAGTATTAACGCTTCCTCGCCATTTGGTTCGACCGCCGGCACGACACCCGCAAACCCATTCGCACCGCGGGCACAGCAAGGCAATACACCATCACCATTCGGAAACATTACGCAAAATCAAGCTAGTACTGTCAATGCATCTCCATTTGGAAAATCGCCGTTTAACACCACTACAGCTAATATCATCATCGATGACAGCGTTTACAGTTTAGACGATGCATTAACAGATGAAGAGAAGAGCATGTTCTTGGCAGACAGATTTATTATTGGCAAAATACCACTCAAACCTCCAACTAAAGATGTGATCCGATAAAGTTATTTTGTAGCGACATGTATTTAAGACACACATCTGTGATAATGTTTTTGTTATTTGTAAATATCCAAATCTTTCTCTTCGTATGATTGATCCAATCACATTTTTAATATAGATTAATCTAAATAAAGATTCTTACCCTATCAACATTATGTAGTTCAACAGTCGAAATCAACCACACAATGTAAATTATATGTATAAAAATTACTTTGATTGAAAAAACCCATTTTGATATCTAATTCCTTTTAATCTGATGAAATAAAGTTGTTATTGAGCTGTCGTAATTTGGCTGCCTATCGTTTTACAATGTAATTATTTAAGTATAATCAACATAAATAAAATATACACTTTTTATATCAACGTTTTTTAATTTAATGAATAATATATATTATTTACATATATACAAACGATGATCGTATCACAAACTATGAAACTTCATCATAGATTTTTGTAATGGATTACTCCGTGTGGAAGGATTGGGGCAGCAGGAGGAGGAGGAGGGGGAGCAGGAGGTACGGGAAGCGATGGGACGCTATTAATGAATTGCGTGCCTTCCGAAACCTGCAAACAATTATATACACGCTATTCCTAGGCTCACACAATCGGATTCGGTATTATGTCTAGAGTTGTTTATAAACACACCTGTGGCAAGTGACACAGAGAGTTCGACGGATAATTACTTCGTTGCGCATAAGTCGCAGATTGATTGGATGTCTGCGATAGGCCGGGTGGTATACCGTTCGAGGGCTTATATCCGACCTAAAAGAAAAACGAAGTTCTTAGTAATGCACGAAAATCGAATGAACAGTATCTATAATGTTAATTGAGAATCATTATACCTTGTCATTCATTTCAGGAAATATCGTACTCAAGTTGAAATTGGTGAGACTGGTACCCGATGGATGATGCGGCATGGCCATCGGATTGCTCGAGACGATTCCTCCGCGGACCATGTTGGAGTTCATGGTGAAACCAGCCGTTCCTACAGTCGCGACACCCTGAGCGCTTGCCATAGCCGACGGCGGAGGCGGTGGAAGACCGTTGACAGTTTTAGCGTAGACATTCGTTTGCGGGTGATTCTGGTAGAGAGGATTGGCATGTGGCGGCGGCGGTGGTGGCGGAGGTGGGGGCGGCGGCGGTGCCAGGAACGTCGAGTGATGGTAATCTTCCAAGGGAGAGTTGATGCCGGACAGTGGAAACTCCAGATTCTGCATCGGGCCGGTCTCGAGAACTTTCCGTTTGCCCTTTTTCGCAGCAGTGGAGTACGAACGTTTATCGCAGTTGGGATGCTTCCCGTAGTGCTGATTCTTCCCATTGGCGTTTCCGGCCGTGGTGGAAGTCGTGTTTGAACTGGATGTATTCGCAGTGCTGGCGCTCGACGAGCTGCTCGTTCCAGCCACATTTGGCAGTAGAAAGTTGTTGGCCTCCTGAACATAATCAGCGGCGTTCTCGTGCAACGGCATGGCCATATAGCTATTGGGCGTGTTGGAAATACTGGTGATAAAGTTACTGGTGGGATAAATAGAATTAGCGGAATTAGATGAATATGCGTATGTGTTGAAGTTTTGATTGACTACCGATTGACCGTAACCGCCCGCGGTACCGTCATCCGTTGGCGGTGCGCTGGAGAAATAATTTATAGGCATCATGGCGGTATCCGCGGACAAGCCGCTCTGGAACTTGTTCTGCGAGTAGTTGGTCGTGAATTTGATTGATGCGTGTTTATCCTGGTGGCCGCCAGTGTCGTGAATACTAGTCCCGATTAATGCCTCCGCGGTATAATTGCTTTTGCAATTTCTGCTTCTCCAATGAACGTTATTCTGCTGATATTTCTGTTGCTGCTGCTGCTGCTGCGGTTGCTGATAGCCCTGTTCCGTGAACACATGTCCGGACGATTTTTGCTCCTCGTGTCGCTGATGCAAATTATTATTGTCGTTGGTTGCCGTAGACTTACGAATGTCCATTTGCCGCTTACTTGTTGTTCTAGGACTCGCGTTATTCTTCCTTTGATGTTTCCTAACTTGTTGCTGCTGCTGTTGTTGTTGTTGCGAATGCTGATGCTGATGCGGATGATGATGCTGATGTTGCTGATGCTGCTGATGATTCTGCTGTTGATGACTCTTCTCCGCTTTTTCGTGTTCCACCAGCTGACTCACGGACAGGAAGGTGGAAGCCGAATGCTGAGCATTTTGAGTGTTCAACATCGCGTGTAGATCCCGCCCCGACACGTTATTCGTCTCTTTCTCCTTTATGGACGTATCCTTACTCTGTTCCGTGGCGATTCTCGACGATGAAGTCGCGGCGCCGAACAAGAAATTCTGTTTCTCCAGATTGGCACTCAAATCAAGATCACCCACCAGATTTTGCAAACTCGACGGTACAATGTGCTGATCGATACATTTAACTGATGACTGACTGATCGTGTGATCGATGTTATTATGCACGGTGTTCTTCGTTGGTGACCATGGGAACGGTTGCTCCTCGGAATAGAAGGTCTCCGTTGGTCTCTTCGGGTCGCTTTGCAGAACCGGTAGATTCGGAAAACTATGTGCGGCGGCGACGTCGTAATTGTTGTAAAACTGATTCGGCGTACCCTGATTGTACGTCGGCGTTTGGGCAAACAGATTGTTCTGACAAAAATCCAATTCCTTGCCAATCGGCGGTAGAATAATGTCCGTGACATTGGCATTGTGCTTGACCTCCGGCGTCATCATCCAATTGACCGGTGCCTTTATTGAATGTTGCTGGTGCTGATTACCTTTGGTTTTATTGTTGCTGCCATTATTGTTACTATTGTGTGACTGTTGCGATTGTTGTTGCTGCTGTTGCTGCTGCTGACTGTGCTTCACGTCGCTACTGTAACCGCTATCATGCGGCAAAACAGAAACCTGTCCTTGAGCAAGAGTCTGGTATTTGTGCTGATTCGGTTGCTGCATCGTTTTTTCCACGTACTTGAAGTTCACGCCGGTGTAAGCCTCGATTGAATATTTCATCTGCATGTTGCTCTCCGTCAGATCGAAGTTAATCTGTGGCTCGTACGTGTACACCGTCTTTTCCTGCTTGGATGATAGATTCTGATGATTCTTCGGGCCGTGTTGCTGAGATTGCTGCTGTTGATCCATATTGCCATACTCGTTCTGCATGTAGTCCGAGTCCATACCATATTTGTTCTTGCTCTTACCACCATCGGGGAATTTGTAATCATTGCCGGTCTGCTGATTTTGCATCCGATTCTGCTTCGATGGATCATTCCTGGGCTTTGGGGTATCGACGAAGGGCTGCTTCTGTGACTCGATCTTTCCTTGTCGCGATTTGTCAATACCAGTCATGGGCTGGGATATCGAGCTACTTGGATAATTGTCGCCAATCAATACTTGATTGGGAAAACTCGAATTGTCCTTGTGCAACGGTACGTAGCTGTAATTCTCGCAGATAGTCTTCGCTTCGGTATTATCGTTCGGATGCGACTGTCCCTGATCATAATGCACTAGATTGTTGCCGCTGCCACCACCGCTGACCGGCGAGAATGTCGTCCACGAAAGAATACTAAAGTTTGATGAGTTGTGAGCCACGGTGGTCGTTGACTTGGCATGATTCTCCGTCATCGTGCTCTGTTCATAGTTGGATGTGGCGACAAACGATGTCTGTTGTTGAGAATAACGTGCAACGGCGCTTTGCTGTACTCCTACTGGTTGCTTGTTATTATTGTTGTTTGCCATGGCCGAGACGGTATTCGTTTTCTTCTCATCCTTACCGGAATAAGAAACGTAACTATTATGAGTGTCGCTGGTATTCGTGTTCAAAACATTCGCCCGTTCGCTCGAATTGTTCATCGCTTCCTTGACGTCGTATTGATACGACTGGACAAACGGATCTACGTCCAACTTCTTCGAGGAAACATAGCCCGAGTCGCGTATGTGATTGTGCTGTTGTTCTTGGATCTTGGAGCCGAGCACATCGCTCAGTTTCGTTTCTTGATTCGCTTGATTTGGACTGTTCAATGTATCCGTGCTTTTATTCAGCTTGGAATAATTTCGTTGGAAGGCGGTTTCCGAGGAGCCCTGACTCGCAGTTTTCGTGGAGTACTCTTGATTCCGCGATGAAGTGTTCGCGGCTTCGTTGTTGCGGGCCGTATACGATATCGAATCCTTCTGCGATATCGCTTTTGCTTGATCTCCAACATAATCGTTGTGAGAGTTCGCGATAACGTGCTTTTTTGAACTGTAAACGTCTGCTGAGAACCGTTCAAATCTAGGAGAACATGACTGTCCTTAGTTTGGTTATACATGTGTTGCATGTCTTGAGAGGCCAGGATCGGAAGAGAGGACTCCTTAGTCGATACGGAATAGCTTTGCATACTCTGGGACGTCACCGGAAGACCTCGGTCCATCTGATTAGCATAATCGACACGATGATTAGAAACAATGCTGGCGGAATCAATAAGCACATCCTTATTGTGTGACGGATAAATCATGTGCGATGAACTTTGCGAACTCTTGTCCTTCGTTTGAGTCGGATAGTCCGTTTGCAAGGATCGCAAAGTCGCGGACGATGAATTCGTTGTCACTGCTGCGTTCTCGAGTCGCGTGCTCAATAGATTCTGGGAACCGTCGATATTGTCAACGCGCGAACCGATCGTGGGATTCGATTCCTGTGTCGTCGCGATGGTGTTTTTATACATAGGCGAGTTGGATGTATGTTGCAATGGACCAAGACCATTGCCCACCATTGTCGAATAGCTCGGCAAAAAATCTTGCGGCCCGGAGTATGCCACATCGGAATTGCGGCTCGTTAATGCTTGAGATGGTGTGCAATTTGCGATGTCATTCTTGTCAGGGGAGATATTGAGCGGCGCCTGAGATACGATTACGTCAGCACTGTTCAGCACATTCGCTGTCCTCAATTGACCCGGACGACTAGACGTATGATTCGTCGCCAGATTCGAAGAGCTGCCTACGATGCATGAAGAATCCACGGCAGAGAAATTGACTGAGGGAAATGCATTAGTGGTCACTACAGATTTTTCTAAGTTCGGCGTTAGGACGGTCTGAACTATCTTATATGGTTCCCGTAAAGTTTCCTCGTTTACTACCTTCGGTAGTGACTTCGTCGCACATTCCATGGGAACGATTATATCAGTATTCGCGCTCACGTTTGCAACTGGGGTTTGTTTCTCCTCACAGGAGATTTTCAGCCGCTTCTCCGCAATCGCGTGCGATGGTGACGACGTCTTAATCTTAAAGCTGTTCGGCTCCATAGTGCCGATTTGCAACAACATCGGTGGAGTTTGACTGTGATATTTGAAATCGTCTTTCATTTCTTCATCCAATACCTCGGTTTTGCCGTTCAAAGAAGACACCAATGGAAAAGCCATTAAGAATGCTGCTGTGGGTGATATAGATTCCGGATTATGCGAACTGGAGGGAACCTGCAGAGAGGCGAATATGTCGTTGGACAAATCCGAGTGTAGCCCATCCGTTCTATTGCTGATCGGTACAAACGTGTTCTCACTAGTGTACGACAATGACTTTGATATTTCGTCTTTTGAAGTTTTTGTTAATTTAGTCTCATCATTGATCACGCTAGTAGTCAGCGATGATGATGTTGAAGCTGTTGATGATGATAATGATGACGACGATGACGACGGTGTTGCAGTATCGACAACATTTGCGTCGGATTTCATCGTCGTCGTAGTATTCGTGTCCAAGTTTAAAATGATCTTGTTGCTTTCTGCGCCGTTTATTGCATCGTTGACACGTTGTTGTTCCTTGGCCGTCGCCACACGTAGAAGACTATCGAAACGTGTTCCCAGATTGCATGTCTTCTTTGTCGCATCCGAACCGACGGCCTTCTCCGCCGCTTCGACGTCCGTCAAGGTCGATTTCGCACCTAATTGCTCCATGTTTTCGCCATTTTTTTCCATTATGCTGTCTATCGACATGTTGAAGTCATTGGACGATCGATCAGGCGCGTCTGTTTCGTGCGACTCGTTAGAAAACTTATCTGAGAGAACACTCTGTGTTGCAACGATATCTTCAGTTTTCTTATTCATCTCGAAGCAATTCGTATCCACAATGTCCATCAACTTGCTTGTCGTTTCTTCACAATTAGAATCGTTCGCTGTTTGAGTAATCGTATTACTTAATTTCGCGGTAGCGGATTCCATTTCACTGTTCACAATCGCACGTTCGTCTTGAATGTTTTCTCCTATTTTCTCGATAACGTGCTTCAAACTTACAATGGGTTTGCAGATGGCTGAGAAATCCGTCGCTTTTGAAGTTGTCGGTTGGACGGATTTTACTTCTTCGTTTGTGTCTTTTCGCTTTTTATCTTCCGGCTCATCTGCGGAGTCAGATTCCATAGATAAACCGCGTTTAAATGGACCTTTTTGCGAGACAGCTATATCCTCTTGAATCTTGGCAGTTTCCTTCGATGATTTCTTCTCGACGTTTAACTCTTCAATCGTTTCTGGCTGAACACTTTGAATGTTTTTCTGGCTCTTGGAATGATTCTTGCTATTTTTGGTTTTTACCTCAGATTCCTTTTTATTCGCACTATCTTTGGGCTTCTCCACCTTCTCTTTATGTATCGCCGGAATAGGCACTTTATAAGCCATAGTCGTCTTTGTAATCTCTTTACCCTTCGGCAAAATAGTCTTATGTCCACCGATTTTCGTAGCATTAATAATATTTTTCACATTAGATGCCCAATTATGAGAATCGACAACCATATTCGCGCGAATATTCGGAACGGTATTCAGAGTAACTTTTTGCACAGTATTGATCAAAGCGTGATTGCATATAGAGACAACGGAATTCTGAACACGATTCGCTAAGGGTTGCATTACAATCATCTGACTCTGTTGCGTATTACCGAGAATTATCGGATTCGTAGGCGCTTGCTGCGTATTCACGATGATGTTCGACGTCATCGGAGTTACGAGAGGCATTAGTTTTCCACCAGACAAAATAAGAGTACTAGGAGTTAAATTGGTGACAGTATTGGCCACACGTGGTAACGTCGAATTTTTTTCATCCTTACATTTACGTTTCTTCTTCAACGACTTTTCATCTTTTGTTTTCTTTTTCGATTCATCTTTCTTATCTGTTACGAACAAACAATCTTGTTAATAATGCCAACACGTTTTATTAACATTAAAAACATAATTATTATTTGAACTTACCAGTTCGTTTTTTTGTATTGACTGAATCTGTTGCAGTTCCCTCATTGATAGAATCTAAATTAAAACATAAAAATAACATGAGTCAATATGATTACTGAGTAATGGGAATTTTATGTAGTATCATTTAATTGAAAAACAATTATTCTAGATTTATTTATACCATTTTGATATTCCGCTTCCTTTGACTCAGTTCCAGTTAAACTATTTGTATTATCAGAATTAAAATTTTTGCTATTAGCACAGTTCACTCGATTCTCTTGATTCTCTATCGAATTACAGACATGCTTAGCAGTGGTAGTTTCCTCGGACAACTTTTTCGAAGCCGATGGCGTTGTAGATTTTCTCTTAGAAGGCACTTTATTCTCGGATTTTTCTTTCTTCTTCTTTTCTAATGTTTTTTCTACAATTACAATTTGAATTGAGAAAAAATTTTTCAAGTTTTTGCATCCACACATAACATACTTACTTTCTTCAATTTTATCAAAGTATTTATCTACATCATCGACATTAATTTTATTCGACCACTTCAAAGGAGATATTTTTTCAAGAGCTGGTTCAGCTGGCACAGAAATTCCTGCTTCTTTGAGAAGAGCAGATAATAACTGAGTACGTGACATCAGCTGTGTTACAAGTTTTTTTAAGCGAGCCAATTCTTCTTCTAAAAGATATCAAATTTAAAATATAAAATGTTTTTTATCTTTTTATTGCTCTTCTTCTCTCAGTATACTGTATCAAAATACATACTGTGCGCCTCAGAAGCGTGAGTGGAGAATAATTCCTCAGTACGACTATGGAGGTCTTTTATGTACTTCGAAGCGTGGATCAGGATGTCGACCTTGTTGCGCTTGCGACCTTCCTGATGTGGCGGCAGAAGATCCGCCAATGTCTTGAAGTACGTGTTCATACGTTTTCTTCGATCTCGCTCCCATGTTTTTGCTTTGCTGCAATGAGATTTTCGGATAGAGAATCAGATAGGGACACAATGATCAAGTGAAATTTTGAAAGCACAATCTGCTGTCTTCTCATGCGCGATTAAGACACGCTTTTGAAACAGAGGAGAGGAATTCGGGCGGGAAATTGTGAGGAACCTGGATTACGGGTAGATCGTCGAGGGTGAGGGGGAGAGGGGAGGGGGCAGGCAAGTGACGACGGGAGGTTAGAGAATCAACAAAACTCGCAAACTCACGTGTTCTCCTTTCGTGGCATAATTTATCCGCTTGACATCGTTTTGCAGACAGCGTGCCGCGAGAAGCGCCGGTGCGTCACTTGCCACCGACGTTACACGCTCGCAAGAATCGTTCTGGTGTCTCCGACATTCTCGTTCGGCTGACGTACTCTCGCGAAACGCAAAACACAGTGCGCGGCACAGCTGGCTGCAGAACGTAGCGGTAGAGGGAAGCGAGCGGAATAGAGCGGCAACTCCCGACTGAGTTTTCGTCACGCCATCGTAAGAGAGGGATCTGTCTTACCGATGGAACGATGAGGCTCCCACTGCGAAGTTAGCGGTGGAAGATGAAATCGAGTGACGCGCCACTCGCTCTTTGATCGCCGAGAACGTCGGTATTATTTTTATATTTCGAACCTGTACTTTCGCGCGTTCTTCATTTTTCCTCTTTTTCTGTCCGTCTAATTATATACCCGTTTTATTTTAAGCGCATTAAAAACGTAACGTAGTTAAAACGACATATCACTATTTCTCTTCTATGTTCGATGACGTGACGTCAAAGCATGACGAGGTCATGCTTTTTCAGCTGTTGTACTCTGTGCCCTTTTTCTTTTATATATTGTCCCTCCTCCCACGCCCGTTTAAAATACGAATGATTGCGCGACTCGCGCTTTACGTAAATGTGAGAGACGTGAGGAAAGACTGGAAACGGACTTTCTTTTTGCCCGCGGGATTATTTCGAATCGGCGCGGAGATCGATGATCCAGCGATCTCACGTACTATGACCTTCGGCAACTGGCATGGCTTGATCTCATCGGGAGAAGCGCCTTTCACGATGATCTACTCGCGGTCGCGGTGTCCGATCATGCGTAAACTTTACTTGAAACGGAACGCGCAAGTCGCCTCGACATTATAAAAGCTTTACGGAACAAGGACAAGGACGTGGAAACGGAAACACAACTGTCAGCGATATCGACTTGTTTTCTTAAACAATACATTCCATATATACGCAAATCGTCCTTGAGTATTTACATATAAGGAATATTAACTTCGAAGAGAATTCTGGAATTCTTCTTCAATTCAATTTTGCTTTGCAATTAATTTTATCAAGATCAATTAGTTTAATGAAACTCACTTCGTCGAAATCTCCAATCGAAACTTTCGATTTCTTGTTCTCTCATCGAATTGCAGAGGCGATCGAATCTCGCGGTTGTGCATCCGAGGAATCAGCTTCCATCAATCGCTTCGCTTCGCAAAAAGGAAGAACTCTCTCGTTTCCTTTTACATAACTTCAATTTAAGCGCAGAAAGTGTAAGAGTGAAAGAGAGGGGAGGTGGAGAGAGAAAAAGAGAACAGGGCGCCTTGCACGGAAATGATTTCCCCAGCCTCCAAAGCCGTTTGCGCGGTGCGCGGGCGGCGGACACACGTAAACGGTGCGCGCATGCGTAGTGGGAGTGAAATGTTCGCGGGATCGGTGGCGAAGGGCTAGCTGGCTCGCTCGCTCGCTTGCTCGCTCGAGGAAAACAAGTTCGCGAGCCTAGCGGCCGTATGTGTTGTACGTACGCGATATATCGAGCATAATCGTGGCGCCGAGAATTTTGCGAACGTGAAGCGAAACGATCCATCATCTGCGCGTGTGTGTACGCGCATGTGTACATGTGCGTGTGCGTGCGCGCAGCAGTCTCATCCCTGCGATCCGTTTAGCGCGTGACAGAAGGCGAGAGGCGAACAATAGACGACGATAGACTACCCGTGGACACGGAGAATGTCGAGTGCGCGAGTGCAGGTAGTACAGATTGCGAGCGCGAGGGTCCCGAAGAGGCAATCAATCTTCACGTAGGTTGCGTTTGTATTACGCGCGCTGTGCATATATATGTGTCCGTGCGTGCGCGCGAATAATCGTTCGTAGCGTAACGCGTCGTCGTTGGCCGAACGCTGTCGGTGGTGCTGTGAGATCCCGTCGTCCGGCGAGATCGCGCGGCCGACTTCAGGTAACTCGTCCGCGGAGCGAGTCCGTGCCGAGAATCTGTCCGTCCATCTGTGACGCGCGATTTGTCGTGGGGAGACTTCAACAACGGAGGAGAACTGCGGCAGCTCCGTCGCGGCTCTCTGCTGGCCGTCGTCGAGAAACGAACGTCGTGTCGTCAGCGGGGAAGAGGGCACGTACCGAGCGTGCGTATGCTGCAAAATCTGGAGAGGACCTCGCGAATGGGGGCACGGGTATGTTGCTGAAACGCAAGAAAGGGAGCGAAGGAGGAGAACGGAGAGAGAGAGAGAATCCGTGAGCGCCATTTACGTCAGAGTGACCTGACGCGCGCGATTGTTATGCCTGTCAGCTTGCTTCGACGATTCGCGATACGAATCGGCCCGATTCCGCTGAATGAATTCCGCATACAACGTTACGTGAGAACGCGCCTTTAGTTTACGATAACACGACGCGAGATCTTGGTCTCGGATTTTCTTCTTCCATTTCCCGCGTTTTGTTTTGCGTTCTAAAAACAACCACGGAAACTGGTTTGTCCCGATCCTCCGTTTACGCACGTAACATATATCGATTTACGCGCGAGTGTCCGTCCGTCTGTCCATCTCGCGTTCGCGAATCGCACGCATTTTCTTTCTCTTCCCCCTTTGTCGCCCTCTTCCCTTCCCCTTCTCTCCTTCGCTCTACCTCCTCCTCTTTCTCCTTTACAGGCGTCCTCGCGCTTGAAATTACGCGATCGCGATGATTCCTCGTACGCCGTGACAGATAACATCGCGAAAACACGTCACCTTCTCGTCGTCCTTCATCGCGGAAAAATAATTCTCTGTATGTTTGCGCGTGTTGTGCTACCAGCAGGTTGACATATGAATGGTGTCGGGGTCACAGGGACACACGCCACGTACGTGAATCCACTTGATAAGATGTCAACGACCACCGACGTCAGCGACTTAGCGGATCTCCCCAAGGAAGGGACGCCAATCTTCCTACAGACCCGTGCGGCCCAGGTTATCGCCGGTGTCTTCGTGTCTGCGGCGCTTTTTCTCACTTGCCAACAGGTATGAAAATCTGTTTGACAGGTCACGATGACAGGGTGGTCTTCCGATAATGTCGTCATCCTTCTTCTCATTGTTTGTAGATCTATCAGCACCTGAGGTGGTATACAAATCCTACGGAACAGAGATGGATAGTGCGAATTTTGTTTATTGTGCCCATTTATGCCACATATTCTTGGATCTCGCTGTTGTTCTTCAACAGTGAGAGCTATTATGTTTACTTCTTCACGGTGCGAGACTGTTACGAAGCGTTTGTTATATACAACTTTCTGTCACTGTGCTACGAGTACCTAGGTGGTGAGGGCAATATCATGTCTGAAATCAGAGGCAAACCGATACGTTCCAGTTGCATGTATGGCACCTGTTGCCTGGTTGGGAAAACTTATACTATCGGCTTTTTGAGATTTTGCAAGCAAGCCACATTACAATTCTGCTTGGTTAAACCAGTAATGGCATTTGTCATTATATTTCTACAAGCCTTTGGCCATTATAGAGATGGAGATTGGTCACCCGATGGTGGTTACCTTTATATTACGATAATTTACAACATCAGTGTATCGCTTGCACTTTATGGGCTGTTTCTGTTCTACTTCGCTACGAGAGACCTGTTGACACCGTTCGAGCCTGTGCTCAAGTTTTGTACAGTGAAGAGTGTGATCTTCTTGTCATTTTGGCAAGGTACATATCTTAAGTTAAACAGTTGTACATAAAGTACAGAAAACAATTATTACAACAAATATTTGTTTATACAGGAGTTCTGCTAGCTATTTTGGAAAAAGCAAACGTCATTTCGCCTGTTATAAACAGTCTGGGTCAATCAACGAGCGCTGGTACAGTCTCCGCTGGTTACCAAAATTTCCTCATTTGCATCGAGATGTTATTCGCTGCTATAGCTCTACGTTACGCGTTTCCGTATCAAGTATATGCAGCTGGCTGCGTTACTGACTCTAGAGGTAGAAGCGTGACGATGCAAAGCATCAGCAGTAGTTTGAAAGTATGTATAAAATATCTTGAAATTTTTACGATGTTCTCTTTATTTTGCATTCAATATTGCATCGGTAATACTTTGTAGGAAACAATGAATCCAAAAGATATTATGACCGATGCCATCCATAATTTCCATCCACAGTATCAGCAGTATACACAATATAGCGCAGGTATGTATCGTCTTATTATGATCTCCTGGTTTCTTTTATGGATTATTTATGGATTGTTGCATAATTTTTTGCTAGTGTATATATATATATTTCTACTTATTTTTATCATTACCATATATATATTTTCGAATCGCCCAACTTTCATGCAGCATGAAAAAATTTGATTCATTCTCATATAAGTTTTTTAATTATATGTGTTATCTCGTAGAGAAATTATTTTTTATCATATATTCATAAGAAAATATGCAAAATAAGACTGTGATACTGAATGTTCTAATTATAGAGCAAGATTATCTGACACGCAATGCCAATAATGCCAATAATAATTAAACAGATATACGTTTTATTCGAGACTGCAAATGCTTCATTTATAAGCTTTGTCGCTTTGTATATATTTCACATTTCACTTTCTGACACTTCACTGCTGACCACAGGCACCGATATTATTATTATTAATAATATAGTATCCACTCGCTTTCAAATATATAGCAAACTTCACACAAGTCAATCCGAAATCACGGATAGTATAGAAAATCTGCTTTCAAAGATAATTTAATGATAATGATATTCCGTTTTACTTATACGGAAAGCTAATTTACATAAATTTTTCTTAATATGTGCCGGTTTATTAGATTCAGACAATTACTTTGAAGGCACTTTTGTTTGCTGTTTTTCAGACGTTAATACCAACTTGCCGTACGAAAAGCTATGACACAGTGAGGCGTCACTTTTTTAATTTCAAGAAATTGGACATCGAGCTTTACGCGTGACTTTAAATGAGGATCGAAAGATAACATGATACAGCACTTTGCTTACGGAATTACACAAATGCCTTATAGATCGGTATCTGTCCACAATGGGGTCGATATAAATGAATTCTCCACAGAAATTACAAAATAAGGGTTGTATTTAAAATATCGATATATACGTATTATATGCATATAAGACTCATCTATTTTGCGATTAACAATCTCTGCTGTAAGATAGAAGTTAAGCACTTAACATAAGAAAGCATTTAGGAAAGAAAAGAAAGAAGGGGAGAGGGAGAGAATGTACCTTAATTTCTACAGTGTTGCTCTATAAATGTATAGGATAATTAGGTATTGGTTAATATATCATATTCTTTTTTGTTTGTTTTTTTATTATATATATATATAACATCATAACAGTCATCACAACTTAATTTTATTGCTTTTATTTTATATTCCTGTCACATGGTACTATGTAGCATGCGAATATACAGTATGAAACGGGACGAGCATGTAAGCACATCATTATGTCCTTTTTCCCAACAGTACAGCATACATTTATAGTGGCCAAGTTATCACAATCCTAGCTGCTTGCGATTATTTTATTTCCTACTTTAATAATAAATTGCATGGAATTTTTGAATGCGATTATGCGATCGCGTTAATATATTTTTTTCTCTTGCACCTATGTATTACGTGTATTCGTATAAGAATTCGAACTTTGTTGCTCTGATCGAGTCTTCGAGTAGTTTAGTAATTAGCACTCTCTCAAAATCACTGAGATCAGGTTTGGATGTCGAAATATAGAGATAGGAATGTTGTTTAGTGATCTTTTTTAGATGAAAGATTCTCTACATAACAGAGAATTGAACTTGCGAAAGTAATACCGGTTTCAATCCTCGATGTCGCAAATGCAGTTTCAGAGCAAGAACGTTCGAGATAAAAATGTGACATTTTCGGCAGGAATTAAATTGCCCGCTATTGGGTCATTTTACGAGTTAATTTAAAAAACGGACACGCGTAGGATATGTTCCTACATGTGACCGACCGGCCAATCTTAGTGTATTTATTGGCTAGTGGGCACATGTATCTCGTATTTGCCTACTGTAATGTGTAACGATGATGTAACAATTAGGGGGCCCGAAAGGACAACGTGGTATGCGAGTATCCAGCTTTGATCCGGATGATCCGCAAAATATGCCGGTACCACCACCGCAAAGGCGAAACACCTCACACCAGCGCGTCGCCACGATTTCGCAAAACTATAATGAGAAAACGATGTTGCTGAGCAGCGACGATGAATTTCAATAAAACGTATGGACGCGATTCGGGGAAATTGTGGTTCACGCATGAAAATATCGTATCGACAAACATTACGTTAGAACGCGAGACTTCCATAAACCACTAGGGATCTGCTTTCGAAGCGAGAAAAGCAAAAAAAAACGAAAAGTTTCCAGCGTTTTGCGCGAAGCGGATTCGATTAGGTAAGAATGTTCTCGCGGAGCGGAAAGCAAAAAGTAGACTTCAAAAAAAAAAGGAAAAAAAGAACATCGCGAGGCACAAGAATGCGTCGCGCTTCACTGTAATAGTTCCATAATGTTACATCCATGTTAATATATGTATTATGTTATACGAGTAAAAAAAATAATAGTATAGAAGATATTTATTTTACTATGCTGACGTTTGAGGCAGTGTTATCTGTACACCCGTGGCTCTACTACGACACTGCAAAAGATATTAATTGCACGATAATGCTTACTCTTTGTAATAAGTAAACGTAATTGTATAGTACTTAATTTCACGAAAAGCGAAAACTCCAAGGCGCCTCCTTGGAGTACAGTTCGTGCGTGTCATATGTAAACGTCACGACAATTGTTTACACTTTTGTATCTCTTCTTATTTACACGTTGCATTTAGCGAATCTTAACTTTTGTAATCTCGCAATCGTGCTCGTAGAAAGCCTCGCGAGCCACAGGAATATTTGCGTCCTCCTCTAAAAGTCCTCTCTGCAAAATTATTCGTTCTTTGATTTCTCTTATGAAAATCCGTATGTATATACGGTATGTATATCCGTATGTATACCACCGAAGATTAAATCTGAAAATGGAGAAAAAATGCGGACAAGTTGACAAGTTTTCCTTCTTCGACGGAAGCCTTTCGACATAAGAGAAAAGAAAATAGTACCAATTATACGCACGAGGAAATGCAAGGATGATCGACGAATATTGCATCAAATATAAAATAAGCATTTGGTATTCGGTGTCTTATGTGTACAACTGTGTATAATCATATTTTTTTTAAAATCATAACAGAGATGATCGAAGTTGATGAACACAAAGATCTATTTTATATGACAGCACGTTGTGCCGAAATCTTTTCGTCGCCGTTTAAGAACGAAGTGACCGTGTAAATCTGTGAACAAATTCTAATTGTCCTATTACATCTCGTAATAAAGATAAGACACAATTACATGAATAGAACGTTATTTATTTACAATTAAAACATCTGTTAATAATACCTCACATATAGCAAATATACATATATATATATAGATATTGAATAATTTATATGTATATATATATATATAAGAAACTAATTATACGATAATCTGTCGATGCTTTATTAAAAATATGTTAATCAACTCGAATACCGTATTATTACTGTTAGAAAAATAATTTAGAATGTTATTAACAGCCTTTACTTTTTGGCAAAAAAATAAAGATATAATATTGTACACGTTTGGATAAAATGGTTCATTTTTCTGATCGCAGTAGCGAAGAAGCATCCCTATTTGTAAATTTAGCAACGTCCGTGGTACTATTTATCTATTCATTATCGACTACCAGCCGATCCAATATGATTCATTATTTTTGACGATCTTTTTCCAACCGTGCCAAGGAGATTCTAACTCGCGCGAGGGTAACGTTTCCGCAAGTACGTTATCGCGTTTCGATTGTCCTCTCAATGTCGACTTGATCGTCGGATTCGTAGCTAATTGTTTCTCATCGTCATCCTCCTCCTCGATATCTTGATATTGCAACTCGTCGTCCATGTAAACGACTGCGTTGTTATCCTCATTATTCGCGTACTTATAATATCCCTCGGCGACGTCACGCTTCGTTACTTTGCTCGTGGTTTGAACAAGCGCGTTTTGAATGATTTCCAAGTCGCGTGTGACGAGACTGGGAGATCGCGGCGTAATTATGGGTTTGAAGCCGATCGATCTGAGCCGCGCGATTCGCAGATCGTTGTCGAACGCGTTCACCGGTACGAAGGCCGACGTTTTATCCTGTGGAGAATCCACATACTCCTCGTCGCTCTTGCGACTCGCGTTATCCTCCGCGAGCGCAGAAATGGCGCAATATTGCGACGCTTGATAAACCTGAGACCATCGGCCGTCGGGTACGTCCATCGATTGCAGCTTCTCCAATTTGTCCCATTCCATCTTCAAGATAGCCTTTTGATCGTTCAACTGTCCGATTACGTAAACTTCCGGATTCTCCGAGATTAATCTACATTGCGTCGTCGCGTCCATCGTACTGGGTTTCTCGATCTGTTTCTTACGAAAGCAATGTAAACGTGGCGTTTGAGATAAAGGAATTGTCAGTTTCTTTCGAAGATTCTTGTCGAAGGAAGCTTTGATGACATCACGATCACCAGTCGTTGCAGTCTCATTCTCTTTCTTCCTGTTGTTGACGCTATTATCATTATAATTGTTGCGATTTTCATTGTTGTTGTTGTTGTTGTTGTTGTTATTATTACCAGAATTATCCTTGAGATTTTTCTGTTTCGCGATTAAATTGATATCCTTGCTGTTTGTATGCATGGTGTTAGACATTCTATACCTGTCCTTAGTTTGTTTCTCTCCGGCACGTTGACGACTGATTTTAGTCAATTTATTTTTTCGTTCGAAAGTAGATTTGCACCGTTTGTTGGGCGAATATATTACAGTATTGAAGGTACCACAACATCTCGTGTATGCATTGTTTTTGCATCGTAATCTCCTGTTCCTAGGCCCACGTGTCGCAGGACCGAAATTTGCGTCTATCGATAAATTGGCAATTTCCCTATCTCGTTTCTTGTATTTGCTCTTCTTGATCGACGATTTAGGAAACTCCGGTTTCGCTAATATCGCGGTCTTGTCAGTTCTTAAACGAGTCTTTATGTCGTACGAGTTGCGAGTATGTTGCGCGATAGTCTGAAGCGAAGTCTGCACACGAAACGACGATAAGTACTCGTTGTTCTCCTTGGACATGTTATTTCGATCGCTTCTTCTAACATTACTATTACGCTTTTGATTCTCATCGTTACAAGACTGATCCACGCTAGGTAGCACCTTGTCGAACTTTCCTCCATCCGCTTGCTTCGGCACTTTCCAAAACAACCTCTCGGACTTGGCATATTTACAATATCTTCTATTGTCTAAACAAGCGACATTCTCCTTTATATTGTCCGTTCCTTTTCGTTTCCTCCTAAGACTTGTCCTTGCTGACACATTCTTCTTGCTCTTAGAATTTGGAGCCGTTTCCGTTTTCGATGCGTTCCATATTGCGCATTCTTCAATCGTCAGTCCTATCACATTCCCGATCAATAATTTGGACAAAGGATGATGCATCTCTTTGTTAATCAAGTTCAAAATCTTATCTGGAGTTAAGGAATCTAAGGATTTTATGTCTTGCGCGCGGAGCGATTCGCTTGGTGTTTCCAAAATATCGTGATGTTCACAGGTTTTTTTGTGCGTCACTGAATCTCTTAGAGATTTATTACTGGGATTCAATTTCTGTACCAGTTCGTTATTAATACTTGAGTCTTGTATGTTGCTTTGCTGAGCATTTAGAAGTTGTTCCTTATGTTCAAGCGTAACGTCGTTCTCGAGGCTAGTTTGTAACAGAGATATGGAATGCGAATGTTCCGATTGTATCGTTTCCAACAAGTTCTCTTTGCGTTTATCCAACGGAGAAGCGACTTTGCTCGCGTAATCGGCCACAATATGGCCGTTACAAGATACATTTTCACTCGGTCGAGGATCAAATCGCACCTTGTCTACATCTGTTCTTTTGTTAGGCTTACTCTCCTCCTTAGGTGTCAAACGACTACTTTCTATGTCCAATGCTGTACGAATGGTGATGTCGATCGGTTTGGACGGCTTGTGTAACATTGTCGAAACATTCTTTTTCGCGTCCTGCGAATTATGCGATGATTCGTACAGGCCCATGCGTATCGAAATGTTTGTACTATGGGTTTTAGTGGTCGACGCACCAAGGCACAGCAACATTTTTTGATCAGGTACAGAAGTTGATATCGCGTTATCCGCATTACTCGGTAGTTTCTTAAAGACATGACGCGTGACGATGGAACTTTCGGGCGCAGATTGTTTGCTAGTGTCATTCAACGGCATCACTTTTGCGATTGATCGGCTCTCGAGATTGTCTCCATGACTGAGTTTTCGTTTACCATAGGTAATGCCGACATTATTCGAGCACTTTCTCAGATCATAGGTATTTGAATGATTTGACTTTGTCAATGGGATATAATGTCGCATGGAAGGTAGTTCTTCTAAGCCTTTATTGCTCCAGTTGGGCGATCCCTGATCAGCAAGACGCATTAGAGCGAATTTGTTGTACTTGGTTCCATCTGAAGCAATGCCAATCCAAGAACTTATGACTGTGTAAAGCCCATCGTACCTGTATCCTGTATTAGGCGCGATATCATCTTGCAGATTGTAACTTCTGATCAATCTCAATGGTATTTGATTTTTATAATTGCAAATGAGTGGATCCACACTGGATTGTTCTGGATGATACACCTGACCTGTGAGCGTCAAATAATCACCGAAATCCACATCCTCGTTCACATTGGCATGTGAAGTGCAGATGGAGATTACACCGAATGGGCCCTCATGTATATCTGCATCAAATGGCTCATGTATCCGGTCCCTGGAGCAATCCATGCGTATGCCCCACCAAGATCCCGGTGGAAATTCCGGAATCGGTCCATACCAGCAATTGGAAACCTTGTAATATACGAAATTGTCATGCATGTCTCATAATACACGTGAGGCAAGAATCAATAGCAAAAGCGAGATACTTACACTCCTGCTGTAGCATGACAGACCCAACCTCTTCGAAGATTTTAGCGAGCTCGCTTCCACGGCTTGATTGATTTTACCAAACAATTTGTTTAGGTCCTGCCTGACTCGGCCTTTTCCCTAAAAACAGGAAAAAAAAATAGAAAGAAATAAACAAAAATACAATAAGTTACAACATTCTATGTGCGATGCAACATGATCGCGGGATAATGTAAATAGGACAGGGACGGTGGTGACGGAGCGTACTTCTTTGGCGGGGACATACGACTTCTTTCCGTGGCGCAATACCTGATTCCTAATTCGCGCCTCACGCAGCCTCCTCTCATTCTGCTGGACAGTATTCGCACATACAGTCCTCGAAACGTCACCGCTCGCCTTCGCCATCTTCACAGAAACGCAGGGCAGCCTCGCCGAATACGCTAAGACGCGCTCCGCAATCGCGACAACAAGCTTTCCATTCAGGACCGCGGATCCGTCTACCGCGAATGCAAATGGCCGCTATCGCGGCCACTGTCGGCCGCTCCGTTCCGTCGATAACCGCTCGCGCTGATAACTTCACGCGATGTAAACACCGCGGCCGAGATTGGGCTCATTCGTTCCAGCTGCACCTTTTGCGTTCCGTCACCGAAAGTCTCTCTTTCCCACCAACGCCCGAAGTATCCGTCTGTTTCGCTCTAAGGCGCGAGAGGTATCGTCGGAGGGCTTTTTATCGTTCGAACATCTCATGGTAAACAGAGTCGCTACTAATTTCAAAGATTAGTTCCTGCGAGAACAGCGTTCGAATTACGAATCTCGTTTACGAATTCGAGATATGCTCGATTGCGATCAAAATTTTCACGGAATTTTTTCGAAATCTTCGATTGGCGTTTATTTATTTAATTTCATTTTTTGACATGATTTTCTACATGAAATTTAATAAGGCGAAGCGAATTTTTTAAAGAGGAGAAGAAAGAAGACGGAGAACGTAGAAAAAGAGGAAGAAGGGGGAGGAGAGAGAGAGAGAGCATGCGATTAAAAGGATGAGATGCGTGTAGATCGACAAATGTAGATAATCGCGAGCATTAACGCAGCGTAATGCAAGCGGTTTCTACCAACGCTCGCGAGTCATTCGGTTATGATTGGCTCACGAAGTGAAATCGCTTGTTCGAAGCGATGGAATGAACTAATGGTTAATTTTGACGGCGACGGGTAAACAACGAGATGCTCGTAATCTCGCATAACCAATTCGAATTCTCGAGGATACGTAACGAGAACGAAACGGAGCGTCGTTTCGATAAAGTTTGACAGACGCGAAGGGACGGATAGAAACGGGACTTTCGGGACGGAAACGCGAGTGACGCGCGGGTAGAAACAGTGATGGAAACGGCGCCTGAAGGAAGGCGGCCTCGGTGCGTTCCGCAGCCGCAAGATGGCGTAATACATGCGACGCTGCTTTTGACGTTCGCATATGAGTTTTTTTTGGTTCCCTCCACTTTGAAAACGGCAGGAAGTGATTTTTCGTAGCGCGCCGCTTAGTCCACGCACGGGCGATCGAGGATGTGCCGAAAGGTGTTAGCCGCGACGCGAGTCGTTCGACTAATCGGTATTTCGATTTCGAGTACGTAGTACTTGGCCCCATAGCGAGGCGCGCACGAGGTCCCGCGATTGGCCAGTTTACGAAAACGACGATGGCTCCGTGAGGAGAGGAGAACATGGCTGCGACGCAAGCCGAGAGCCAACAAAACGATGTGAAGCTGAACGAGTCCGTGAAATGCGCACAGAAGCGTACGCAAGTCGGTGGGAATAGTGCGAGTGCTAGTGCGAAGCAGCAGCTGGATTCCGAGCCGGACGATAAAGTGTCCCGGGGCGCGGCCCAGCTGCTTAAATATGTGAATCGCGGCGGGGACACGACGGGCTACGAGATGAGTCAATACCGCGAGGACATTGGCGGACACCCTGCCGCCGCCGGTGAGGTAAAATCGCCGCGCGAGGCCGGCCAGGCGCCCCAGGAGCCCGTCGGCAAGCAAGAGGCGCACGACGCGCCCGGCCACCCCGGCCACCCGGGCCATCCGTTCGCGCCAAACGTGATACGCGACTATTCGGACGAGTATAGCAACAACAAATCCGGCGAGTTCGCCGCGAGCAAGTCGCTTGGCGACTATCCGGCCAGCAAGCAGCTACCGGAATACGTCGCCAAGCACGCGGACTTTCCCGGCAAGCAGCTCGACTATCATGGTAAACACTTGATGCACGAGAGCGAGCGGATCCACCGGGCCGAGATGGAGGAGCACTACTCCGCCTCCAAGATCGAGTCACGGTTGGCGTACGTCGGCGCCAACCCTGGCAACTTTTCCGGTCAGCCTAGGTTTATTTCCGGACAGGGTATATCCCAGGCGACTGGCCCTACACCTACGTTGAACCAGTTACTACAGGCGTCTACCCCGGTACATCGGTTTCACGGCAATTATCCCGCGATGGGACCCGAGTATCAACAGCCGTGGCCTATGCAAAGGCCACCGGTTGTGCCTCCAGTTTATCCACAACCCAGCCAGCGTCCTCCGCAGACGGTAAGCAACATCATTTATGCTTACGCAACAAAAAACTACACTTAGGTTAAACCTAAAGACCAACTTTAGTGTTACGATGATTGTTTTCTACCTTGTTATTTCTATAATTTTCTTCTATGCAATCATTGATGAATTTTTAATCTCGCTAAAGGATTATATTTGTATATAGCGTTTCTAATCGTAGCATATTTTCTAAATATTTTATCAGGGTTCACCGAGATTACATACAGGGCCAGGAGGACAGAGTTCTCCAACACCCATGCAATATCAACAGTACACCCAACGATATCCTTCTCCTACGAGACCTCATGCACCTTACAGTCATCATCAGGTAAATGAATCTATTTTTGACTATTGACTTTGATCTATTGTTACTATTGTTTGTATCAATAATGAAAATGCCAAAAAATATAGCCGATTAAATAATATTTTCTTTTATCTTTTTAGCTAAACTCTTATACAACGCAAACCAGTCATCCCTCAAGCTTATATACGGAACAAAGGGGGTGGAATCAAGGTGGACCACCAAATCCACCTCCACCACCAAGTAATCAGGTCACTCCATCGGGTCAGTCACCACAGCGTGCTTTGTCTCAGTCACCAGCTCCACCACCTGCTGCGTCACCGCAACCACAGGCTACCAGCCAATCCCAGGTGAACACTGCTAAGACATATATAATAATTAATAATCAATAGATTTTAATACCACTGGAATTTCTCGAAATTTCAAAAACAGTCAACATTATTACTCTAAACAATTATCTCTAATGTAGATATCTTGATATTTAAATGTAAAATGATGTAATTTAAATTAAGGAATGTAATCTTTGCGAAAATGGAACATCTTTATAAAAACAAAAAATATAATATGGATGTTGATGTAAATCATTTTTTGCAAATGAACTTAATATAGTGATACAAAAATAACGTTATTGATACAAAACGGTATTTTTTAAAAAAATTGAAAGCGTCGATTAAGCGATGTAACTTGCAATACAATATATGCAATATATATGAATTGTTTTTGAAAGTATATATAAATCAATGGATAGATAAAAAAGAATGTCAAGTAGTACATGTATATGTATATATACATACACACATATAAGGCAAGTTTTTATTTTGCCTTTTCTTTGCAAATTTGTGACACATCAAATCTTGTAAATAATTTAAGATATTTAAAATTTTATATATATATATATATATATATATATATATATATATACTAATAGTATAATAGACTCTATCGATAGCTTCATAAATTTGTTAAAAGCCACAGAAATGTACAACTTAAAAATATATGCGTGTACGATATTTTTACAATATAAAAATAAATTATTCATGCTATTGTGTCTTTGTAGGCTTTTCACAATCTGCAACAGCGAGCTACGACACCAAATACTCAAGGAATTGACTCTGGGGTGAGTTGTCGCATATATGCTTAAAATTAATTTTACTTCATCCCCAAAGAAATTAACTACATCAACGGTGTGCGTATAAGCATGCCTTCTCAGAATTCAGACAAACGTGTATAGAGAGAGAAGCTTAAAGTATCCGGAACGTGTAGCAAACAAGTTTTTGCCGGCGATTGCATAATCCCCGTCGTGACGGGAATGATTGTCGTAGAGAATTCACGTGCGATTTGTATTCATTTTACTCTCTCGTCGCAAAAGCTACGCGAGTCGACGTGTCAATACCGGTCAAATTTTATCGAGATTTATTGCTGCGTGCATGTACTGTGTGCGTGAGAAACGGTAATCTCGCGAGGACGCTGATCCTTTTCAGCGGAATCGCAACGATCGGAATAGGGCCGATCGCGATACTCGAGATGTGAGTTTTTCGTCTCGCCGGATACTATTAGGTCTCTATCTAAGACTTCGGTCTTAGTACTCGGTCAAGTACTTTCCCGACGAAAAGAGCAAGCGAGAGTGAGCGAAAGGGTGGCCTCTCGCATGGTGTGCGAGGGGATCAGAAGGCCAGGGAAGTAGTGGAGGAGAAGGAGAAGTAGAAGGAGATGGTGGAGGAGAAAAGGGAGGATGAGCAAGGAGCAGAAGAGCGTGAGGGGAGGCAGAATCGACGACGGTGGGGATGGAGAGTACGCGACTCGTAGAGTTCGATTAGGGCGCGAGTTGCGCGGCCGCCGGAGCCCCAGATATTAGCGACTTCCCCGCCGTGTTTCCCCACCGTTCGCGTTCCTGTCCCTCGCCCCGGGGTTACCATCCCCACCATGCGGCGTTTACATGGGCGGGTAAGCGAAAGAACCGTGCGGGCGACACGGATAATGCGGCCGACGTAGCGGGGTGCGATGCGAGCGCGAACGCGATTGGTCGAAATCGACGATGACGCGACGGCGGCGACGGTGGCGGCGATAGCGGTAACGGCGGCAACGGCGGCGATCCTCCCTACTCCTCGCGCGCGCACCACGACGTGATGTTTTGTGTCGCGCTCGGCTATATTCGGTACGCCGGATCATGCGACTGTCACTTTGCGACACGCCATCGAACTTCTTGCGCTCCCACGGCGTGGCTTCTCGAACGCAATCGAAATGTACCGTTCCGCGAAACGTAAGAACTTCTCCGTGAACTCGCGCTCTGCGCACAGCGGCCGCGGGATTATTATTGCATGATACCCGAAGTTGCCGAACGCCGACGTCATTTCATAGTTTCAAGTCCCAGGGCGCTCGACAAAGAGAGAGAGGAAGAAATGAGAGAAAGAGAAAAAGAGAGCGCCCCGGGATGCTGACAACCGCGAGATAATATTCCGCGAGATGCACGACGAGGGGAACAGCGACAACATCGTCGGCTCGGCCACCAGGGCGGGAGTGCTCACGGATCTTTAAGTTAACCGCACAAATCGTTCGCGGAGTACATGCGCTCTCGGCGCCGTCGCCGCAATACCCGCCATGTTACTCCGAAGCGACTTGATCTACGACGTTATGAAACGCCGAGGAGCGAAGCTCGGTCTAGACGAGATAATTTGTCGCTTCGCGAACGAGATCGATCCGCAAAACACGCGCGAGGCGACGGGAGATTTTTCCGTGACGGTTCTCGCGCGAGAATTTCGAGAATTAATTTTAACCGCGACCTCTCGGAATAAGGCCGTTAAATGGCGAGAAAAAAATTGTTGGAAAGATATAAGCGACGTATCCCCTATATCTTTTCCTCGTGGGCGTAAGAAAGAGGAAAGCTGAAACCCGCATGGTAACTCGAGAGAGCTTTAGAGAACAATTATTTTCCCGCGAATCTCTTTAAAGTTCGAATGGCTCGTTAGATAGAAAACGTTTTCCCCAAAATTGGAGCGAATGGTCCAGGAGGCGCTCGGAAAAGTGAAAATAGAGCGAGGAATAAACGTATCGTGGAAAATCCGCGACGGCCGTAAATGGCAGAGAGACTTTTATGCACGGTCACGGTACGCGGTGTACGGTCAATAAAACGTCGATGTATCGGCAGCGGCGACCGGAGCGGGCGCGACTCGCGTCGTAGTCGGACCACGCGCAGGATGACGCGAGCGATAGCAGACGATCCAATGTATAAGCACGTCTGATGGGAACACATGGGTATTTAGTCTGCTGCTACAGGTGATCCCGCCGCGAGGTCGAAGCCGCCGGAGCGCACGGGGACACCGTCGGGGAGCCGCCTGCTAATCCCGACGAGTCCAAATCTCTCAGGCTTTTTCTTATCCCTCCCCCCGCCCCCGCGTGAGGGCGGGGGAGGGTGATAAGAAAAAGCAAGAAGGGCGTTTCGCGCGGGTCAAGATTGAAATCTCTCGAGCCGAATTCGCCGAAATTATCGCGGTTTTTCGATAATCGGCCCGATATACGGACCTCGATAGCTGTCCTCCCCGTTTACTCTTTCTCTTTTCCCCCCGATAGTTGGAGTTGAATGAACCTCGGATTCATTTATTGTCGCAGTCGACGGGATAATAACATTACGCCGACCGGCAGATAAAAATAACGTTACGTAACTCGTGCGATTTCGCGCTCTCCCGAGAACGCGGGCAAATATATGTACGCGTCCCGCGCGCCCCCGCGAGCTTATTTACGTTTTCATTCACGCACGTTTTCGTCCCGGTGTGCGTGTGAGTGTATGTATGTGTTTGTGACGGCCCGTGAAATATATATGTATATACGAATATATACATAATATGTGCACACCAATCGGATCGGACCTCGCACACACATTCGTTAGCATATCGCGGAAGCTCAGCGCATTTCTATCGAACGGATTAACTTCGTGCACGATAACGTAAACACGCCGTGGATTTCGCTGACAATAGATTGTATGAATCAAAACTGACATTCCCGACTTGAGCCAACTTCGGATCGGTCCGACGTATCTTGTGTCCGAGAATTTCTCCGGACGGGTGTCTCGAATTGAAATCCAAGATAACCAGACGCAAGTCAGTCGAAAGCGCTTAGAGATCGCTGCTTAATTCTGTTTGTTTAATTAGAAGAGCCGTCCGAATAGAACGCAAAAACGGGACTTTCGCAAAACGAGACTTTTCGTTTATTGAGAGATAAATGATCCTATGCACGAAGATGCATTCACATCTCCTCACTTAGATATCTGCATGTCCGTCTGTTTTGCATTGCCTCTTCGGGGGTATTTTAAACGTTTCTACTTTTGTTTATCGCCCACTTTTACATGCATTCGATTCGCACGGATTTCCGTCGATGCTCCAATTTAAGTGGAACATGCATCTTTTTTTCCCTTTCTTCTTTCCCTTTCCACGTGAGATTAATGAAATGTAGGAGGGGTTTATTTTATTTTTGCATAAAGAGAGAATATGTGCAGCGGGATCGTATAGACACGAATCTCTGGTGCCCAGGCTTTACTGGGGCACACGAATTCGCCGATCGAAAAGTGCCGAAGTCATACGACGTTCGCCGATCGTTTGCCGCGCCGCACAGGCTTTGCGTGTGTATGTATGTAATACATGTATGTATAGATCGCCATGTGTCCAACACACACGAGACGATCCGTATGCTTCTATATTCGATGGATTCGGAACGAGGATGAAGTTGACAACTTCACGCGATCGTCCGGACGTTCGCGACCTTTCAGCTACGTGAGAGTGATGGAAAAGTACAGGGAGGGGAGGGGGTGGAGGAGAGGGGGAGGAGGACGAAAGTAAAGTCGAAGTCCTTCCGGAGGATACGCGGCGAAAACGTTAGGACGTTAACGGGAATAATATTATTAGCGAGGATAGATAGCGGACTCTCTCTTCCTCTATCTCTTTCTTTCTCTGACTATATATACGGGAATATATCGACTTCGGATAGAGTTCCCGAGACCACCAGAGCCAGGGCTTTTGGGAACGATTTGCTGGCGCACGATAGCCGAGGCTCGGCGGAAACGGTCGAGTGGCGCCGAACGCTTGCCGCGCCACGCGAAAGAACGCCCTCCGACGAGCAACGACGTCTGCCAGCGCCAGCTAGCTAGCCAGCCAGCTAGACGCGGAAATCTGTAGACCGAAGACGAAGACGACGACGACGACGACGACGACGACGCGAGGAGCGACCCCGATAAAGGGAATCACTTCTCGCTCGACGTTCCGCGCGACGTGCGTCTCTTCATCGCGCACATCACTTGTACGCGTTTACAGAAATCGCGAGAGGGGTACCGAGCGCGGATTATAACCTACTTGACGCGTGTGCACGCGCACGCTCGCGCGTCCGCGCGCACTCACGCAGGCAAACGGGCAGGCACGGATACAGGAACGATGACGATGACGACGCGACGATACTGTACTACGTAATCCTACGTGCCTCTCCAAAGTTCCACCAGCTTCGGTACCGTGCGATACGGAGCTCTTTGGCAGACTTATTGACACAACATGCGACGCTCGAGGAGAACGAGGTGGCACGCACACGACGGCGAAACGACGACGTTGGCGGAATAAAAGAAGAGAGAGAGAGAGAGAGAAGAAAGAAAGACGACGTCGGAGCGAAGCACATACGAAGAATATAATGTCCGCGTTTAACCGATATCAACGACAACTACGACTAGTCCGATAATTCTCTCGCTTACAGAGGTATCGTCCTCTCCGAGGGGAGGACCCCGTCCGGTCCTTTTTCCTTCCTTCTATCGCGTGTCGTTCTCCGCGCGGTTCGACGGACATGTGAAGCGCGACGTTCGGCACGGTGCAATACGTTCCGCTTCTCTTATTGTTTCTCTTCTCTCTCTATTCTCTCTCTCTCTCTTCTCTCTCTCTCTCTCTCTCTCTCTCTCTCTCTGCCTCCGGTTGCCACTCGTCGTGCTTTAAGTGGAGAGCCGGGTAACGCCTCTCCTTCGATCTCTCGCGTCATGCCGAGAGTCCTTGTGCCGGACGGCCTATGTACCGCACATTCGCTCGTACGCCCGAGGAAGTGTTTAATCGCCATCCGCGCGGACTAACTATACGCGGCCTGGTAGGTGTAATGATGTGCCTGAATTTTCTTTCGTTCCTCTCGGTCTCACTCCGCTCCCTTCTCGCCCCTTCACCTCATTCGCTATCTCCGTCTCCCTCTTTCTCCATCGGTCTCATTCGCTCGCCTCTCTCGTTCTATCCCTACCCTATTCCTCTACCACGGTTTATCCTCCTCTCTCTCTCTCTCTCTCTCTCTCTCTCTCCGTCCGTTCACTACTCTCTCTCTCTCTTACGTACGTACGTACTTACGTACTTACGTACGTTACGTACGTACGTACGTTACGTTACTACCGTTACGTACCTACTACCGTAACGTACGTACGTACCGTACGTACGACGTACGACGACGACGTACCGACGTACCGTACGACGCCGACCGTACGACCGTACGACGACCACGTACTACGTACGTACGTACTACGTACGTACCGGTACCGGTTACCGACCGTTACGAACCGTACGTACGTACTAAGTACTCTATCAACTTCAACCCTTCGGTTGTGTCCGTCGAACGTGTACCTCTACGGCACGGCGACGTAACTTAATACGTCGGTACTCGGGTGTAGTAAGTGTACTGGTACGTCCACGGTTAACTTTTTACGTTTTACCCGTTTCCTTTCCCGGTACGTTCCGTACTACCGTCCGTCCGTTAACCCTTCCTCCCGTCCCGTACCTCCTACTACTTCGTACCTATACCTCGTCCTACCTTCTTCCTACTACTCGGTCCTCTACTTCGTCGTCCTCGTCTCTCTCTCTCCTACCTACTTCCTACTACCTACGTTCTCCTCCTCTCTCTCTCTCTCTCTCTCTCTCTCTCCCGCGAAGTTCTATGCCTATCCTCGTCTCCGTTCCACTCTCTTTCTTCTCCCTCCCCTTACCCTTCCGCCCCCTCTCTCCCCTCCCCGCTGGCACACACATACATACGCACACGCGCGTATTCACGCACACGCAGCGACCACCGCCGCTCGTTTGTGTGCCGCCGATGCCTCGTCGTGTGACGGACGACCCGTACGAAGTGCGTGTACACGCGGGCACATGCACACACCGATTTCGACCGTGGGGTATACACACGATTGTGTGTTGCGCGCTCCGTGGACTGTGGCCGAGAACGACGCCGCGTGCCATCGCGTTGTGCGACGACAACGACGGCAACGATCGCGGGCAGGACGTTCCGCCTTGTACCGCTCGCGAGCAGCGGGATAGTGTGTGACAAGAACGAGCATTCGTGCGCGATATACTAACCGCCGCGCGCGCGGTCTCGAATAACATGGGCGACATCGCCGTTGCTGGGTACTCGCTTCGCTTCGCGCCGCTTCGGACGGCCGCCGTCGCCGTTCCCGTCGCCGTCGGCCTTCGTATTGACGTCGATTGATTTTGCGAGGCGAGAGGAACACGCGATCGGCCCCGCTGCGCTCCATCCCTGAACGCCGAGAGAGAGAGAGAGAGCACGCCCGACGACGGCGAATCGGCGCGTCATCCGTTCGTGGCCACGAAGGCGGCGCGAATCGCGCGCTGAGCAGGACTCGCTGCTCGCAGCCGACGTAGCTGCGAGCTGTGTGAACTCACGCGTGTGACTTCTTGCGCCTGAAGAAACGCGCCGTCGGTGCAGCGGGAACTCGGGGAAATTGTAGTGGTCTCTGTGAATTTCCCTTGGGTGTCCCATCGCTCGCGATCAGACCTGTGTGTCTCGTGCGGACCGCGCTTGTGGACTGTGTTTATGCCGAAAATGTTTCCGTATCTTGTATTTTGATAGTGCCCGCTATCGCAATGACACAATTTTTGTGATGGTTTTACAATGAACATCTACTATAACGATGACCTACTTCAAAAGATTACAACCGATGTTCATAAACTAATTACACGATGTGTGAATTTTGGGATAGTCGCGTGAAATCGTATTTATAAAATGTATATCATTAATTGTTTAAAATCACGTCACCTCCAAAGTTTTGTTTACTTATTATGAACTAACCTTAGATATTGGAGTCGAATCAAATGCAGCTTACCATGTTTCATCTCCAATATATTTGCATTTTATATTATATTATTTCTCTTTAATTTTTAAATAATTGCTTTGTTGTTGCCGATTGTAATTCCACGATCTGTAATCTGGATTGCAGGAATTATCAGGACAAAACAGTAACGACAGTTCGAATGGACCAGCTTGCCCAGGGACACCAAATTCTCAGGGGATGAGACCTACCCCGTCACCTACAGGATCCACAGGTTCTCGCTCGATGTCCCCTGCTGTTGGTCGGTCTTTTTTACGTCTGTCTCTCTTTTCACTTGCATTTGTATTTAATAGAATTTATAATTGCAGATTGCATGCGGGATATCCCAGAAAAAGAATTACAAAAATATTCTATTATCTTTTAATCTATCAATCAATTCTTTGATGACTTTAAGATTAATTTTTTGTTTAAAGAGAATTTTACTCTTAACTTTTCTCAATGTATCTGGGATATCTAGCACAGCATATTTAATGTATCTGAATGATTTATGTTTGTGTTGTCTTTCTCCTAATAGTAATGAAAAAATACTTGAATGCTATGTAAGAATCGTCTTTCTCTTTCTTTTTCTTTTATTACATTGAAATATCCGAGTATGTATTTGAAAATTTATTCATGCATGTGCAGGCCAACAAAACGTTCAGATGCCTCCACGTCCGTCGAGTAGCCAGTCGGATGGTAGTGGACCAGCACCGCGCATGAGTCATTCTCCTATGACCACTCAAGGTATAAATCTCTACTTTTTTCAGATTTTGTCTTATCCGTTTCTGCAAAACTTATTTTTAAATACAAATTGTCGTGTTAAAGCCAATAATAATAAATCGATTATTACTTTTAGGAGCATACCAACAGCCATTGGGTCCTTCACCACACATGCATAGCTACAAAATGAATAGCACTGGTCCTGGGGTAGTGCAACCGGGACCCGGCTCGACGGCTCTCGGCGGGATCAGTCCAATGGGTGGTGGGATGGGCTATGCGACTGGTGGCACAGCTGCGGGTCAGCCTGGAGGTTATCATGCACAATCTACGTATCCACCTCCGCGTCCTCATATGCAATTTCCACAGGGATATCCAACGCCTGCAAATTCGCAACCACCACCCAACAATCAGTATCAACCTCCCAACAGACCCAACAACTTGGTACAATATCCACCATACACGGTAAACGTTTAATTTAATTGACAGTGCATAGCAATTATTTATTTCGTCATTATATCGATTGAAGGTAAACGTTCTCTATTGTTTTCCAGCATAAAATGGGCTTTAATAGCGTACCACCGGGAATGCCACCGAGTCCAGGACCGCCGCAGGTTTATGGTGCTGGTGGTACGACGTCGATGGTACCGCCAGGTGCCCCAGGAGTTCCCGTTATTGGTAACATGGGACCGCCAGCAAGCTCCATGGGTCCACCACCGCCGTCTCCTAATCACATAAGTAATCAACCACCACCACCTACCAGCTCGGCAGTACCACACTTACACACGCCGGCGGCCACACCGCCTCTCAATCACGAGGGTAGTCCAATGCCACCACCGAGTACTACACCAAACTCGCATCCTGCATCGGCACCGACACCCACCAGCCACAATTCCGCAGATCTCACGGCTGAAACTTCCAATGACAGCGGTATAACTACGACCGCTTCAGGTTACTTAAAATATTGTACATCAAGTAGATTTTCAGTTTTATTATCGTCTTTTTCTGTGCGAATGAATAGCAAAATTGTATCTTTTATGTGTAGGTACGTCAGCTATAAATGTTATATCTACTTCGAGTGGTACTGTGACGTCTGTAATAACAACAGGTCCAGACGGCACATCTCTGGATGAAGGTTCACAGCAATCAACATTGTCTAACGCATCAGCTGGTTAGTATTATTTTTAGATCTGTTTATTTTATATTCATGTGTTTTAATCTCGTAAAATTTCAACCGCGGTACGGAAATCACAAGTGCAATTATCCTAACCAAATGTATTATAAACAGCCTCTGGCGAAGATCCAGCATTTACGCCAAAAGTGCGGAAGGAGATGATAGGAGGATATCACAGCCACCCCGCGACACCACAAAGCACAGTCCCATCTCCTGGTGCTGCTAGCATTAATTCTATTCACGAAGAATATTCTGACATGAACAGTCCTGGTTGGCCACGTACTCCTGCTAGTCCGGTACGTATCAATTGCATGTATTCTCACACATAGTACACATTCTGATTCTAAATTAGCAATTAACTCATTACTTCAGATAAAGCTCAAATGCAATATATCATTTGCATTTTCAATATTTTAATATTTTACAGGTGTTTAACAGTCATGTGCCTCAAGACCCGTACAGATCTAAGGTTATTGTTTTTTCACTATAAATATTTGTTACTTCATCGAGATGCTGCTCCCCTTTTGCACTCCACGCTTTAGACATTTTTATCCTACACTAACTTTTCTTACTTGGTTACATATGCATCATATTAATCTTGCAAGTCATAATGCTTTATTTTCGAAAATTATATTACTTAAATTCTCATCATTTTAATAATATATATATTTAATGTCATATGTAATACCATTCTTAATAATTCCAATTTGTAAATTAATATTTTAAAGTATAATATCCATTTTAATATTAATGAAATATTTTTGAATAGAAAAGCAATAATTAATTGTATAAGATTGCTAAAGAATTAAGATATAACATACTCGGTTTAATAAATAATGTAATAATCCCATAAAAATAACTACAGAGTACTATTATTATAAAAACTTTGCAGCAGCTCTATATGACATTACATCAACAATATCTATACAAGATTATATATTTTAATATGCTCAGTTCTTATATACATTATTTAGTTTTGCCTTCTATTTTTGTTTCCATATTATTTGTATAACAAATTAGAATATTTTTCTTAATTATCGCATGCATCAAATTACTAGACTATATATTACTAGACTATATATTATATTGTTCTATTTCAATTGATATCATATTGATTGAAAGAAATTTAAATAAGCATTAGAGAAATAATTATTGGATTCTTTAAATAAAATACTAATATTTTCTATTTACAATCTGTGAGTTTATTTATAAATATACATTTTATTAGTGGTAATAATATATTAAAATGACTAATATATTAATTACAATATTTATTAAATGGAGAAAAGAGACGAGTAGTTTAGAAATATGTGCATGTTAGTTAATGGCTGCGATTAAGTTACGTTCGCGGCTTTGCAAGAATAACAATCGTTCTATGTTTATAGTTAGATCAATAATACATAATGAGACATGTCTGTCAAGTTTATGTATATGATAATACAATTTTATATGAGATTTTTTTACAGTGTGTTAAAGAAGCGTATTAATTGTGCGGTTTTCAGAAGACAGATAGTTTGGCAAAATTATACGAAATGGATGACTCGATAGAACGAAGAACCTGGCTGGACAAGCTGGTCAATTTTATGGAAGAACGAAGATCGCCAATCACCAGTTGTCCTACCATCTCCAAGAACCCCCTCGATCTATTTCGGCTTTATCTCTACGTGAAGGAGAGGGGGGGCTTCATGGAGGTATGCAAGGTGCAGTGTAGTTCCATCTAGCCCTTGGTGTCTTACATAGTTTCTGTATTGTTTTTATGTATTTTTACATTCTTTATACTTGCTCTGCACACTACATTTTTTTGAGGTGTCTTATGTCAATTATTGCTCGCTTTCGATGCTCGACAACTTAAAGTATTTTTGACGCTTACGTCGAGTATACGACAAAAGTGGCAATTTTATATCGGGATCCAAAAAATTCAGATCTGAAATTAATACAATTTATATCGGAACACCTCAGAATACGCTTTGTTTTTACATCTATGTTGAATTGTGCATGATATACATATAGTTGTATTATATTTTTTGCTGTTATCCCTTTCTCATATTCTGTGTCTAAGTCATGCGAAAAAAAAAGAAAAAGAAAAGCTTAACATATCTTTTCTTGAAGTAGTTTGTTCAACAGTCGAATATGGAAACACCCTGATCTACAAACCTTGGTGCTATATGGAATTATTCTAATAGTCACACAACGAAGATAAACTTTTAATAATGAAATATTACGATAACGGTAATTCGTTCCGATTGTACTCTGTGTATTTCTCTCATTCCTTTTTTTTTATTTTTTTTTTTTATACTTGCATGCGTTTAGAAATTTCGCCGATTTATACTGATATAATTTTTTTTAAGCTGATACCTCGGATTATAGAACGTCGGCGATGCCTTTTGTATTATATTTTGCGTTTATCTATTTCTTTTGGACATGCAGATTTTTATTTTGCTGTGTTTGAGATTCGACGTGAAAACGCCCTTTTACGAGCGTAGTAAAGAACACGTGTGCGTAATTTCCTTCTGTAGGTGACGAAAAACAAAACGTGGAAGGATATAGCCGGCCTTTTGGGCATCGGTGCCAGCAGTAGCGCTGCATACACATTGCGCAAGCATTATACGAAGCACTTGCTAGCATATGAGTGCCACTTTGACCGCGGAGGCGTGGATCCACAACCCATTATCAACCAGGTCGAGGCGGGCTCGAAGAAGAAAGGATCTAAGGGAACTGCTTCCGTACCATCGCCGGGTACGAACCATATTATACATAATATGTATAATATTTAATTCTTTAAAATGTTGTTTGCTTGTACACACTTTTTTGTATCAAAAAACTTCTAGAAAAGTAACGACTTGTACTTGCAGGTTCTTCCAATTCTCAAGACTCCTTTCCCGCTGCCGGATCGAGCAATGCTTCTATGGATGGCTATGGAAGCTATCAGGGTAATTATCCGAGTGGTACACCCGGTGGCCCGTCGTCTGAATACACGCCACCACCAGCTAGGCCACCCAGTCAAAGCAGTGCACCCTCTGCCCATCAGGGTATGTTTCACAATCAACGAAGTTATTAGTTATCTATTCTTTAATTTTGCATGCTATTAGATTTATTTTTACATCTATTACACAATACTGTATGCATACTGAGTTTGTCAAATATATTTGTTCTAATCTCTGTAACAAGCGTCATGAAAAATCATTGTTTGATTTTCAAAGGGATACAACAAGGCAGTTACCAGAACACTGGTTCCTATCAGAATTATTCACAAGAGCAGTATATTCGGCCACAAGGAAACGCGCTCTCTCAGCAAGGGGAGTTTAGTCAACCGTACTCGCCTAGATCGCATTATCCTCCATACGTACCGGATGTTGACAGGTGAGAGATATCATCATCACATTATCTCTTTTCACAGTAACATTTTACAGAGAACAATGTTTATATATTTTTATTATGTACAGGGGATATCCGGGTGGTAATATGCCGCCAAACAACGCTACCGGACAAGACATGTACAATAGATATGCCGGCGGTCAGCAAGGTCCCGCTAGCTATCCCACGGGAACTCCTCCTAATGCGAGGAGCAACAGTTATCCGTCGGGACCGCAGGCTCATCCGCCGTCTGTTGTGCAACAGCAAACGGCGACCAGCCAGCCTTCCTCGCCTTCGCAACCTCCAGCTGCGTCGTCGTACTCGTGTCCGCAAGATTATTATCGACAGGAACAAGTAATGTTTTTAATAATTATTTAATGTTAATAATTATATCGTTACACTTGCATCATCCATATCTTCAAGAAATTTTAATTTTTTATAAAATTTACAATCTTAATGTCTATTATATTGCAGAGTGGTTACGGAGCACCTGGTGGAACTCAAATGTATTCCGGGACTGCGGCAGCTAACAAGAATATGCCACCGCCTCCTCCGGGACCTACTCAACCTAGACGTCATCCAGACTTTGCCAAAGACCAACAGTATCCCCAATATAATCAGCAACGACCAGCGTATCCAGGTGAGACTTTAATACATCGACGATTAGATATTATTGTCTCAGAAGAAATTTCTGAAAAGTGAACAGTTTTTACAAGTTGAGAATACTTCGAGCATGAAGTTTAACTCAGGGAAATGTGATTTGCAGGATGGCCAAATACAACTAATCAGTACAATAGTAATAGTGGAAACAACAGAGTTCAGTACCCAAGCCAACAGACTCAATCACCGTCTCAGCAGCAGCAACCACCACCATCACAACAAGGATCCCAAGTCGGAGCTGTCGCTCCGACTCCTTCGGCAGTCAGCGCTATGGCTAGTAATCAACAATGGGCCAGCCAGCAATCGAATAGGTCCTCTTCTCAACCGTCTTTGAACGCCATAGCACACCCGCCTCCACCGTGGGATCATCGCTACACGAATCAACCGTCCTCTTTGTATCCAACACCCGGGAATCATCAGGTATGTACACTGAGAAAAAAATGCTGTTGAATCAACAGCATTAGTCTAACTGAAAATAACTTTATTAATTCAATG